CTTGGTCTGCCTGAATGTTCGTGGTTCCCGGGTCAGGGGTTTTAAGATTTTTGGCGTCTGCCTGATCAATCCCGGTGGCTGTCTGGTGGGGTCTGGGTCCCTGGGCTCTGCTGGGTCCCCGGCGGGGGTGGTTGCCCCTGGGTCCCGGGTCGCTGGGTCCCGGGCTCGGCCGGCTAGGGGATGGGAGGCTGCTGGCGGGCCTGTGGGCTTGCCGCTGATATCTCCCGGGACTCTGCTGGCTGCTGGTTGTGGCCCGCCGGGGTGATCCTCTGTGCCTCTCGAGGGGGGCGGGGGCCTTTCTGGTTGCAGTCTCCTTGGGGTTCCTGTGTTCTGGGGCAGTTCCTGGATCTCTGGGACTTGGAGCTCCCTCCGTCTCCTACACATCTTTAGGGGGCAGATGTGTGACCCCTCACACTCTATTGGACGCTTTATAGAGAAACCTTACATAAACAAGCGCGTGTACACACACAGGTGCTCACATGGTGCTCTCATAAGTATAGGCTTGGGCACGTTCAACAAAAGTCTTAAGGCTATGGTGGGCACTTAATGCACTGTGATTTATTATTGTGTGATTGTTCAGTTAAACAATGTTGATTGTATATTTCTTCAAGTTGACGCAGTGATAGCCTGCTCCTGATGTATTGTTGTGAGTCCCATTTTTTTCTCTTTCTCTTTCTGCAGGTCTAGAAGCAGACTCTTGTTCTTTTTTTTTTTGGTGGACCCCCCCCCCTCCCCTCCCCACCTTTTGTCTTTTTCTTTCTCTTTCACCTCTGACTCCGTGTCTAGTCGGAATTACAAAGCATTCAAAACCAATAACAATAAAGTTTTAAGTATCAGGCCTGACATTAAAAGCAGACGCTTTGGTGCTCCACCTGAGAGTAAATCTGTAAGGCTTGTCACCAGCATTCAAACATCAATTCTGTTTGCTTCACAGCCAGACAGGACACGAGGGGAAAAAAAGCATCTGGTAGGGGGTGACTTGCTCTTTAAGTGACAGTGTGACGTAGATCTGTCAGGCTTTTCTAATCCTAGAGTTTCACCGTCTGTTTTCTATCAAGCTAATGCAGGAGATAGGTGTAGGAGACTATTTTCATGTTCAGCCTGTATGAAAAACTAATCAGAAACAATCATTAAAAATGTTTTTTCAGTGTTCTACACCTTTAAATAGAAACCTTACTCCAAACTGCACCAGTTACCAGACCTTTTCTCTGGTATTGTACAAACAGATTCCAGCTAAAAAGATTCATTTTACATCTCCATTATAAACCAGATTAAAAATCCCTACTGTTTAACTTTTTTCAGTCCTGCATAAGAGTTGTGCAGTTGTGTTAAAATGCCCAGAAAATAAATGAATATTTTGAGCACACATCATTGGCCAAGTCAGACTAGCTGAAAACTCTGCCGATTCCAGTCGTCTGCCAACAATCAGTGCATCCTTAATGAGGTCTAAATTATGTTGAAGAAGAAAAAACGTGTTGATCAGATATTCTTTTTGATTTTGAAAGTTTTGTTGTGTTTCTTAAATCCAAAGTGTTATAATGCAGCTACCAGGTTTAGAGTAAAAGTTATGAAGGGCAGATCCTTGTTTCTGATGAGCTAGGTGTGTGTGTGTGTGCGTGTGTGTGTGTGTGTGTGTGTGTGTGAGTGTTTATTTTCTTACACGAATGGGTTATTTATTGTCCATGTCGGGGTGTCCTCATAGCTTAAAGATCTGGTGTACAATTTTTACATGTCAGATGTTTAAACTTAAGTCTTTATTTAGGCTGAATCGGAATAAAATGTAGTTCATCCTTGTCCTGCTGGCAGATTCATGAGGTGAACAGTTGATTCAAAGCAGGAAAACACAAAAGGATAAAAGGAGATGAGCAGCAGCAAGATGGAGAGATGACATTGAGATTGGGGAAAACAGAGAGAGGACAAACTATCTGCTGCTGATGGGATCCTCCTCTGCCTCCTCTGGTTTTCAGTCTGGTTGCTTAGCAACTGCCTAAAATAACCTGCCAGGAGACAGAAATAGACCAAAGCAGAATGGTCAGTGTTGGTGTTTGTGTGCGTTGACATCATTTTCAGGGGTTTGGTGTTGCTTTCATTTCTATTTCCGGCTCTGCACGCCCATCTTTGACGTACTTTATTGACCCTGTTATTAGTACATCTGTATTTCTGCATCGCTAGATCGTGCACTAACGTGCACATGAGCGTGCATTTTGACACAGGCAGTATGAGCTGCACCCCACATAGACATTCCTTGTTTTAACTGGTTGCTAAGCTGATAATCAGAGAAATGACATCATTGTGTTTAGTCAGCGCCACGACACAGCTGGAGACAGTTGCTAAGCATTTTCTGTGCCCTTGCAATCATGCCGCTGTCACCAAAGTTTGGATAGCCGTGAAGGATATTTAAAGGTACAAAAAAAATAATGTTTTTATTTTTCACATTATAATGTGACTTTTATTGAGGTTTATTTTTATTTATTTTATTTTTTATTTATTTCATTTATTATTGAAATAGAATAAACAATACTAACAAATAAAAGGAGGTTTCTCAAACCAAGAAAATGAAAAGGTAACAGAAAGAAGAAAACTTATGTTATCTGCCCCTGTTTAACTAAAATGACATTTTTATAATGAAATAACAATAATTATAAATTAGCCTATACAAAGTAATTGCTTGACTGGTTAGCTAACTTGAGTTCAATTTGTAAAGAAGAAAGAAACAATTAATAGTAATAATAATTCAAAAATCGACGACGAATAATTCAAAAGCAAAAGGATTTACCTATACATATCCATATAGATATACACACACGTATCCACTACATATACACATACACAAGCATACAGACATATTTATACATACACACATGAATATACCTACACACATCTTCTATAGTTTTATTTATTTATTTTTTATATAATTGATTTGCACTTATATGATTCCAGTATTTCATTTTTAATTAGTTTTTTGAAAGTAAATATCGTTTTCGCATCCTTGATTGCATTACCTAGCTTATTCCATATTTTAACTCCTTATGTAGAGACACAGCGCTCCTTTATAATTATTCTATGCTTAAGTATTGTAAATAATTCATGTCCTTTTAGTTCATATTTACTCTTGTCTTTTTATAAATCTTCTAAGTAAATTTTTAGGAAGGGTTTTTTGTTTGCATTATACATAAATTTAGAAATATTGCAGTCCACTAGGTCATAGAATTTTAATGTTTTTGTTTTTATGAATGATTCTTATTGCTTTTTTTTTGCAATATATAGACAGAATTTGTATAAGTTTTATATGTTGTGCCCCAGATTTCTATACAATAGTTCAAATATGGTGCAATAAGTGAATTATATAATAAATATAGGGTGTTATCATCCAGTGACCATTTTACTCTATGTAACACTGCAATTGTTTTAGCTATTTTAGTATTCACATTGTTTATTTGTGGCTTCCAAGATACATTTTCATCGATTATAACTCCCAAAATTTTTACTTCTTTTACTCTTGTAAAATTAATATAATCTATATTTAATAGACTTGTATCATTTGAGTTACTTTTACTAAATATCATGAAACATGATTTATCAGTGTTTAATGAGAGTTTATTCCCATCAAGCCATAATTTTATTTTTTTCATCTCAGTTTGTACTGTTTCTACCATCTGTTTGATATTATCTCCTGCTTAATAAAAGGTAGTGTCATCTGCAAATAGAATACATTTTAATATATTTGATATAGAGGCAATATCATTTATATACATAATAAATAGTTTCTGACCCAGTACTGACCCTTGTGGTACCCCACAAGTAATATCACGTAGATTTGATTTAATGTCATTTATTTGTACATATTGTTTCCTATCATTCAAATAACTTGTTAACCGTTTTAGAGCCAGAGGTAATGGTCCCTGCACAAAAAAGCGAATAATACTCCTGTTTTTAGCCTTCGATCCTTTAGTCAAAGCTCTGGTTTTAACTTTATACTCTTAACTGTTAAATTTAAAGTCGCCTGCTCTACTTTACCATTACTTTTCTCTGCTATTAGTTCTCAAGGTAGTGTTGCACATAAAGAGAAGCCCTAATAAAAGCAGCCAACCCCCTTCCAGCCAAAGTAAACACCATCTAACTAACACGTATTCTCCCACATGATGATGCACGATTTAAGTTTTGACCGTTTCGTTCAAGGTGGAACAGGTGCAGCTTGTTTTATTTGGCTCATTTACAGGTCGTCTCTTAAAAAGCCCGCTCTCACTGGCTCTCCTCCGTGAGCCAAACTGCCCGAAGCTGATGTAAAAATAGAACATATGAACCTAATTGGACTTTGGTTGAATCCTCTGTATTTTTGAGGGGAGGGAATTGTGTGTTTGCACCAACATTACTGCTGCTTTTAAAGGATCTTGTCAAGTCAAAGCCAATATATCTCGCTGGGCTGCTACTGCTGGCAACAGAAAAAGGGGAATCTGCCAATGACAGCAAAATCATGAGTAAAATTAGATAAAATTAGCAAACAAATGAAGACACTTTGGGACTAAATTGCAACTAGTAATGTAAACAAGTGCACGTTTGCAGAAAATTATTTAGCATAATTCTAATTAAAGTATGTGCAAAATCTTACACTTTTATTATTAATTATTCTCTAAAAGTTGCAGCCCAGTGAGATATAACTCATCTTGTCTGCTTTACTGAACATAAGTCTGCATATAAACCAATTTTCTGTTGTTAATGTTCCATTTTTAGCTTTCAAAGATCTTTATTCAGGCAAATCTCAGCTGAGCTTGTCTTTAAATTGTTCTGTTTTTCAATCAGAATTGTAAAAAGTTTAAGACTTCCAAACATTTTAATAATTTTTTAGGAATCCCACCTTCCCGTCACGACCGAGGAGTGTTTCCCGATCGCAAAGCCTTGCATGTTTGTTGCATTAACGCGGTCTCACAGTCACCAGCGGTGATAAATTCAATGCTTCTCTGCTCAGTTTTTGACGTGGGTGTCTATGTGTGTCTGCTCAGAGCGAAGACAGAGCAGATCAGGACAGTCCCGAGGAGGGGACGCCAGCAAGCCCCCGAAATAAGAGAAGAGTGGGTCGTCCCAGCAGGAAAAGCAAACAGCTGCTTCCTGTGAGTACTGGCATAAAAGTCAACACTTTGTTCCTCGCAGCAAATTTGCTTTCACACAACCAGCTCAGGTTTTTTTTCTCTTAACGCCCAAGAATCTAGACTCACATTAGCAGCTTTACTTAAGTGTCAGTGTGTTTGAGTCACAGTGTGAGGGTGCACTCGCCTCCTGACAGGAGAGCGTGTGGGAGCTTTCTGTCTGCTTCTATCTGATGAAACCTCTTCCACTAATGGCACTTTGACTAAAAACAGGGTTTCCCCACGCTTCAAATCATCAGTGTGTAAACTTTTCTCCACATGCAACGATAACATCATGGCCTCATCGTTATCTGCCCATCCCCCACATTTTCCACTCGCCACTTCAAGTCATAGAGAAAACATAGTTAAAAGTAACTTCTTATGCTAAATTTCATATATGAGACTCTGGAATATTTAAAAACAGACATTACTCTGAATTGGCTCTGATAACTAAGCAATTAACCTAGAGTAATATTTCACATTCTCAAATTAAATTGACACATTTATTTATATGTTTGTTCTCACAAAATATTCTATCATATTAGTTAAGTTGATTATTTCAGCTGAATCCTCGCTGACAGCAAATTCCTTTGCACAACAGATCCCATAAGTAATGATCAAGGTCTATACTTTAACAAATAAACTGTTGAATTTACTTAATAATGTGTTGTGACCAAGCCCCCATAATTCGGGTCTGAAATTGAAGCCAACACGGAAGTGACAAAAATTGCAGTTCCACCCTCATCCACTAGGGGCTGGTGTCAGAAGCGAGCAAATCCTCATTGACTCCCATGTTAAAAATACCAATTTCACAGCAGAAATAAACATGTTTACAGCCTGGTACCAAAGCATGTTTTCGGTTTAATAGATCTAGTTTACACTCATAACTCTGAGGGGGGTGAATTTTTTTGTCACTCTTCTGTTTAAGTGTATTAAATGCCTAAAATTCTGAATAATTAATGAGCATCAGACCCACGTGGCCGCAGAGCTAGCTTCGGGGAAGGGCCTCAGCCTGAGCCTCGGCCTCACCTGAAAACTGTTCCGCCATTTTCAGTCTCTGAACTTAGACCATTAGTTGTAGCGTTTGTGCATTCTTTTTGGATGTTATTTGTGCAATTGTTGAACAAAATGACTTGCTGTGGTATTAATTGCACTAATAGAGCATCCAATGAGTCTCCACTTCATTTTTGTCGGTAAGTAAAATTATATTTATGTATTTTAGCTCACTGTTGCTCTTGCTCTAGCTGAGCTTAGATTTTAACATGTACTGTTTAACCATGAAACTTAAATGGAATAGAGTAAAACCCAGTGCATTTAACAAAACGCTGCATTTTTGAAAATGGGTTAAAATATAACATGTTGGTGGAGCTGGGTTCTGACTATCGGTATGGTCTCCCTCCCCTTAGCGGCAGCTCTACGCATCTCTGATTGCTGCGGCGCCTGTCTGCTGTGCGGCTGCCGGCTTGTGGAGCTCTCGGGAGACCTCTGTGTTCTACCCGGTTTTACCCAGCGGTCAGCCCGGCTTATCTCTGACTCAGAAGCTCTGGTGTTGTGCACAGTTAACTCCGGTTGTAGCTAGGTAGCTACCTCCGTTAGCTTAGCTCCCACCTCCGCGTTAGCTTTGGGTTAGCTTGTAACTACATCGTTTCAGTTCGACGGGTGTCGCCATTTGATCCCAGCCTTACAGCCCCACCCTCAGCACCACCTCTTGTCCCTTTTTTGTAATTGTCTGGGCTTGACGGAACCTGTGACACGGTCAAAATGGCGGTGGTGGCCACCTCCCATTTTGGCTTAAAAACTTATTATTGGAGCCTATGGAAATGAATTGTCCAGTATATATATATATATGTTTATATAATGTTCTTGTTTTACAAAGCCCTTCACTTTCATTTGCAATGAGCTGGATGTAGCAGATTCTGCTGCATCTTAATTGTGTTTTTATCTGTGATTGATTTGTTATGTCCTGGCATAGCCAGTTGCCACTATTTTATAAAATTTACAAATATTAGTCAGCTGATTACCAGTCTCTCAGTATTATTTTTTTATTTACTCTACCAAATAATTTAACACAGATTCTGAACTGTGGCGAGAACTTCTGAGAATGCCACAAATGTTCATTTTCACTTTTTCATTAGTTATTTGTGTAATTCTCAAACCTTTGGCTGTGATTTCTTCTGAGTCACGTGATGCGTCACCTCGTCCATGGATAGGTTACAGTTCTAACTGGTGCCTTGAAATTCTTGAAAATGCTTGAGTTGAGGTATTTTCACATTTTTGATAGTTTAACTGAGGTTGCATCACCATTCTGTTTACGTTTTAGCATTTGTTTTGAGCTTGATGTTCTGGTCATGTATGTGGACGTCATCACCAATGTTAGGTGCTGTAGTCTCGCCTTGAAAGTTGATTATTTAGGCTAATCCATCAGGACAAACCTCTTTATTCTAGTCTGGATGTTGTTGTAATCTTTGTTCGATGAGACGTTGTTTTATTAACAGTTAATATGAAAACTCAGAAAAACAAGTAGCTAGATGTATCGTCTTTGACCCCTTCATTATTCTTTTTTCATAACAAAGTGTTGCTTGGTAAACAATTAAGAGCTCTTGCTGCTGTCATAGCAGTTATGTTTTGCTCTATAGTAGGCTGCCTTTATTGCTTATTCTGTTATGACCGGGTGCATTATTGTATCCTGCTCTTTACTCAGCCTCCCTCCTTGGATATCATCAGAGTTTCATCCAACCAAATCCCGCCCATCACTAGGTTACTGTACTCAACTTTGTGTCTGTTTACTAAAGAGTGGAGTCGGGTACTTTCCATTCTATCTGTAAATCAAGATCAAGGCAGTCTCTGAGAGAAGAGGAAGTTGCAGGTCATCGAGGGGTTTTTATAGAAGGAGAAACGATTTGAACCCAGTGATTTATTTTCTGTTCGTACCCAACAGGTACCTTTGTGGTGAACATTCTTTCTTTCAATCTAAAAGCTGCATTAAGCAATATGCTGCAATAGTTTAATGAAAGCCGCAGTCTGCAGAGTGATATGTCAGATGAACCTCAACTAAAGCACCTGCTCCTGCATAAAGGAAGTGTACAGCCAACTCTGTCTGAAGCCGGCTGCACACTTTCTGTTTAGAGGCGGTAATGCGAAGTGGCTGAAGATCATCTTACTCATAGCAGTTCAAAGACACTTTTCTCTCAAGTGGACCGAACCAGGGCTGAAATGAGTTTACATTCAACATGTTGCCAAAACGATGACTGCAAGTCCAGATTTCTCTGTTGCTGCTGAATGTGTAAGTAGTCAGTTGTTTGCTTCAAAGCTAGCTGTAGGTGGTGATGTGGTGTTAAAATGCTTAATGCAGCTTTAAGATCGTTTTTAAATGTTAACGCTATGTGCTCGTGCGCCGGCCACATGGCGGTTACAGAAGATAGACACCACTTCACTCATTTCCGATATTCATCCCATGATGGTTTTCGGTTTGGAATTGATTTGAGCTAATTTATTTAGCAGAAGTGCATTTTTAAAAGCATTTGCTTGATTTTCTAATAGCGAGTTTTAAACTTTCTTTAACTGCTCAACATTGATTTGATTTATTTAGTTTACACATGTTGTTGTTTCTTCAAAAGCTAAAAGTCTTTATTTTTTAATCATATCATTTTAAGTCAAGTTGTCGTTTTATCTGTAAATGTCCTGAAGTTCGTGTCAAGCTTTGCTTTTAGCAGCTTATTGTTGTTTATTATTGTTGTTTTGCTATTTTAATATTCTGTTTCTGTAAAATCGGTGCCAGTGTTTTGTACATTTTACCATCAGTAAGAATAAACGTGATTAGGTGTGCTGTCATCAATGAGAAGAAATAAACCCGCGCTGGTTGTTAGTGTCCGAAGAAACAAGTGGCCGTGTTCTAGATGCTCCTCTGTTTTTAAACACGCTCAGAGCATCACACATCGCGTCTTATGGACACAACGAGGCTGTAAACCACTAAAAACACCCCTTCATAACAAACTTTGTTTCTATTTGAGTGTGTGTCTGTCCTGCGGTTGTCATGGTCACCGTTTCTGGCTTTTGCAGGCCTTAGCTGTTTATTACAGCGTTTTAAAGGCTTGATAGCAGTGGATTAATCTACCTGATTAATAATTTATGTTTGTTACTTTTTGGGGGCAGCAATAGCTCAGGGGGTAGAGCGGGTTGCCTCATGATTGGAGGGTCATGGGTTCGATTCCAGCTCCCACCAGAGGTATCCTGCTGTTGTGTCCTTGGGCAAGACACTTCACCCAACTTGCCTGTGTTGGTGGTGGTCAGAGGGGCCAACGGCGCCAAATGGCAGCCTCGCCTCTGTCAGACCGCCCCAGGGTGGCTGTGGCTATGTAGTAGCTTATCATCACTGGCAGTGTGTGAATGTAAGAGTTCACGCAAGCGTCTGTGAGTGTCCTAATAAAGCGCTATATAAGTTTGATTATTATTATTTAGTTATTGGCTGTTCCTGCTTAGACTTTAGCCGACACCTGCTAGCTCACTGCAGCTCACCATTTAGTTCTTTAGGTGTGACTAGTCGTTTCTGTGTGTTTTTATGTGTGGTTTGAATTCTTCAACGTGTTCTTAAATAAGGTCATATTCAAGTTAAGCTATTATGTTATAATTTGGTCAGATGAAAAGAAATCAGCTGATTTATAAAGACAGAAATAGACAGACCCACACGAGTGAGCTTTACTTTGAAATAACAGGTGAAAATCCTTTTACCTGAGTTTACCTTAAGATGTGTTTGTTAATCATTGACTGTTGAGTGTTGCCCCTATCCTGTACGTGTGTGTGTGTGTGTGTGTTTACATTATTGTGGGCTGATCTAAACATACCTGCTCCGTTATGCACTAACAGGATTATGTGAACAGGAATGTGCAGGTACAGCTCTGTGGCTGCATCTGTTTGATGTGTGTGTCTGTGTGATGTGCTGCCCTTTGAGTAGTCTAGACAAGGATTTTCAGACCTAGACTTTGCTGTATTTTTCACAGGAGATGGCGACCTCTGACCCCTGTGCAAATGCCTCCCCAACTCCGCCCAAGGAGCCGAATGTTTCCCCCTCCCCTCGCAAGAAGCGTAGGCGCCAGAAACCAGAGCAAACCGAGAAGGATAAGGGTATAGACTTGTTCTGCAGACATTGAAGTTCAAATAATGCTGTTTAGTTTTCATGTGGCAGTTGATCATCATTCTGCTTGAGCACTGCTTACTTTCTGGAAATTTAACAGTCAAATAATTTCCACATTGTTAAGTCTGAAGTCATTTGACTTCAAATATGGAGGCTGGGGCGAGTGATGAAAACCTTGACTTCCCTCATTAAACCTCTTGTTAAATATGTGCAAATAACCCATTTCCTTAACTCTTCTTCTGCAGAAGATCCAGAAATGGACAGGAACTGTGACTCCCCTCGAGAGGTGAGCACTCCAGCAGCTACCGCTCTTGTTGTTTCCTACGGAGAGCAACGAAGCAAAGCGCTGAGATGTTTGTGTTTGCAGGGTGAGACCGGGAGGCTCCGGAGGAGGCCCGTTCCCAGGGTGACTTTCCAGGCTGGAGATCCCTACTACATCAGCAGGAGACAGAAAGAAGAATGGCTCAGCCGCTGGAAGATGGAGGTGGGAGACAAACAGGTCTCTGTCTGTCTGAATTTGCACCTACAACACTTCTTTTTTCTCTTAAGCAACCAGTTAGAGTAAAACTGCTTCTTAACACCTCAGTTTGAAAAGTAAAATGCTCACCAGGTTAGTTCTAACTTTGTAATATATGATGTAAAATAATTTTATAGTACTTTTGAGCATTTTCATATAAGGATGAGGCTTTTTTTTTTTTACTAGTCTGATTTGAGTGAAGGGGAAATCCCTCAAAACGCTGGGCAGCATCGCTTTGACTGTCACAAGATTTACACGCCCAGGTTTTTACATGAGTTGTTTAATTTAATGTTTCATTTCAAAATAAAACAAGAACAAATTCCTAAGATTTGTTTTGTGCTGTTTAAATATTGACTTAGTTGGCTTCTGTGTCATTTGAAACACTCTGCTAACCAGCCGCCATCAGAGTCGCTGCCTCACTTTCTGCTGCTGCACCATCTGGCCTCCACCTGTAGGCTCTGAATCTTAAAGGGGGGTTATTATATCACTCCCGGCCGCTCTGTTTTGAGTGTGTTAATTTCTGGTAGAACCATAAAATCGAGGCCTCGACTAAAAACACAAATGATGCAAATGTTCTGCCTACACCTAATTGTTTTCATGTGTTTCTGAAATGCTTTAAAACCTACGGCATAGCTTTTAAACTCTTTATAACCCTTTATAGCCTCTGATAAGTTAAAATCCTAACCTCATCCTAAATATTTTAATAAATCTGAATCTCTTGATGACATAAAGTAAATTTTGTAATTGTGTATTGGACAAGAAGGCATGTAAAAGTCTGAATAGGCAAAGAAATATGAAACAAGTAGATTTTTAATTAATTAAAGATTTTCTGCGTAGTTTTGCTGTGATTTCTATGTTTAATGTCCACTCGGTAGTTTGAAGCCAAGGTGTGCCTGCTGTGACAGATGGTGCAACTTTAACTAAAAAACATGTTTTAAGCCTTTACTGTAAGTTTTTATACTTGTAATTAATTTGATTAACTGTTCATTAATTACCAGATCATCTGTTTTCCTAAAAGTTTTTGAAGCTCTTGTGTATTTTATTTATGTTTTTGTGCCATTTTTGACTCGCTGCGTTGCTGTTTGTAGCATAAAAACTCATCCTAGTCGTTTACTTTTCAAAGGCGAACAAAACTCTTGTGTTTAGAAGTGGCATCAGATCTTATTCAAAGAGGTTTCTCAGATTAAATTGGAAAAGAAAAAGCTCAAACCGCTACAAGCTGAAAAAGTGAAGTCTTGTCATCTTTTAACACCAAAAGTTGTCTACCAGGCAGGAAACTGAAAACCTCAAATCTGAAACAAAACATGTCAGAATCAAAACTAAACTCTATATGTAGACAGAAATATGCCTTAAAAAAACAAGACTGGTGATTGACAGTTAAATAAGTGCAACAAATCAGGGAACAGACACAGAGGGAAATTAGAGATTATGTGACAGATGGAGGCAGAAGAGGAAAGACACAAAGGTGGAATAACGTGACTTCCTGTCCACACTTGGCTCTCACTCTGTGACTCATTGTCACCAACTCTAAAACGTAGTTTCATCGTTCTGAGGAGCCGAGGGGAAGAAAACAATGGAGAAAAGATGCACAATTTATTTTAATATTACAATTAACTCGCTAAAGCAGCCAGGACCGAGAAATGTCCTCAATAAACATGAGTGGAATTAAGAAAGCATGTAAAATACGTTTTGAAGGAGAGAGAGAGAGAGGGAGAGGGAGAGGGAGAGAGAGGGAGAGGGAGAGAGAGAGAGAGAGGGAATGTGTGTTTGACAGAAGTGAGAAAGGAGGCGGGCCAGTAACTGACCCTGGAGTTAACTAGTTCCAGATTCCTACCTGTATGTGGTCATAGATACCCCCCCCCCCCCCCCACACACACACACACACCCACCCACCCACACACACACACACACACACAATACCCCCTTAATGCCCCAGGTCACTGCTTAGGCAAGGAATCCTTGCAGATCTGCAAAGTTTGTCCTCATATTTGGGTTAAGTCAATTCATATCTGCTATTTAATCCACGTGAAACTCTCATCCCTTCCTGTGTGTGTGTGTGTGCGTGCGTGTGTGTGTGCGTGCGTGCGTGCGTGTGTGTGAGCGTTATTCCCATCTGTTTGGGAGAGGAGCCAGTAAATCACACACTTCTCCACTGGCCAATCAGCAGTGAGTAAAGGAAGCTCGGGGGTGAGCGTAGCCGAGGAGACACAGAAAGGAGAGAGCAGGAGGAAGAGTAGGAGGTGAGGCAGATGAAGAAAATGACCGAGAGGAAGAGAGCCAGAGAGGAAGGGTTTCACTTGGAGAGCTTCCATGTCCGACCCGTAAGTGCTTTCAGATTTTCTTTTCCATGCTGCTGCTGGGAGAAATAGACGCCAAAGTTTCTGTTCAGGAAGAGACTTAAACCTCTCTCGTGTTTAATTCATCATTTATAATTAATGACTTTTTGTCTTTTCCTTGAGTTTAAAAGTTTTACTTGATCTAAACAGACTGTCACATATTTGCCTTGGAAGTTTTGTTTCCCAGGTTTAAGTTGTGTCCCATTGCTGAGAGGACAATGTTAACATAACTCCACCTCCAATCACAGCCGCTCTGCTTAGTCAGCTTAAATAAGGTTTGACAGGTCTAGTCTGTCACGCCGATCGTTTCAGGCACTTTCATTTCAACTTTGTTTTAGTTTCAGCCCAACAAGGACAAAAACCCATAAAAGGATGACAAAAAAACACTAAAACTTTTTTCTGGAGTCATTTCTGAAAACCACAAATATAAGAGAAAAAGTCGTTTTCATTTCTACTTTTAAAAAGTGTTTAAGAAAACTTTCAACTGTTTAATTGAACTAGGATAGCCTAAATAACAGTTTTCCAGGAAAATGCTATTTTACAAATCTAATTTGTTCATAAATTTATTTAGACAAAGATATTTTTCAAGTTTTTTACGTGCTGAGAGTAAATCTTGTTTACTACAACAGTCATCAGCTGATTTTCATCAAAACAACAGACTTCTGCAGACTTTGGCCCATTTTATTCTGTTTTTTTTTAATAAATAATAATGAAATAATCAAGTTTACCTGAATATGTTCACAGTCAGAAAATAGCCTCAGCATTTATTCTTCTAGACGCTAACATTCATATTTGTCATTGCTATGAATTGGTGCAGCACATTGTCCAGTGATGGGACGGTTGCTGGTTCGATCTCGGATCAGTCGTGGTCATTCTGCCGCTGTGCTGCGGAAAATGAAGACCGGGTCAGACACATGATGTCACCGAACGACTGAAAGTGAGCCAGCTGTTGGCTGGAAAGGCTCTCCTCGGATCCATTAGCTGTTATGTGTCTTTGTGCAGGTTTTGTTCAGCAATGTGGAGTTCATCCTGAGGTCAGGGTCAGTCACGCTTATAAACAGGCCGGGCTTTAAGGGATGCCTCATTGCTTGGGTCATGGGGTCAGGTGTCAGAGGTCGGGGGGGGGGGGGGGGGGGGCGCTCTAATAGTGAAAACACTGACCGAACCGCGGGGTTTGTCAGAGTTGTAACTGTCAGCTCACAATCCCCCTCTGTCTTTCTTCCTCTTCCTGCTTTTCTTTGCCCTTCGCACTAAAACTCTTCAGTCTCACATTCACTTGTGATGCTGACGGGAGATCACTACGACACCGTTTCACTCTTTGCTTACAAGGTTTTGAGAACAAGTAGAATCATTTGCACTTGATATCTTTTAAAGCCTCATACCATGCCTTCTGATGTTCAGTCCTGCTTTCACCCTTTATAATCTTATTAAATCATAAACTCTCTGAGAAAACAGGCTCCAGAGAGGAAGAAAGTTTATTCCTAATTCAGATCCTGGCAAATGGACATCGTTTCTTATGTTTTAGTGGGTTTTTTAAATCGCTATTTGGTCACAGCATCTGTCGTTTAGATTTTAACTGCATCAAACGGTGAAATGGGTGCTCATCCGATGCTCTTATTGTTTTATTTTACACAAAAGTTCTGTTCGCATCCCAAAGAAAATAAAACTTGACACAGAATACTCTTAAAGTGATTGAAAAGAAAAAGCAATGCTGCGTTTATGCATTTACCGGAGCAAATATTTAACTCTGTGCAAATATAAATATGGTTGTAGTCACATCAGCTGGTGTTTGATTGAATGAGACCGACTCAGAAGCTTAAGTAGACAAGTACGCATTAATATGTCACCCGTGACTCATCTTCATCCCTGAATGGAGGAAGATAAAGAAAAAACTTCCTGGTTGAGTGTTCCGTCAGCTGATGTTGCCAGGCAACAAACACAGTTTCATCCCTAGCTGGTCTTTGGCTGATTGCTCTCGGCGACAGGATCCAGAAGCAAAGCCTCTAAGGATTCAACACGAGCAGATTAGCCAACAGCAACAATTTAGTAGTGTAAAAAACTTTATTATTAACACAAATATGTCTCGTGGTGTACAGCATAACTCTTACGTGCTTCAAAATATACGATACTATATAAAATATTTATTTTCTTGTTGATTAAATATAATTTAATCAATCAGATCAGCACAGCTAGACATGTCAGAGACTTTAGAGCCATAACATGAGATTTTATTAAAATATTTATTAAAATATCTGACCTGTTTTGGATGAAGAAATAAGAATATTAAACCAGAAGTTTCTCATAAATTCATGCTTTATAGTTTCTCTCTAAGAGTTAAAGCCTGGATAAAAGACAATAGGCAAACCTGTAATTGAGCATTATTAAATATATACAGTAAATATTACAAAATAACAGTTTTACCCCAATTATTTAGAAAATAGTGACAACATATGGAGATATGCTTACAGTGTGTGTGTGTGTGTGTGTGTGTGTGTGTGTGTGTGTGTGTGTGTGTGTGTGTGTGTGTGTGTGTGTGTTGTCTAAATACCATATAAAAGGCCGATTAGGATTTTATGAGGTCAGAGGTCAATAGGAGCGTTGAGAAATGACCTCCTCACCTCAGAGTCAAATGGAGGTGAGAAGCAATACAACCCCAAACTCTCACTTTTATGGTTTCCTCTACACGAGTTCACACCTTCAGCTCAGCCCCGTTTCTTTTATCTGATTTACTGATGCAGTAGAGACCGTTTTTGTTGCTGTTCAACTTTTCTCTTCCGACCTACGGCTCAGCAAACGGTTCAGTGTCAAACGTCATCATTAAGCTTCTGAGATGTTCTGGTGGAGTCTTTAGATCTCACATCTCATGAGTTTTTTTTTCTCATTTGTTTCACTTTATTAGGATGATATATATTTATTTAATCTTTAATCTGATGACAACGTTTGATTTTCTGCAGCTGAATAATTATAGTGTTTTTCTCCCAAGTCAAGCCCTGAAAACTGCTTTTGTAATTTTTGTTAAAAGTCGAAACATAATGTTTTCAGATTTTAAATCATTTAAAAAATAAGCCAAACAGCTTTAAAAAAAACAAATCTAAACATATTTGTTTGTAGTTTTAATTGCACATGTATCCACACCTCAGTATTTCTAGACCATGAATGTCTTTTTACTGTGTCAACATGTTAATATCAGGCAAGGCAGCTTTATTTATATAGCACATTTCATACTCAGAGGCAATTCAATGTGCTTTCCATTTGCAAGGATATCAAGAACATTAAAATCAATATCAAGAACATTAAAATCAACGTGACAGAAAATACTAATTAAAAATTTAAAAGAAACAAAGTTAAAGGGTGAGCAAATACAGAGCAGAAGGTGCAGCATAAAAACATTGATTCAAAGGATGATGAAAACATGAAGGTTTTCAATTTTGATGTAAAAGTTTCTAGAGTTGGGGCAAATTTGAGGTCATGAGGAAGCTGATTCCATCTGAACAGCATCATGACTCGAGGTAAGTGCCAAACCCAAGACATGCAGAATCATTACTCGTCGGGCAGATTGATAAAGTAAAGTTCTTTATTACAAGACGGGAACAGAAACAGAACAGGGAAGTCCTGTGCGAGTGAGTGGTGCGGCTCAAGTCCGTGTAGCGTTTGGGATGAACGAGAGAGGAGGGGAAGCCGAGGAGAGCGCTGGGCAGAGGGTGAGCGCTCCAGGAGGGGTGAGGTAGCAGAGGGAAACCAAACAGGAACAACGGAGGAGGATGGGACGTGGTGTGTGAAATCCAGAGTACGTAGACAGCGAAGGTGGAGCAGGTGGTGTGAGGATCCTGAGGGGAAGGGAAACAAACACCAGACGTAAGGGGTAATACAAAACGTAGTCCAAAAAACACCGTCCGAGGTCATTAATCCAATAGTCAAAGAGCGAGTCAAAACATGAATAAACGAGCAAAGCAAGTGGCTGGGGCTACCTAAACTGGTGCTATCATCCGGCACAGTGAGGTGTCTCCAGACTCACCTCTGCCCAGGTACATGACACATAGTAGCTAAAAGCAGCTTCACCCTGTTTGGTTCTGACCCGGTTCTACCAGCTGACCGCTTCCTAAGGATCTCAGAGCCCTGCTGGGCGTAGATACAGGAAGGAGATCTGACATGTATTCTGGCCCCATGCCATTGAGTTATTTATAAACTAGTAGAAGTAGTTTGAAATTGATTCTGTAGTTTACTGCTAACCAGTGTAGAGGTTTAAGAACAGGAGTGATGTGTTTGTTTCTCCTGGTTCTTGTCAAGACTCTAGCAGCAGCATTCTGAATAAGCTGCAGTTGCTTCACAACTTTTATAGGGAGACCAGTCAAAAGACCATTGCAATAGTCCAGCCTGCTGGAAATTAACACATGACTGAGTTTCTCTAGGTCTTGTCTGGACATGAGACCTCTGAGTCGTGCTATTTGATGCAGATGATAAAACACCGACCTAGTTATAGCCTTAATGTGACCAGTGAAGCTCAGGTCTGAATCATTTATGACACCAAGATTTCTAACCTGGGTCTTTGTCTTTATTCCTCTGGAGCCAAGCTGAGCAATAACCTCCATCCTATCCTTCTGATTTCCAAAGACAATAACTTCTGTCTTGTCTTTGTTTAACCGGAGGAAGTTTATTGCATCCAGTCATTAACTTGCTCCAAACACTGATAGAGTGAGTCTAGAGGACTACAGTCACTAGGTGATAGAGCTAGGTAGATCTGGGTGTCATCTACATAACTATGATAGATAATATTGTTAGTGTTTATGACCTGACCCAGGGGGAGCATGTGGAGATTGAAGAGAAGTGGTTCAAGAATTGAGCCTTGGGGGACCCCACGTCATGGTGATCAGTTTTAATTTGTGATCACCAATAGAAACAACATATTCCTTGTCTTCAAGATGAGATTGGAACCAACTATGGACTGTGCCTGAAAGTCCCACCCAGGTTATGAGCCTATCAAGAAGGATGGTGTGGTCCACAGTATCAAAATCTGCAGTGAGATTGAGCATCATCAGGACAGATCTTTTGCCTGATAATTAGACGAATGTCATTTAATATTTAAATAAGTGCAGTCTCCATGCGGTGGTGTTGTCTAAAGCCTGATATTAGCAAGTTTGAAAGTTTGGACACAGTAAAAATAAATTATTAGGTGTCTTTAATGATTAGCATGCTGTAACGATAATAAGAACACAGCTAAGCTAACTGATTAGCCTAGAAATAAGACATTTTTATCACAATCCAAACTCTGTTCCATTTAATTTACACCTTCTCAGTGGTCTACTGGTATGCATGTCCACTCTGGGACTGGGAGATCGGGGTTCAAATCCGGATGGGTCATAACAAAGACTTTAAAAATGGGACCCAATGCCTCCCTGCTTGCATTAAGGGGTTCCCGAGCACAGCCACTACTGCAGCTCATCGCTGAATGGGTCAAATGCGGAGATGTATTTTCAGCAGTGTGCGATGATGACTAATGGTATTTTAAGCTGCTAATAATTTCTGTGTTCTATGTTCGTTACAAAAGCAGGTCAGATTATAACTTTAATAAGGTATTTATTAACTTCTTGTTTTTAGAGCAAAAGTAGAGCTATTGTAATGAAAATCTGGCCTAGCATATCTTCTGTCCTTTTGTGTCGTTCTCAGAAATTGCACTTTCTCTCTGCCTGTAGTGTATTATCCAGATTTTTCATATAATCCTATTTACTCACCGACTCTTTGTCTTCTCTCTGCTTTCCAAGCTGAACCCGTTGAACTGTGTTGCCACCGCACCCGTTCTCTACACTCACTTCCTGTTTAGCCAAACAATTAAAGGACTGTAGCTGCTGCTGTAGCCTCCGAAGGCCTTGATCCATAGCAGCCATCAGATTAGTTTGAATTTTGAGTGTTTGACTTCACAATAACAAGGAAAAAATGAGATTCACATGAAATGAGCATTTTGAGATTTTAATAGAAACGATATTTTCATTTTAATGAGAGTTTTGTGGCTTCATGCCCAAAAATGTCCACATAACTTTTGTTACATTTTCTACTAAAAGATGGGAATTTTTGTGCTCAACAAACTAATAGAAGTTTTCAAAAGAGTCAAGACTTTATTTTTCTTATAAATTAGAGGTACTTTTTAAAAATTATAGAATAAGTTTGATGTTTAATATGTGTTCTAAATACAATGAGACCATTTTAAGTTGTGTTTTTGGATTATTCACAGTTGATTTCTCAATTAACCTTGATGTGGTGGCCTGACTGGCCATAACTGCAAAAGCAGCAGTAGCTCAGAAGGTAGAGCGGGTTGTCCGGTAATCGGAGGGTTTTAGGATCGATCACGACTCCCAGCAGAGAATGCTGCTGTTGTGGCCTTGGGCAAGACACTTAACCCCACTTGCTTGTTGGTAGTGGTCGGAGGGGCCGGTGGCGCCAGTGTTCGGCAGCCTCGCCTCTGTCAGTGCGCCCCAGGGCAGCTGTGGCTGCATTGTAGCTCATCACCACCTGTGTGTGAATGTGTGTGTGAATGGATGAATGATACACTGTAGTGTAAAGCGCTTTGGAGTCCTCTAACTCTGAAAGGCGCTATACAAGTGCGGGTCATTTATCATTATTATTTATTATAATCTGAAATTGATATTGGCCCACATTAGTGCCGTTTCCACTATCGGAACTCCAAACAACGAAGAATGCTACCCCCCCCCCCCCCCCCCCCCACACACACACACTGCAAAAAACAACTTCTCTTCTGGTCATTGAACGCCTTTTACTTCACACGGCCACCCTCTTCGTCCTCCAACTGGATTAGATTACGACGTACCTTGACTGAATAAAACTTTTAGCATTATGAATGTCTGTGGATGCATTCTGGCGTTGATCTGTGACATCACTCACTGTGAAAGCAGTTGCGATATTCTTTACGATGACTTAAGGACATCCTGAAAGGGACGATTTTTTTATCAAGACACAGCAGCTGAGATGAACAAGCCATCGTATCTCCTATAAGACGGCCATTTTAATTTCAGTGCGTCCTTTTTTCTAATGGTAACAAACAGAACATTTGTAATCTCTTTCTGTTTGGTTCTTGGCAGGCGGAAAGACGGGCGTACCGGGAGGCAGAGATTAACATGATGGACGACCTATCGGAGGTCGACTTTCAAAAAGAGGAGGGGCCAGCCAGCCCGGCCCCTCCCCCCTCACAGCAACACACAGATCCCGCCTCTCCAACGGTTGCCGTGACACCAGAGCCTGTTGCAAGGGGAGACCAGGCCATGCCCAGTGAGATCGAGTACCAGGTGAGACAAATCTTTTTCACATTTTTAGAGTCTTAGAGCTCAAAAAGAGGAAAAGGGGACAGCTAACAAGTACATGGTCCTTGTCCTTCCTGTTGTCTTCCTGTTTCTTATCGGTTCTCTAATTCCCCCCCTCTGTTGGTGAGTGTTGTGTTGGGAAGATCTACAGGATTTAAATGTAATATTCACCCATTACTACGAATCCCAGAGCTCATCCAAGGCCCTTGTTTAGATCAAAGTCCAGGAAGTTTATTTTTATTTCTCTTTAAACATGTACCATTTAAAATGAACACCATCCTAAATGCAAAACCACAAGATTTAGTTGTTAATTTATTATTTATAAAACAATTGTGCTAATAGATTAAAAAGCTGCAATTTCAACGGGGAATTAAAAGTTGAAAGCATGATGACAGAGGCTTTAATCTGTAACTAATAAAAATAAACATAGGTTACCTTGTGACTCGGCATGTTTGAAAAGGTGAGATTTTGGGTGACAGCTGAATGTGGGAATTAGCATTTCGGCTCTCAGTCCTGATTGTCTGAAGCCTGGAGGGGGAGGATTTCAGGAGGAGAGGAAGGAGGTCGGAAATTTCCTGAGGGGTGAGAGCATGAAGGGACCTGTCGGTGAGGAGGGCAATCTGATTTTGTACAGCGAAGCCGAGCCAGTAGATGAGAGCAGCAGTCGTGTTGCCACGTTTTAGTGTGGGGGACGTTTGGTCACGCTGCAGCCCATCCAGAACTTTTCTGCTCACCATTACAGTTCACCAGGTGGGAGGTGATGAATGCGTTGATGAGTATCATGTTCTTTTGGAGCTCTTCGTGGTTGTTTTTGTGTGTTTTTTGGCTTGAACACAAGCTTCCAAAATCTGAAATGTATTAATTAATGAGAAGTTATAACAAAATGTGTTAGAAATGTCCGTAAATTTATAATAAATCATGTAAAACTACAAAGATTTAGTTGTATTTTATCATGACCTCGTCTAATAATCTGTAAAAAAAAAAAAAAGTTTAGGTGGTACACATTCAAACGCTGTATTGTTATAATTAAACATTTTCTTTATAATCTTGGGACAAAGTCATTCAGTGGAAAAACATGTTTTGATTCAGGACGGCCGGGGTTTTAGCATCGGGACTCTGGTGTTTGGGAAGCTGCGAGGCTTTTCCTGGTGGCCCGGCAGGATCGTCTCCTGGTGGATGAGCGGCCGGAGTCGAGCTGCAGACGGCACTCGCTGGGTCATGTGGTTCGGTGATGGAAAGTTCTCTGTTGTGAGTAGGATAACAAAAAGTTTGATGTTTTCCCCAATAAAAATAATTGAATTCACACAACTGCCAGGGGTTATTTAATATTTGCTTTGCTCTCAGCAGAATTTAGACTCTGAAGTTGTCTCAAGGAAAATTTTGAATGTGTTTTAATTTATTTTGCAGGTTTGTGTGGAGAAACTGATGCCCCTGAGCTCCTTCTCATCCGCCTTCCACCAACCAACGTACAACAAACAGCCCATGTACCGGAAGGCTATCTTTGAAGCTCTGCAGGTACCAAACCCACTTTTTGTGGTGGACAGACTAATTCCTGGCCCATAAAGTGTGGGGGCGATGAAATGCTGAAAAAACAAAAATATAAATGTGGTGGCTAAAGGTCAGAGAGGTCTTATGCAACCAGTGCCGATTCACGCTGACGCTTGTTGGTATTTTACATTTGTGGAGGTGTGTCCTCCTCCTCTACCCACGTTTTATTTGTGGTAAAATGAATTTTGCGCAGCAATCTATAATTTAGTGGGTGTTTTAGTAGCTAATACAAAATATTTTCCACAGTATGTGCCGTGTCTTAAAACATCTGGCATAGTTTGTGCCCTTTTTATTAATGTTTTGCTCAGGTAGCCAGCGTGCGGGCAGGGAGGCCAGTTCCGTCATGTGACACGAGCGAAGACGCCGAAGCGGTGGAACTTCAGACCAGACAGATGATTGAGTGGGCAATGACCGGCTTCCTGCCCAATGGTCCTCAATCACTGGATCCTCCAGAAGGTCAGCGGTAACACACATCCACACACTAGCCACATCCTTTAGGTAATCACCAACCAGTAGAGACATGAGTAGGTGTGAATCTAACCCCCAAACTGGTTTTAAACTGGTCTGAGCTGAGCCATCAGACCCCAGAGTTGATCTATATCTACTCACTAAAGAAATTTAGCTTTTAGTCTAAATAAAAAAGACTTGTCTGGTTCCAGATTCATGCATATTTGCATTTTTGTGTAGCAACAAACACCTAGAAATGGAACAAATATGGAAAAAGGTACCAACATTCAATGTGTGGCAAAAAGTCTCATTAATGCAAAAAAGCTAAGCCAAATAATGCAAAATGATTATGTAATTTAGAGCTTCTGTTAGTTTTTTCCCATTTTGTAAACATTTCTTATTTTATTATATGTGCAAAATCTGGAATAAAAATGACTTGTTCTTGTTCAAACAGTAGCTATGTTTACATGCGCCAAATTTCCCCTATGCGATTCAAATCCTGGTTGATCGTAAATCCCACATTTCTGTTTGACACCATGGACTCACTGAAATGATCCGATCATGCCGTGAGTATATATGCACCAAAAATTCAACCGTTAAATAGGCTGAGCACGCGCAGAGTTGTCTTTCCCGGAATAGAATTGTAAACAAACTCCATCTTGTCCGCACATCTTTTCCCTCGCATTTTATTTTCTTATTCTCCAGCTTCGTCTGCTGAGTTACGGATTTTTCCCCCATTATGGATCACTTCTGTTTACCTTACTTGTCCTGAGTGGCTGCAATGGCAGAAAGACGTCACGCTGAAGATGCACACGTGCAGCGGGCGTTATTATAATCCAACAACCCGAATGGATGTGTAGATGGCGATAGGACAAAACCACCTCTCTCCGTCGGAATGAAATGTCATTTCAGTCAGGCTGTATGGGATCAGAATATTCTGACTGACATGTTTAAATGAATAATTTTCAAACTGATAGGGCATTCATTCCGATTACTTGTGCCCATGTAAACAGATCTACTGTTCTGGGTTTAAAATGGTTCATAATTGTACGCCTTTATTCCCACAGAGGAACAAAATCAGTTCAAAGAGGGATACGTAGAAATGTGGCCGGAGCCCGAGGCAGCTTACACACCTCCACCTGCAAAGAAACCACGCAAGAACTCGGCAGAGAAAGCAAAGATCAGAGAGGTGATCGACGAAGGAACCAGAGGTAAACACGCAGTCGCTCTCAGGTCCTGCTTTTTACCCGTGTTTATATACCACAGTCAGAATTTTGTGCTAATGCTAGAAAACACAAACATTTTTTAAACGTGTGAAGTTCCAGCTTTATTAAAGCTGGATCTAACATGTTTTCTATTCTTTCCAGAGAGACTCATACATGAGATCAAGAAGAAAACCAGGAATATTGAAGGTAGTAACAAATAAAAATGGTGTCTTTATCTCTCTCTGGTGTATTTATTCTCCAGAAAATAAAGCAGAATTTATAACCTGATTAATAACCATGTTGTCCCTCCTCTTCTACTAAATATATCACTTTTTATTCCATTATGATTCACAATCACTGCCTTATAAACCCATCATGAGAATATTACCTTGTAAAGATGCTCATTAAGGTAACTTTGAGTCCGTTTCAAATGTTGTTTTACGAAAAGTTTTCAAGATTTTTGCTCACTTCAGTGTTTTTCCATCTAAAATTGTTTATTTGTGGAGTCAGATGTTGAAATCACAGCTCTTGTTAAGGGATTAAGCTACAAATTTAAAATCTGAAGTTATAACCCAAAGTTTGTCTGTAAAATCCTACAATAGAGATCATGTTCTGATATAAATATGATTGTGTTTTTTTAGACATCTGCATCTCCTGTGGAAGTCTGAACGTCTCTCTGGAGCATCCTCTCTTCATAGGATCAATGTGTCAGGGCTGCAAAGTAAGGAGCCTCCCTGATAAACCCTCTCCTCTCTGAGTCACGTGTGTATACATAAATATAGAATTATACCCGTTTTTGAAAGGCTGCCAGTAAAAAGTGGATAAAAATTGCTAAAATGACACAAATTTGACCAATATCCTTTGTGGAATTTGTTTTTTCAAGCTACTAAGTCCCAGCTAAAACGCTGGTTAACATTCTTAGCTAATAAACAACCAACCGTCTTGTGTTGTTCTTTCACAGAACTCCTTCCTGGAGTGCGCCTACCAGTATGATGATGACGGCTACCAGTCCTACTGCACCATCTGCTGTGGAGGGAGGGAAGTGCTCATGTGTGGCAACAATAACTGCTGCAGGTCAGTGTGAGTTGATCGGTCTGGGATCGGGATTCAGCGGCTTCTTCTTGTGACCAGATGGTTTTGGATTTCACATCCACTGAAACAGTTTGAAAGCGAAATGTCAGAATCTGATTTGTGGCTTTCTCTGTGATCAGCTGAGTCGGCCAGTTCACGTGGAACAGGTTTATTTTTTTCGAGGACGCAGTTTATTTTGGCACGTGAGCTTTAACCTCCTGATTGCATGCAGCAGAGATCAGAGAGGAACGTTTATAAACTCAGAGTCAAAACATCAAAATGTGAGCAGAGTGACACAAAACAATAGGAGGCAAAGATGGTTTGTTTATATTGTGTGTGTGTGTGTGTGTGTGTGTGTGTGTGTGTGTGTGTGTGTGTGTGTGTGTGTGTGTGTGTGTGTGTGTGTGTGTGTGTGTGTGTGTAGGTGTTTCTGTGTGGAATGTGTGGATCTCTTGGTTGGAGCCGGCTCAGCTGCAGCAGCTATCAAAGAAGACCCCTGGAACTGCTACATGTGCGGACCTCGGAGCACCTATGGGTTGCTGCGACGACGGGACGACTGGCCAATCAGACTACAGCATTTCTTCGCCAACAACCACGAGCAGGAATTCGTACGTTGTTTTTCTCTCTGTGACACTGAAACGGTTTTATCGTATGAAGTAGACTTTAACCATTTCTAATGGCAGAATTATGGGCTCGATGCACGAGAGGCGACATCGCCTCTCCATTCATTTTCAACGAGACATGCGCGACAAAGCGATAATCGCGGGTCTCCCTCCTACTAAGCGAAACGCGAAAAACGTGCATGGGAAATTTTGCGCTCGTGCACGTGTCGTGCACAGGCGACCCAGCAACGCGATCCCAGAAAGTTTAAATATTTTCAACTTTTCGTCGCTGTCACTCAGACAAGGACCAATCAACGGAGGTTTCATTCACTGACCAATGAGGGGACAGGATGCTCCGTACATCTCTGAGCAAACATGGAGGAGAAGTTGATACTTGCTGTGAAGGATTTCCCAGAACTGTACAATATTTCTACCAAAGATTATAGAGATATTCACAAAAAGGCCGCGGCATGGGTCCCTCATTAAATTATAGCATTCTCCTTTTCTTTCTCTGGTTTGTAACATGGGATGAACCCATTCTCGGGTTTTTTTGTTTTATATAGTAAAATCAGAAGTAAGATCTCACATAAATCTAGCAGCATCTTGTGAAACATCATTTCTAATGCTTTTTTTAAAACTCTGAACCACTACCAGCCAATCAAAACAACAGAAGAATCGATTTCGCCATGGAACAGAACGCGTCGACAGCTTGTCCGCTGCCGCGGGTCGCCTCCCGTGTGTCAGGTAGTAAAAGCGACAGCGACGAATTTCGCTGATCGCGGTCGTTTGTCACTTCCCGTGTGTCGAGCCCATTAGTGTCAGCACTCTAAGCTTCGTCTTTTAGTCATCCAGACAACTGGATGTATAACTACAATTTATAAATAAAGGAAAATATAGAGTCTTAAGATAAGCTTTTGTGTTCATCCCTGTTATCACTTTTTTCTCAGGAACCAGCCAAATTGTATCCTCCGGTCGCAGCAGAGAAGAGGAAACCGATCAGAGTCCTCTCCCTATTTGATGGCATTGCCACAGGTATTTACCACCTGTAGATGAGTGTTTGTTGTTGGCCTCAAGGGCAACCTGCTGGCTTGATTATCACCTGTAAGTCGCTTTGGACAAAAGCGTCTGCTAAATACATAAACATAATCAAAGATGAGGTTTGTAGTGAAAGACTGTGAAACGTGCCGTGTGATAACACAGTATGATCCAACTCAGGCCTGCTGGTGCTGAAAGATCTGGGCATCCAGGTGGACAAGTACATCGCATCCGAAGTGTGTGAAGATTCCATCACTGTGGGCCTGGTTCGACACCAGGGACGCATCATGTACGTGGGCGATGTACGCAACGTCACTCGCAAACATGTAAGTCACGTCTCCTCATCTTTTCAGCCACGAGGTTGCAGCAGTTATTTAAAGTTATCCGTGTTGGTTTTCTCTGTCAGATTGAAGAGTGGGGACCATTTGACCTGGTTATTGGAGGAAGCCCCTGTAATGACCTCTCTATAGTCAACCCTGCAAGGAAAGGCCTTTATGGTAAGATGTGTTCGGCTGTTTCAAAAGGTGTAAAGGTTATGGCCAGAGAATGGAACTGACAGGATGCTTTAGGACGTAATGGGAGAATAGAGCTGTTAGCTCATCAGTCAACTGATTCTGTAAAATGAGAACATTTAGGAAGACCTCTACAGTGGGTAAAACAGGCATTAGTAATAACTTTTATACAGAAACATGTTTCATAATCTCCCAAAATGCATTTAAAAAGATGTATCTGTTTGTCTAATGAGTTAAAATGTAGCCAAATGTTATCTTTTATCGGTTTTGTGTTTGCAGAGGGAACTGGGCGGTTGTTTTTTGAGTTTTATCGTCTGCTGCACGAGGCTCGACCAAAACCAGACGACGAGCGGCCGTTCTTCTGGCTCTTCGAGAACGTGGTCGCTATGGGAGTGAGCGACAAGCGGGACATCTCCCGATTTTTAGAGGTGAAACAATCAGACAACACAAACACAGCTCAGAGGTTTGGTTAAATGATTTGTGTTTCACAGAAATATCGTGTTATTTAATCCTATATGAGCTTTTTAAGTAGACTTCATTTGCTGTTTTCTCCTCAGTGTAACCCAGTGATGATCGACGCCAAGGAAGTCTCTGCTGCCCACCGCGCTCGCTATTTCTGGGGAAACCTGCCAGGCATGTCCCGGTAAATCTCACAAACACCAAAAGACACATTCTACATTTTTAACAGAAATTCTACTTTAAATTAAAACAATGTGTTTCTGTTTCCTGCAGACCTCTAACGCCGATGGCCAACGACAGGCTGGACTTACAGGAGTGCCTCGAACACGGCCGCACAGCTAAGGTATCCAACTGCTTTCGTGTGTGTGTGTGCGCGTGTGTGAGTTTGAATGCATTCTTTTTATCTTTGTCATTTAAATATCTCATTTCCATCATTTTAAGATTGTCTACTAACATTCTGCTGCTCCTGTTTACTATTTAAAGTCTCTTCCTTTTAAAAGCAGCACTGTTGTACCAAAGGAGTTTAGCCGCAGGAATAAAACAGGATGTGTGTGTTTGTTTGCATCTGTTTGTGTTTCTGTGTGTGTCTGGTTCTGGATGCAAATTCCAGTTTGAGAAGTTGCGTACGATAACGACACGCTCCAACTCTGTGAAGCAGGGGAAAGACGAGCATTTTCCCGTCTTCATGGACAACAAGGAGGACATCCTCTGGTGTACGGAGATGGAAAGGTACAGTGATGTTTCTGTGCTTGTAGGTCTCATTTCACCTCAGTAGTTCACATGTTCCGGAAGAAAAGTGACAAAAATAAAAAAAAATTATTGTTTCTGCAAACTAATTGATGTAGAGACAATCATGACCAGAATGCACGAACATTTCTGCAGCAGCACACAGATTTTCTTGGTTAATAAAGTCATCTAGAAGTCTGATGCACGATTACAACCTCGTTTATCGGATATCCCACTTATGTGAGTGTGATTATGATTATTGTGCTCACCAAATTTGAGTCATTAATTAGTTTTCTAATCATTATTTACGAAAGTACATTAAGAACCATTTTGAGTCTTGGAATTTTATTTTCATCTGGGAGCAAAGTGTTTAATTTCTGGGACATTTTAAACTCTGGCAGGCCCTTGAAGCACGGTGACGTTTTGCCTCCTTTAGGCTCAGCTCGTCGCCTCTTTTATCCAGCGGTAAACAATGAAATGTCTGACTCTTTCCAGGGTGTTTGGTTTCCCAGTCCACTACACCGACGTGTCCAACATGAGTCGTCTGGCTAGGCAACGGCTGCTGGGACGTTCCTGGAGCGTCCCCGTCATCAGGCACCTCTTCGCCCCGCTCAAGGAGTACTTTGCCTGCAACTAGTTACAACTTTCTCTAACACACACACACACACACACACACACACACACACACACACACACACACACACACCAACTACAAACAGTACATGAAGGTTGGCTAACGCAGAATGACTCAGACCGGTCACACACATAAACACAAACACACACATACATAAAGTAAAGGACTGCTTCTCTACATCCCGTATAGATCACTGGTTGACCTTTGTCCCCCTGGTGCTACCTTGCTGATTTTTAAACACACTGGTGCAGGGTTTCTGTACTGTAACTCTTCATACACACACTTCCTGTTCCAACCTTGAAACTGATGTCTTCTGGCTTTAATGTGCTGCAATAGCTGGAGTTTTAGCCTCCAGGGGGCGCAATACTCACACAAACGCCCCAACTTTGTGTTTTTATTATGTCTCTGAACACATCAACACACTAGTGACTCCTTCTGCCATAAAGCATAACTGAATTCATGTTTAGTGACAGATCTACTGGTGTACTACAGTGAAATGAACACAGGTACATCCACACACACCAATTAATGCTTGTGGTGCTAGTCAGGTAGTGACAGAGTCCAAATGGTGCCATTTCAATACTACATTTTTATAGTTTTTGGTGCTCTTAGAGGCTCAATTCAACCGGACTTTTACAAGCAGGCAGAAGCAAAAAACAGAGAGCAAATGGTTTTTAAAAGTAAAAATTTAAAGTGGATTTTTGTTTCAGAGTGACTTTTACTAAGCTAGGTTTTAAGATTTCATGCTTCTTCAAGGAAGAGCAGCTCTGGTTCCACAATGATCTCAGCATATTGGTTTAAACCTGTTTGTATTTAAATTCAACCAGCTTGATCTAAAATACTGGGATGGATGGTTATTGAATAAATATTAAAGAATACTGCAGCAGTTTAGAAGATTTGATAAAGAAGAGTTTGGATAATAACGTCAATATTTGCTGTTTAGGATAGATTTAGCTGTGCAAAAACACGACTAAACCTTAAAATAACAGAGCATCCTCCTTAGCATTTAGCTAGTGCTGCTCTAGAACATAAACAGTACCTTTGATGAGCAAATATGTGTATGTATCAGTATTTTCATGCTTCATAGAGCCTGTCGCTGTCTGCTACTGGACCAACGGTTAGCATCATGTCCAAAGCTTTGTGGCATTAATCTTTTGAAGTTCCAGCCCGCTTTAACTCACCTTGTGAGATCCTGCAGAGCAGCGCTTCCTACAGAAACTAAACTGAGTCATCAAAGGACTTAGATTCTGGCAGCAGCATGTAATGAACCCTCCTCTTGAGATGCATCGTCTCTCGTGCCTCAACTCTAGCGTTGCCCTTTTTTGTCTGGTGAAACCATCCACCAGTCGTTGGCTCCATAGAAATTCACTTTGTGCTTCAGTTCCTGCAAAGCAGCGACATCCACTGGAATCAGAGACAGACTTTTACTGCTGGTTTTCTGCTTTCTACATCTGAAACGGATAACCCTGGATAAATAACCGACAGTTCCTTATATAACACAACTTTTTTATTCTGCCTTCTGCTGACAATAAACTCAGCTGCTGCTCGACTTTAGCAGAGGGGGTGGCTTCTTTTAAGTGAGGCAGTTTCTAATTATCTCACACACACACTTGCACACACACACACACATGCGCGCACACACACACACACACTTGTTAAGAAACACACAGTCACTGATGTGTGTTTTACCTACACAGGGCTGTCTTCTGGTTCATCATTTCAGTCTGGTGCTTGTGGTCTTCAGACGACCATCTTTTCCAGAAAGCCTTCCAATCCTCTGACCGTTCTCAGATACCAGCTTCTAACTTTACTCCTGCTGTCTATGATGACACACACACACACACACACAGCCTCTCAAGTTAACAATAAACCAGCAGGTTCAAACTTTTCCATCATGTTTACTCACTGTTTCTACAACCAACCTTCAGGTGCTTTTTTAACTGCTCTTTTTTACAGTGCTCTTGCAGGTCGCACACACACACACACACACACATATTAGCTGGAAACACAGCTAATAATACCTACTCTGTTATGAAACATCACAATCACACATGCATACACACTGTGTTCTTTACCGGTCGCCTGCTGCCATCAGGCTTCCTACGGCGCTGCAGAGTGTGACATCATCACCCTGCGACGCTTGGTGCTCCCATCCCCACATCCTTCTCTCTGACCCAAATCCCCTCTGAACACCACCATCCCCAGGTGCTGCATGTCAGTCAGTCAGTGTAATCTCTGATTCCATGTTAGATTAGGGAGTAATGATAATAATAATATTATGGTAATAGTAATTACAATAATAATCTGTTATCGTGTTTGTGTACTGTTCCAGGTTGGTGCTCAGTTCAGTTCAGTCTCGGCCTACAGAGGGGAGAGAAGGAGGCTAGAGAAGGCATATATTACAGGTGCTGGCCAGTAAATTAGAATATCATCAAAAGGTTGAAAATATTTCAGTAATTCCATTCAAAACGTGAAACTTGTACATTATATTCATGCAATGCACACAGACCAATGTATTTCCAATGTTCATTACATTTAAATTTGATATTCATAAGTGACAACTAATGAAAACTCCAAATTTGGTATCTCAAAAAATTAGAATATTCTGAAAAGGCTGAATATAGAAGACACCTGCTGCCACTCTAATCAGCTGATTTACTCAAAACACCTGCAAAGGCCTTTAAAAGGTCCCTCAGTCTTGTTTTGAAGGCACCACAATCATGGGGAAGACTTCTGACTTAACAGCTGTCCAAAAGACAATCATTGACACCTTGCACAAGGAGGGCAAGACACAAAAGGTGATTGCTAAAGAAGCTGGCTGTTCGCAGAGCTCTGTGTCCAAGCACATTAACAGACAGGCGAAGGGACGGAAAAAATGTGGTAGAAAAAAGTGTACAAGCTCTAGGGATAACCGCACCCTGCAGAGAATTGTGACGACAAACCCATTCAAAAATGTGGGGGAGATCCACAAAGAGTGGACTGCAGCTGGAGTCAGCGCTTCATGAACCACCACGAGGAGACTCATGAAAGACATGGGATTCAGGTGTCGCATTCCGTGTGTCAAGCCACTCTTGAACAAGAAACAGCGCAAGAAGCGTCTCGCCTGGGCCAAGGACAAAAAGGACTGGACTGATGCTGAGTGGTCCAAAGTTATGTTTTCTGATGAAAGCAAGTTCTGCATTTCCTTTGGAAATCAAGGACCCAGAGTCTGGAGGAAGAGCGGAGAAGCACAGAATCCACGTTGCATGAGGTCCAGTGTAAAGTTTCCACCGTCAGTGATGGTGTGGGGTGCCATGTCATCTGCCGGTGTTGGCCCACTCTGTTTCCTGAGGTCCAGGGTCAATGCAGCCGTCTACCAGGAAGTTTTAGAGCACTTCATGCTTCCTGCTGCTGACCAACTTTATGGGGATGCAGACTTCACCTTTCAACAGGACTTGGCACCTGCACACAGTGCCAAAACCACCAGCACCTGGTTCAAGGACCATGGTATCCCTGTCCTTGATTGGCCAGCAAACTCGCCTGACCTTAACCCCATAGAAAATCTATGGGGTATTGTGAAGCGGAGGATGCAATACGCTAGACCCAACAATGCAGAGGAGCTGAAGACGACTATCAGAGCAACCTGGGCTCTCATAACACCTGAGCAGTGCCACAGACTGATCGAGTCCATGCCACGCCGCATTACTGCAGTTATTGAGGCAAAAGGAGCCCCGACTAAGTATTGAGTGCTATACATGCACATTCTTTTCATGTTCATTCTTTTCAGTTGGCCAACATTAGAGAAACAAACATTTTTTCATTGGCCTTTAGAATATTCTAATTTTCTGAGATACCAGATTTGATGTTTTCATTGGTTGTCACCTATAAATATCAAAATTAAACGTAATAAACATTGGAAATACATTGGTCTGTGTGCATTGCATGAATATAATGTACAAGTTTCACGTTTTGAATGGAATTACTGAAATATTTTCAACCTTTTGATGATATTCTAATTTACTGGCCAGCACCTGTACAGTTAATGTAGTGACTTGTTCTATTGTATCCAAGAATGACAAAAGAAACTGGAAACAATGAGCTGCACACTGATCTCAGATCAAAAATGAGTTGAAACAGCTGCTGAGATACAAACCACCATCACTGCTGGTGCTTCTGAACCGTGTGCTTTCCAGTCCAGTGCAAAACACTTAGGGTTCTTAAATCTGTTAATTGACTAGAAAAGTAAAGAGTTTTCCCACCTGCGGCGTTTGGTCCCTTTAAATTGAACCTTGGTCGTTTTCTCCCTTGGTTCTGATTGGTTCAGTTGGGCAGGCATGAAAATGACAATCATACCTGAGGAGGTCTCAGTTAGACTTCCTGTATTACCTGAATTACTGTATCCATTTTAACTATATAATTAATCATGGTGCTATTTCTTAAGTTTACTGTGTTTTACTGTTAATTTGACCAAAATCAAATATTTAATCATCACAACTGTTCATCTTTACCTCAGTTATAATGATAACTATATATCGATGAACAAGAGATAGTTTGTTCACAATTTTATTTTTACAAAAAAATCCACATAGACGTGTATGTCCTTGATGAGGGCATTTGTTGTCTTTTACGCTAATGAGGCGGTGCAAACTAGAGTAGGTGTCACCATTTTTAATGAACATGGGATTCAGCAGTTTATGCATTTCTTAGGATGTTTTGTTTTAAAACAGAACTAGTGATAATAAGCTAACTAGTCATTTTATTGACTTGGTTAACAATCATCATGAGAATTAAAAAAAAAATCTGTTCTGTATCCATTCACGGGAATTTAAGAGGCTTTAACCAAACAAGAAGTTTTCCGAACATTGGGATCACTGACAGAAATGCACATTCCGGTTGATCTAAAACGGTGCAACTTCCAAACAGTTTGTGCTCTCCAGCAGTTTTGTTTTGACACACTTCTGTCTGAGAGTGAAGCAGGATGAGCGATCGGGAGAGGAGACATTTGGTGACGCAGTGATGGTGTTTCTGTTTGCCTATCAACAGCTTTTAGGCTGAGTGATGTGCTGTTTTAAACACTGATACACTTTCTAAACAAACACGTAAAACACTGCTCTAGACACACAGAGACACACGCAGCACCTACAGATACAATGCTGTGGCGCATGCAGACACTCATCTCATGGACTCAATGAAAGATGAGCATTTAGGAAAAGGAGGACCTGTTGGTGTTTCAAAAGGTGCTAAAATTTTATCTGAAAATAAGAAAAAATATATTGTTAGGAGTATAAATCAAGTTTGTCTTTACAATGACTGTATTTAAGTTTGTTGTAGCTATGAAAAGGCACTATTATTGTTTTACTCTTGTATGAATATGAACTAATTAAAAAACATTTTAACTTTGTACTTGAACTATGTAAAAATGAACCGTGAATAAAAAAAGGACTGTTTCTTGTGATTCTGTTTTTCTGTCTCCTTTTCGTAAATCCTAAATGCTTTCATCCATTATCCTAACTAAACTATAATATTAAGGATGAAAATAACACTTCTAAGTGAAAATTGTTAGCTCATTCATGTCTGTGTCTTTTATGATCACACATGTAATGTCTTTATATTATGGGGGAAATGTTGCATCATAAGAGAATTATATTAAGATTCTAGATCTTTTTCAATTTTTATTTATTTTTTATTCAGTGCTTAATGGGCTTACAGGATACAAATGTGCTGCATGTTTGCTAAAAAATATTGTTGAAATAATTTTAACCTCAGAGTAACTTAAATATATTTTATTCAAATTACTAGCCAACATTTTGTTTTTTTATTTAACCTTCACTCATTTTAGCTCAATATTAAAATCAACATTACAATTATTTTCAAAATTAAGTGATTGGCATCTAACTGCTGACATTACAGGTTGCTGATTTGATCATTTTGTCCTCAAGATTAATGGAGTGCATTTTATTTAGTAGAGCCACTATTTTGAGCCTTTTTTTAAATCGTAAACTAGCACTTTTGAGATTGATCGCCATTATTCCAACAGCATTTGAATGCAGCACGTCTTCTGAGGCCAAAAATACACGCCCCTTTCTTCTGATTGACAGGAGACCCCTTTTGGGCTCTCTGATAGGACCGTTTTTCTGTTGCTCTGGTTCTAGCGGCTTCTGATTGGCTGCTGCCGTACCGTCAGCCAAGAAGCATCTGCGGCTCGCGCTGTGCCAGCTGTCCTCCTCGCGCACTCTGCTGGTGCTCGTTAACACACACAAGCTTGGCTGGAGGAGGGTGTAGGAATCCGAAAAGGAAAAGGTGAGGAAAAATATCCCAAAATTAAGATGTCACTGTATGTTTTGTGTTATTAAGCAGCCACTGGCGACGATATCCCGAATTTACCCTCAAATATTCCAGTTTAATTTGCTAAATTGATCGTTAACCGTCGTTTAACGTTAATTACCGCAAGGTTCTTGTTGCTATCTTATATGAAGCTATTATTAGATTTATGACAGAGATTCTTGCTAAATATTTTTACAGTGTTTTTAAATGTTATTAATTTAAAAGATAAATAATGATGGTTAGCCTTTTGGTTTTAAACTAAAAGGGAGTGAAATGAGTGAATTTAGCCATAAATCTGGTTAAAAGCGCAATGTTGCCAGTAGAGACGGCATCTTGTGCCTTTAGGCGACGGAACAGTGGTGAGATGTGGTGCTGCGTGTGTTAGGTGTGTCACATTAATGTATAAACGACTGTTTTGTGTGATTGCATGTAGCATATTATATAAGGCTGTTGATTTTTTTTGCTGGGTATTCGTTATTCCTGTCAAATATATAGTGAGTCATGGTAAAGATGATGATGATCAGTATGCACGCAAACAAGCCTGCACTATGTTTTGCGTTTGGGCAGCCCTTGGTTATCTGTGTGCAGGGTGTAAACGTGAACAGGTTTTTCTGAATTTCTCTTCTTTGTTGGATATCGATGCTTCTGTGGACCAGGAACTCTGAAAATCTTTAATGATGCGTTATGGAGATTCTTTAAATCTAGAGTGATGAATGCATTAGAAAAGAAAAGGATGTAGCTGCTGACCCGAATTTAATTTTGGATGGTGAAAGCCATTAGTGCAATAAGAATGTTTGATAGCCTGTTTAAAGACCAAACCCCATTCAGATGATTGATGAATTAGCCGATCAAGTAATTACATATTGTCAGTTTTTTTACTAGAACACTATTGTATTTTAATTAGCCATTAATTGTCATAATTAGTGTTGCAAAATGTTCAGAAATGTTTCTCACAGCATTCAAAAGAGAGAATCCCTTCAAACTCTCCTGGCATTCCGTGTAATTTCTAACTAATGCATATAGCCTTTAAAGAGCTACTTTGCAGGTTTGGCTTGCTTTTAGCACCTCCTAGTGTCCATTAGTGAAAGCAAACGTGAAACTTATCTCCTTGGTGAACATTTGCTTTTTCAACACCTTACCCCTATTTCACACTGGAAGCATCAGTGGCGCAGAAAGTTCGCAGAACGTCGCTGCTTCAAATAGAATCAAGCATATAGTCTATGGGAGTGATTCAAACCAGCTGCAATGCAGAAATTTTCAGGCACATCCCAGAAGCGTCTCACCACGCAGCTAAAGATAAGGTTTTGTTCAATGTTTGCCTTGAGCCGCTTCTGCGACACATCAATTTCTGCAGTTAACATAGGGCTAGATAGGAAATCACACATGGTTTCAGTGTAAAAGCCCCAGTAATTTTCAAAATAAAAAGTACTGCAGCAATGCAATTTCATATATATATATATATATATATATATATATATATATATATATATATATATATATATATATATATATATATATATATATATATATATTATTATTATTATTATTATTACTAATTTCTTCTTAAAATTTACTAGGTGGAGTTTTATCCAATTTAAAATGATTACAATGACCTGCAGCAGAATCAGGATCAGAAGGGCACATTGTTTGATTAATGTCAACGTTTATTTATTCTGTTGATCTCTTTTAGTTGGGGTTCAGATTTCCAGCTCCAGATATTTTCTGGCCTCGTTATTCTGCTCACTGTTCGTTTTCATCCCCTCTTCTCTCTCCTTCTTCTCTCTTTTCTCCTCTACCTCTTTGTGTTGTTTCTGTGGAAGCCATTGTGTCTGGCCATCAACCACATTGCATGTAACCATCCATGCAGAATTCACACACAAAGATGTTTGTATTTTGTTGGTCCCATTAGGTCTAAGTAATTGTGTTTTTATGTTATTTTATGCAGGAGTCTGGGGTACTGCTTACAACACACCTGGGAAGCTTTTTGTGGCTTGTTTTGAATGATTTTAGGAAGCAAATTTATAATTTTTCTTGAACTAATATTATTTACCTATATGAGACAATTTGTCTTAGGAGAGTCAGGTTACCAATGAATAAAACGAAATAACTCTTAAGATATTGAAGAATACCCAAAGGAAAGACACCATTGAGTTGTTAGAGAATAACAGCAGCAGATGCACATGTTTTTTCTGTAGTTTACTGTAATTAATCCTGCTGGAGAATGACTAGAATAGTAAAACATAACATGTGTTTACTATTGCCACAAGTAATGATTATGTATGAAACGACTGCAGGAGAAGTGTTAATGCAGCAGAAATGTGAGTTCATGAGTATGTTTGTGGCTCATTGTTTGAAATCTCATGAAATAATTAAATTCACGTTGCTTCAGGGTGTCATGGTGCTGATTAGAGTTGTAACATTTTTTATGCTTTTGATTAGTTGATGTAACACAGAGTAGTTTCCCGCTCTTTTGCCCTGCTGGTTGAAAGTGGATTTACAACTGTCGTAAACAACCTGCTGCAGCCTGCTGTAGCTAGCGCTAACAACGAGCTAACACTAACATGAGCCAACTAATACTAAAATAAACTACAAAGTAAAAAGATCCACAGTTGGACAAAAAATATAATTACTTACAAGTCCAGCAGCAACAAAGCCAGGTCACCATCAGTCAGTGATTTTGTTGCCTCTTTTAGTTCCCTCAAACTAGTGTACGCCGCACCGATGTTCACCCTGGTTTTAGTGATTTTTGCTTCACTTCCAAAGACTTTACTCTCTTACTTTAACTTACAGGCTCCGCCATGATGCCAATAGAAAAAGCAAACCATTTTCCTTATTGTTGTGCTTTTTAATGACGATCAGTGAACTGAAAATGCTAACTGTTAGCATAACAGCATAACATTCTCGTTTAAGGCCATGAAATTGTTAACTGTTGGGGCTCTGTTTGCTTTACTTTTTGTATTTGTACAACAACTCAAACATAGGCTCATTCTTATCTCTGAGATCAGATCCTGGTAAATTTCCATGTGGGTTGGAAATAATGTGTGGTGGTTAATTCAGCAAAACAAATTTGACTCACATTTGTTAAAAACAAGTTACTAATTTCCGACTCTCTATTTCCTTTCAGGACTATGGCTGCTAACATGGGCTCCATGCGTATCCTCATCAAAGGAGGGAAGGTGGTGAACGATGACTTCACACAGGAAGCAGATGTTTACATTGAGAATGGCATCATTCAGCAGGTTAACACACTGCTCATTCAAAAGCCTTTTAACCAAGAGTACGTGATATTATAACAAGACTTGTTTATTCATATAAACCAGGAACCTTTTGTCACCCATCGACTCACAGCTGTCAGAATGAGTCAGTACTATATTAAAAGGGATTTAACCACTCAGTGAGCTCTATAACAATGATTGTGAATGCTGTAATTAGTTCACAGGGTGTTGTCATGGAGATAATTATCACTTTATGTGAAGAGAAAACCTTTGACTTTAAATCTTGTAAACACAGAAAAGTGACTACAATAAGAAACACATTTAATCAGGATTTAGGGGTTTTAATGATTAATAAAGCTTAAAGTTATAGAATTTCAAAAACATTTTAGTTTTTTCTATTATTCAAAAATGAGTAGGAAAACAGCATGGTAATAATCAAAAGTAACTATATCAATTCTGGAATGAATGCATGTGGCCTGCATCCTTTCATGTCAGAACTTTAAAAAAATATCTTCTCATGTTGGGAGTTTGGGCTGTTTTAGTTAAATCTTTAAAGGTGTGGAACACTTGTTTAATCAATACATTTGAAGTGGTCTCCAATAGGAAAGAATACCTTGTGAGTCGTAACAGCGGAAATGGAAGTTTAACCTGTGCAAGGTTAGCACTTTCTAGATTATCTAAATGTTGATCTGGCAGTTCTGTTACAGCCACACAAAGGCTCTTAACACCACAAATGGTGTCAAACAAAACGCCTTCAGTCATTATCAGAAATGCCACAATCGTAAACAGACTGGATTTAAAAAAACGTGATTGGAAAATGCTGATTTGTATTTGTTCGTAAGCCGCGGTACGTGTTTGCCTCGTAGTAATCGTGTGTTTGTGTTGCAGGTGGGGAAGGAGCTGATGATCCCAGGTGGGGCCAAAGTGATTGATGCAACTGGAAAGTTGGTGTTACCTGGAGGGATCGATACCTGCGTGCATCTGCAGGAGACGTTTATGAACGCCAGCATTCAGGATGACTTCTACAGCGGCACCAAGGTACTACACACACTTGTCATTTTTACTGGTCTATTAGTTCATTTACATAAATCCCCTGAAACTCCGATGAGAGGAAAATGTAGTCATTGAGAGGTGGTGGAATGATTGAGTTTTGGCCTCTTTGTGTTTGTTCTTTGTTTCGTTTTGGTTGCTTTAGGCTGAGTCTTTGCGTGGCTGACATTTAGCACATTTCATTTAAAAACAGGCAAGTTATTTTAAAACAATTTTCTCTTGATTTTGGAGCTTTAGCAGGGTTTCCCCCAGCGCTTTATAAGCCTGGTGGGCCGCCAGGCTTTGCTTGGCCACCCGCCAGGCTAAGCATCATGCCCCGCCCTGCCTCCCTCCCCGACCCTACCGTGTCCGCTGACACAAATGGTGCAACCAAACTAGAGCCCTCCATCAGCTGATACCGGTGAGACACAGCAGCGGAAGGTGTGCAACCCCCCACCCCCCCTCTTATTGAGGATTGCTGCGGGACAGAGCTCCCCCCCCACCCCCCCCACCCCCCCACCACCACCCCCACCCCCCCACCACCCCGATGAATAATACAATTAATAGTTATGTTTTGGTTAGAGTTGTTGTGAGTTCGGGGGGGATTCCAGAAAGTAAGTTTAGAACATCAGGGATCTCCTGATAAGTCCCCGCTTGTTTCGCCGGCTCCACGAACAATTCTCAGGTGGAGTCAATCCGCTATAATCCAAGCGAGGAGCTTCAGTCGAGGCTCACGCACGTCCATAATCCACCACCTCGAAGCCGCCAGTCACCGACAAGAAAAAGGTGACGTCACTTGCCTCGTCCAATCATATTCACAAAGCGTCAGTAAGCCTAGCTGTTAGCCTGCCACAGAGCAGGTTTGTTCTCTAGCATGTGTTACCATGGTGAATGGGTGGGGTTTCAGGCTAGCCACGTTGGTGAAAACGATTTAGGGGCGGTTAAACCGGGAATCTCTACAGAAAGCCTGGTTTGGGGAAAATCTCGCTTTCTGGAATACTCCTCTGGTTCCGTTTTTTTCTGCTTCCTGTTTGAGCTACAGGTCACACCTGAGATCTGTCATGTTGATTATCTGTGTTTGTTTTTAAGATCCATGATTGAATTGTTGCTCTTAAGCTCAGTTCTTTAGTTACATAAGTCTGAGTTTTGGGTCTCCCATCCTGTCTTATTCCTGTCAAAATAAGTAGTTGTAATATATGAGGTAGGACCAAAGTTGTGACCAAACAAACATCTGACTGATATCAAGCTTTATGTTAAACACACCACTAGGTTAAGTGAAGGAAGTTCAATTCACTTGCTGCACTGTTTCTCAGTGACTTGAACTCCAGGATTAATTTCGTGTTGGGAGGAAGCCTGAATTGTCCGTATGCCAGCCTCCCCCCTGCAATCCTACCCACCTCCCTCGCTGCCGTGGCAACAGCCTTCCGTCTCCCCCAGTCAGGAAGTGTATGGGAATATGTGCACACATGACCCCAGTGGCATTGTGTTGTCACTATGCTGATCATGTCACCATGGCAACAGCTCATGTGCATTCTTGATGAACCCCCCCAAAACTTTTTTTTCCCCTACTCCTCTAACAGTCTGACCCTCTCCTCCTTCCCTTCTGCAGTGGGTCAGTTTATGTAACTGGGTTTAATGGTTATATGTAGGAAGGAACATTTCTTTGGTGTGACATTAAACCTCATCCATCAGATTAGAATACAAACGGGATTTTGTCCTGACATTTCCAGAGCAGGAATCCATTTAGTTGGTCTCCAGTTTGAGGAAAGGAGAGGTACTCCTCTGTAATGTGGGGTGTGATGGAGTCTGATCAGAGTAATCTGTCTGACTCTAGTAGCCTCACATCACCTCTCAAACACTGGGAACGTGCTGTTTGTTTCCTCAGGATTATTTTTCTCAGTTGGGGGTGGGGGGGGTGTGGGGGGGTGGGGTGGGGGGGTGGGGGGGGTGGGGGGGTCGAGGGTGTGTCATCGTTCTAATTAATGCTCATTTTTAATAACGTGGAATAAAACAACATAATGTCTATTTGGTCTCTGCTGCTAAATTAGAGAATTAACAGTTGCTCTTGCATAACACCACTGGTCTACTCCAGCTGCAAGAAAATCCAAGTAGAAATGTGAAGGAAATGATTATAAATAGTAAAATACCTACTCATGTTCTTTTGTTTGTTGGAAAGCATTATTTATATACATTGTCTTATAGACAATAAATATTAATTCAGACCCATAATAATTTAATAAATTACTAAATAAAGGTATTTATGTTCATTTAGATAAATAACTTTATTATTAGCATTATTAGTGCTGTAGTAATCACCTGATATTTTATTTTGTCCTTCATTTATGAAAGTACGAGTTCATTAGAAAAACAAACAAACAGATAAGCAGCTATTTTTATTTAATGATTGTCTATTTTGGCTTGTTTTGTACATATTGTAGTTGAAGTTGTGGGACTTTATGAATATGTTCACAAAGCCTGTAATGATAGAACTGGGCTGAAATAGGATGAAACGTTAAATGATGAAGTTTATAATCTAAAATCACTTGAAGTATTCCCATTTCACAGCATCCTCTCGCTGTTCCTGGTGTTTCTTCTCATTTCTGACAGGCTAAATTTGGATGTTTCCGTGGAAACAGGTTTTAAACGTCTAAAATAGAACATCAGCAGCACAAAACTATTTCACCAACCAGAAAGTTTCTTTTTTCTCGTTTAATGAAGAAATATTTAATAATCTCACTGATAATGGAAATGTCTTTCAATCATTTATATGTATTTGAGTGTATTGCTTTTTAGCTGATTATATATGTGTGTGTGTGTGCCTTGATATTTATGGGCTGTGCTGACATTTTATCCGCAACGGATAAATAAAGTGAATTTGAATAGAATTGGATTGGATTGGATTGGATTGGATTGGATTGAATTGGATAAACTTGCACAAAGAGACAAAAGCATCAATGAGATAAAATAACAATTTGTTTTGTTTTTGTTGTTTCTCTGCTCTTTGGCTCACTCTCACTGCCAGTTTTCTTATAGACAACAAATATTAGTTCAGACCCAAGCAGACAGCCCAAATCCCATGAGCCCTGATCTTACACACACACACACACACACACACACACACACACACACACACACACTGACAGTGATCAATGACACCACTCTTCATGCACATATATGCTGACATACACGCTGCTGACACTGCAGATGTTCTTACTGGTTTCTATGGTGACAGGATACCTGAAAGCTTATTGGCAGGTTGAGCTGTCACTCAAACCCTGCTGGCCCCGCCCCTGTCTGTGACACGTCTGAGTCTGGTGCAGCGCCTCAGTCCTGACACAGAAAATGTTAATTCTGATTTAATTCAGCTGAAATGGACTAAGTTGTGCTTTATGCTGCAGGAGAACAGGAACAGAGAATATAAGTAAAAATAATCCTAATCTCCATTTTTGGATTATTATGTGTGTTGGTGTCTCTTCTATACTCTATATTGAATGGGGACTTGGGGAGAGATGAGGAGGAGGAAGAAAAGGGTGGGGACATGCGACAGACACAGGAAAGCAGTCTCTGTTGTCATGGTTACACAAAAGCTCATTTAGCGTTTGTACAGTCAGACACGTGCCTCTATTCACATCCTTACTGTTCTAGTCTGTCACACTTGCTGTTTCTCATCCTTATTGTGCAGCTCCTTTCTCTCCCCTGCTTCTCTGCTGCTGAAAGATGTGTTTGACTTTATCGTAAATGTGATGTGTGAGTCAGTGTGTACAGTCAGTAAATAATGGGCTGCTGATGGTGAGGCAGCAGCTGATCCGAAAGGTTCATTGTTAAAAGGAGTCTACGTTTATTACAGTGGAGTCACTGTTCTTTGTTTTTAACCAGGCTGTCTTTATTCTGCCCTTTGTCACCCCCCTCACCCGTTGTCTCTCTTCACCCAGGCGGCCCTGATGGGTGGTACTACCATGGTAATGGCACTGGTTCTGCCTGAACAACACTGCTCCCTGCTGGACGCCTATGAGAAGTGCAGAGCTAAGGCAGACGCTAAGGCGTGCTGTGATTACGCTCTGCATGTCGGGGTGACCTGGTGGGGACCAAAGGTGAGCCTCAGTCAGGAACCGAGGTGTATCAAAACTAATTTTAGTCCTTACTTTTATCCAAACAGCTTGGATTTGTTGTGAATGAAGCGTTTGTATCCATGGGTGAAGTGTGTGTTGACCTAGATTAAACCTTACTGTATCTGGGTTAATACACATGCTCAGTGGGCACATTAGGCTGACTCTATGACTTAACCTGCCTGTCCAGCCTCCGGCTGCAGCGTCTGCGCTGGATCATCTGCTAGCAGTCTGCATGCGTCGTGTCTCATCATATTCAGGAAAATGTTTAATGTCAGCATGCCGACTTCTCTTCTCGTCATGATATCATGGAGCTAAAGCTGGAAACAAGATGGTTTTACATTCATGTTTGTAAAATCTGACAAATGTTCACAATAGAATCATTTAGATAAGGATTTTTAGCCACTATTTGAAAATATTTCTATTTACTGGTAGAATTTTCTATAAAGATGGAAAGAAATTACTTTTCTATAATTAATTTAATTAGTTATATCATGATTATAAGCAATTTATATGATAATGGGTTTGATTGACCGGTCCTGATTTCTTCCCACAGTTTGAATTTGTGTGTTTATTTATTTTTTTACAGAGCCTTTTTAAAAGTGATAAATGTTGACTTTAATCCAGAAATGTGTGTAATCTGGATGTTTTAATCAGCTTTTGGCAAAGAAGTGTAATCTGTGACTTCTCTTGTTAAAAATCTATAATCTAAAGCATTTTGTACACATGAAGCGCTTCATACATCACTTAAACCAGAGGTTTAGTTTCCCAAATAATCATATTTATGTAAACTAGGATCTGCTGTCTTCTGCTGATTGTGAGGACATAGATTTTTATATTTTTATGTCATTATGTACTGAATATTTTCCTTTACTTTTACTTACTAAATTATTTTTTGTGTGGTGAACATCCCTGTGTGATGATCAAGGATGTAAATCCAGAGTGATCTCACTATGGCTGCTCTCCAAGCTCATTTCATGCCCCATATAACACACACACACACACACACACGTGTCTCCATGGTTACATTCATACAATCTCATGCACTTCATCCACTGACAAACCAAACTATAGCTCCAGAGCTCACCTGCTCACACCATAACATGTGACCTCTGACGTCTGGTCTCACCTTTCATCAGGTACATAATGAAATGGAGAGCCTGGTGAGGGAGCATGGAGTGAACTCTTTCCAGATGTTTATGGCCTACAAAGACCTGATGATGCTGCGGGACTCAGAGCTCTACCAGGTGCTGCAGACCTGCAAAGACATTGGGGCCATCGCACGCGTCCACGCTGAGAACGGAGAGCTGGTGTCGGAGGTGCTCTGAAATAACCGCTTATAGTGACCATTTATAAAACTATCTCGTGTATTTAAAGTGAGCTAACGGCTTTATTTTTTGTGTTTTAGGGTGCCAAAGAGGCGCTTGATTTGGGAATCAGTGGACCAGAGGGGATAGAGATCAGTCGACCAGAGGAGGTAAATTTACAGCTGAGCTCCCAGCGATCAGGCCTTACCCTAGTAATACAACTGAGAATCACCAGATGAGATAGTTTCTGCATCTGATGTGCAAAAGAAGACAAAAGGCTTTTATATAAATACATTTAATCACAAATAACTCAGTAAAACCTCATTTATGCTACGAGGTCTTCTATGTGACGCACACATATCCGTGTAAAAATCCCAGAAGGATGGATTTGAATATGACAACAAATCAGTTTCATCTTTACTGCATGAAAGTTGCTGATAAAACCAAAATGACATCATCACCTTTGTTTTGTTGCTCATAGCTGGAGTCTGAAGCTACTCACAGGGCAATCACAATCGCCAACCGGGTAAAAAAGATCCATTTTTATTATTCTGTCTTTGTAATAGAATTATTAGCAGGTGTAATCTTCATGACAGAAGAATTTATTGGTTGTGTTTTCAGGCCCGCTGCCCCATCTACCTTGTGAATGTGTCCAGTATGTCTGCTGGAGACATGATCGCTGCAGCCAAGATGCAGGGTGGGTGTTTGGTCAAGAGAAAAGAAGGAAAGTCATTTTGATCCAAACGAGCAATTACTTTGTTTTTATCCACGCAGGTAAGGTGATCCATGCCGAGACCACAGTGGCCCACGCTGTTCTGAACGGGCTGCAGTATTACCATCAGGACTGGGCTCATGCTGCCGCTCACGTCCTCGTCCCGCCTCTACGCCTGGACCCGAACACACCCAGCTACCTCATGGGCCTGCTGGGAAAGTACGTGTACCATACTCGTTCTTAGGCTCCCAGCTCAGTGCTTAGAGAGTGTTAAAGCAGGCCGTGGAGAAAAGTGCTGAAACTGTGTATTTGTTAAAATTTGTGATTATTCTGTTTTCAGTGACACTCTGAGTGTCGTGGCTTCAGAGCACCGTCCATTTCTCACCAAGCAGAGAGCTCTGGGCAAAGAAGATTTCACTAAGATCCCTCATGGGGTGGTTGGAGTCCAGGACAGGATGAGCGTCATCTGGGAAAGAGGAGTGGTACGTACACACACACACACACACACACACACACACACACACACACACACACACACACACACACACACACACACACACACACTGCTGTGGCAGTGTCTGAAGCAACAGCATCATGAGAAATAAAGAGTGTGCTTTCAGTTTTTAAAGTTGGACCTTTTTCTCTGTTTTCTACATTTTCAGGTGACGGGAAAAATGGACGAGAACCGTTTTGTAGCCGTGACCAGCTCCAATGCTGCAAAGATTTACAATCTGTATCCTCGTAAGGGACGTATCGTCCCTGGAGCTGACGCTGACGTGGTGGTCTGGGACCCCGATGCAACAAGGTTTACATTCAGACCTAATCATCCAGTTATTAGAACCTTCACTGTCTTGTACATAGCAGCCGTTTCTCTAAATATTGCCACTTTATATTATTATTTTATTATGATTATATTCTTACTTCCTATATTTTCTGATCTCTTATTTTTATCTTCTTTTTTTGCACCAAGTACTGCAGCAGTTTCCTAATGTTGTGATTCTCGCACATATGGCAATGAAACCCTTCTGATTCTGATTCAAGGTTACTTTTACGTGACCTGGTTCAACGTTTACCCATGATGGGTTTTGTTTGTGTGCAGGACGATCTCTGTGAGCACTCAGGTGCAGGGCGGGGACTTTAACCTGTACGAGGGGATGCGCTGCCACGGCGTGCCTCTAGTCGTCATCAGCCGAGGTCGTCTGGTTTGTGAGAACGACGTGTTCATGTGTGCCGAAGGGTCAGGGAAGTTCTACCCACAGCGCACCTTCCCGGACTTCCTCTATAAGAAGATGGTCCAGCGAGAAAAGGTGCATTCACATTTCTTCTGTGTTTCTGGTCCCTTCTGCTGTGTCAGCTGGCAGCAAAGTGCTGCACACACTCAGCAGGTCCGATTGTGTCTGACTCGACTGAGCTGACAGCCCATTTGGAGGACTTAAGGCAATGCTCTCTGGATGCTGACTCAGTGTTTCTGCTGCTGTTGTCTGCAAAGGTTTCCTTCACCTTAGCCTCTACTGTTTTAATTGATACTCGGTACAGTTACTGTATTATATGCATGGTAGTTATGTAAAGTTTTAGTTTTATAGTAGTTTCTATGGGGAAAGATGAGTCAGAAACTTCTCTAGCAACTTCGCATTGTAAAAAGTACTTTTAGATTGCTTGTGCTTTACTATCAAGCTAACATTAGGTTCCCTATTGTGGTCAGCAGATGTATTCCTTACCTTTTGTCTCTTTTAATTCAGAATCAAGCTTATAAAGGAGTAGACAGGGACCCCTACTCTGGAGATGTGGCCAAGGTTGCAAACACGATGAAGAAAGAGCTCTGTTTGGGCCCTATAGACGGAGATGCAGCCAACAAACTGGGTGGTCGGGTTCACCAGGGGGTCCGAGACCTGCACGAGTCCTCCTTTAGCCTCTCAGGTGGTGTAAAACAACAAACACTTGTGATTTTTGTGAGTTTTTTAAGTCTTATTTGAACCCCCCCCCCCCCCCCCCCCCAGGCTCTCAAGTGGACGACCATATCCCGAAGAGGTCCTCGGCTCGGATCCTGGCCCCCCCTGGCGGCCGCTCCAGTGGGATTTGGTAATCGGTGGTGCTGAAACTCCAGCGCTCCGAGCCTCTGTGTTTTATTTTATTTTTAAGCAACCAGGAAAAACTGCACTGATTTTCAACCACAGAATCTGAGTTTAATGAAGAAAATGAATTCAAGCATGAGTCCGGTAATCAGCGGTTTGCAAACGTTACGTTTTGGTTTAATTGGTGAGAACAAAAGCGAAGGAGCCATCTATAGATATAAAACGTTTCTCCAAACTCAAGCTAACCTTACTAAAATGGATCTGCTTTTCTTACACAGACACAAACCTGTGAAAGATCAAAACCAGTACAGTTTTTGATGGTTTAAACTGAAGTGATGTTGACTGAAATATTTTTAAAAAAAGTAGGTGGATTCTGTGAAAAACCATTCAAACCTGTTCACACACAGCTCACTGTAAACACCATTAGCTTTATTCTGTTTGTGTTTAAACCACCTACTTCCTGCCGCGACACTGAGAGAGAGGGGTTTGGTTTCCAGCGGACCAACGGTGGTGTGGTGATGAAATCCAACTGCTTCGAACACCATGTGATCGTAGAGCTCCGTCTTGACTCTGACACAGATCCTATGAACACCCTGCCTGACCTGAAACGTAGCGAGCTCATGGCTTTTCTGGAATCTGAGGTTTAGTCTCAGTTATGATTTCACTAAAGCTAAATGTCTGCATCCTCATCATCCTATCTGTGGGTTTAAAAACCTCACAGGGCAAATAAAGGCATGACTTAATGTTCACTGTTGTCATGGGGGAAGGCTTCTGCTGTAGTATTTTTCTGCTAACCCAAATCAAGACAGTAAGGGTTATTGTGATTCACATCAATAGAGGAGGAATGCATTCTCCTCATTCCAGAGATTACTGGAAAACAATAAACACAAAAGCCTTGTTTCCCTAAAGATTAAACCAGACTGATGCCTTTTTATTCGGCCTGTTTTAAACAGGTTTTTAAACATAAATTATTCTATTAAACATCGATGTATAGTCATCATTATCCCCTTAGTCACAGGGACCAATGTCGCAAATACATCAGTGCTTATAGCGAAAGAGCTGTGGTTGCTAACAATTTAAGGTTAAAACTGGAATAGATTTTCCATCACTTATTTGACTAAGCTTTTGTTTATTTACCTTTCAGTGTTGCTTTATGACACAAAAAAATGACCTGTGTCCTGTTAGAGCTGCTTCCACATCAAGTCTCAACAGGATCCATGTGTTAATTCTTATCTCTACTATTTAAAAAATAGGATCAGTCATTGTTGTAAAAGCATTGCATCGCCAACAGATAACTTTTAAGACAACCAGTTTCAGAGCAAAGAAACCTCTAGATTTCAGCAGCATCGGATCTTGTCATGACCTGTGGGTGAAGCTCTGTGTTTGTAGGGATTGTTGTTAGAGCGGTGTTTCTCCACGGTGCAGGAAGACTGAGCTGCACACACTGAAGGCCGAAGAAAACCACAGATCCTCTCACCTCTTGGTGACATCTCACTCCTGCCAACCAGTGTTATATTATACATGAACATGTATTTTTGTCTGGTACTATATATATTTTGAAATGTTTATTTTCTTTTTGTTGAATGAATAAATGTGCCATTGGGAATCACCTGTGCCACACTGTTAATGCATGGAGAGCAACACTCAGAGAGGCTAAAGTCTCCGATATCCCACAGATTCATAAAAACTGGTGCTTTTTTCTAGGACAAGGTTATTTTATTGTTGGGTGTTTATTTGTTTTGTTGAAGGCACTGTGACTGCTCGATGATTTTGTGTGTAGACTCTTGTTGTGTTGGAAAGTGAACCTGTTGTATCTGTAAGTGGTTGCTTGTTTCTTACCACAAGAATAACAGCAAATAAACGAAGAACAACATAAAAAGATTGATTATTTTTGAGTCATTTTCCCTTGACCTATTAACAAATGCATCGCGTAAATTATATTTCCTCCAGATGGAGATTTCAGTGACAGATATTCTAAACATGGAGAAATCGATTGGAATAGACAGGTTTTGTGTTTCAAAAACTAAAGACAAAGTTATATTGGTACTGCTGTGCTTTTATTTACATTTCCTGTTATGACGGCTGAGCAAGGACAGTTATACAGACGTATTTTTGAATATATTTGAATTTTAGTTCATCCCCATCATGGCTGCTGCAGAGCACCAGTTTCTCTGGATCTGCTGCAGGAACCTGCTACTGCCGTGCGCATGCGCATTGCCAGCAGCTTAGGTGGGAACAGTCGGTTAGCAACGAAAAGCTCAACAGAAACAACGGGACGGCAGAGAAAGGCACAGCATTTGTCTCAGTGAGTGATATTGGTTCAACTTTGTTTTATTTCTAAAGACTATATATTTTTAGGCAAAGTGAAGTATCTGACCGCAGGTCTGATTTATGCCTTAGATAAATACTTGTCCCGTCCCGCTGGAGACGGGGTTTCTTTCATTGGCAGAGTGCGTGTCTATTATCAAAAAGGCCTCCAGAGGGGGGTAAGGTAAGGGTAGGCTGGGATAGAAAACCTCGTCTCACACCTGAAATAGAAATTCCCAGTTCACGGACTCTAATGTCTGTTAATTAAAACACCCGCAACGCCTTTAAATGGGTTAATGGCAGCTCGGAGCTATCCGGGCTCGGTTAGCGGCGGTAGCCGTGGAGTTAGCCCGGAGCTAGCTTAATACAGCGGTGTCAGTCGGTCCGTTTAACGACAGTAGCGTCACCCTTTAAAAGAGAGCCCACTAAGCGGTGAGACCGTCCGACACCGGCTACAAATTTCCGACAGCACCGGTCCAACTCTCCCGGGATTAAATGTGCTCGAATATCCGCTGGCACCAAATCTCAGTTATTGTTTTAAATGATAAATGACCTGTCAGAGGACTCCAAAGCGCTTTACACGCACTATCAGCTTGTTATTAAAGCATCCTTAGGAATAAATCACTCTTAAGCATATTTTTAATTATATCTTTTCTATTTAATAAGTCGACCAAAACAAGTATTCTTTTGTTCTGTGTAAATATTCAGAAGTGTGTTTGTTAGCAACACACAATTACAAATAACTCAGTTAAACTCACGTAGACATCAAGAAGCTGCTGATTTTCAGAAATATTTAAATAACAGATAATATAATTCTGCGTATTCTATTATTTGTCAATATGATTTCTTATTGTTGTGTTTGTGCAGATAATTAAGATTTTTCTGTAAAAATATATAAATTCAGTATTTTACTTGGGTATCCCCGTAGGACAATAGACATACATAATAAAACTCAAAATAACACTTCAGAATTCAAAAGCATTTCATTAACTATTTTACACAATAATCTGATTGAGGATATTGCCTAATTTTAAAGGTTAAAACTAGAAAATTTGAGCTATTTTTGCCTGAATATTTTATAATTTGAGGTTTTTGCATTTTATTGCTGATATAGTTTAGTATAAGCTTTGCTGGTAAAAATAAATAAATAAAATTAAATGCAAAATCTTAGCATTGTCATAGTTCTGTGAACAGGTCACTCAGACCTGGATGTATCTGCTAATATCACTATGCTTTTTGAATGAGAAGGTCACAGAGAAAAACATAAAAACAAATAATGTGTTGCTGGTTTCAAACTAAAAGTGTGATCTGGTATTTTTGGACATTTTGCATTCTTTTTCTGCTCTGAAACTGAAACCAGCGACCGATTCCCGAGTAAAATTCACAATCTAATTTTGTGTCATCCTTGTGACATCCTGCAGTCAGGAAGTGATTGTTGTGCTGTATTCTGTTGACTTTGGATTGTGTCACTTCACAGGAAATGTTTCAGTATTGTTGGGATTTTTCTTATCTGGGGCTTTCAGAGTGGCGCTTTCATGCTGCACTGGTTTTAGATTCTTGTTTGACAAATACTGATGATCTGCGCCGGCCGGACTGTGAGAGCATGTTAAACACCCGAGCTAAAGGGATTAACTGAGCCAGAGATTAGGGGCCCATGAGTAAACTAGTTGTCTGCAACAAGTTTCACTGGAAAAAATAGGTAGAGATAGTGATGTGAACACCAAAGCAACAGAACAGGATAAATTTTGATTAAAATAATTAATTTGACACATTTCTGAGCAAATGTGAGGATTGAATTATCTGTTTTATTAAAATACAGCAAATGTTGGCTTTTTATTGATCAAACAATGCAACTTAAAATATGGATGGATTAAATAATACCTGAATTTAAAACAACTTGTATAATAAAACACTCAGAATTTGTTTTTTCTGTCTTTTTTCAAATCTTATAGCAATGCATAATTATCACCACAAGGTGGAAGTAATGTGTTGAAACACCCTTCTCTGTCACTCCGTAAATGATTGATTATTGATGATTAAATCTGCCAGATCTTAATCAGATGAACTTTTATCTTTCCAGGTCTTTATTTAAGGTGGCTTAGCACAACCTGGTTCTCAACAGAACACACAAACACACCCCCAGCACAGGTGAGTAAGGTGTGTGTGGGACTTTGATGTATTTATGATCACTTTGTTGTGCAAGTTTCTGTTTGTGTTTAGAGTTTTGTCTCATTCTCTTATTATAGTTACTAAAAAACAAAAAAACGATCAGAAACGGTCAAAAGTTTTGACTTTTCACAAGATTCCAGTATTTCTAATTACATGTTTAGGTTTCTAAGAGCAAAATTTGATCCTATCCTAAGCAAACTTTTACATAACTTAGATCATTTGTCTAAGTTTGTCAAACTATTAGAATGTTGCTAATTTTCTCTCTCTCTCTCTCTCTCTCTCTCTCTCTCTCTCTCTCTCTGTGTGTGTGTGTGTGTGTGTGTGTGTGTGTGTGTGTGTGTGTGTGTGTGTGTGTGTGTGTGTGTGTGTGAAGTAGGAGGATGGCGGTGAATGTCTACTCTACTTCTATGACAGCTGACAACCTGAGTCGTCATGACATGCTGGCGTGGGTGAACGACTCTCTACAGCTCACCTACACAAAGATAGAGCAGCTCTGTACAGGTAACCACGCATCAGTGCCGGCCATCCAGCCGATTTCCAAATAGACAAATACGTTTTGACGAACGCCTCTCCCATTTGTGCCGTAGGTGCTGCTTACTGCCAGTTCATGGACATGCTGTTTCCAGGGTGCATATTGTTGAAAAAGGTCAAATTTAATGCTAAGTTGGAGCACGAATACATCCACAACTTCAAGGTTTTACAGGCTGCGTTCAAGAGAATGAATGTGGACAAGGTGAGAGTGAGCCAACTTCAGTCAGCAAGTACTTGATCCTGTTAATTTAGTATGAAAAGTCTGCAGATGACCTATTTTACAGCTGTGTGACATGCGGATGCATCTGAATCTAACAGCAGGAACATCACTGATTTTGTCAGGAGGAGCCATATTTGTTTACAGACATCGACACAGTTTAGCAGCATGAGCTCAGAGCAGGTTGTCAAGTAATCAGAGGGCAGAGGATGCTGCTGTTGTGTCCTTGGGCAAGACACTTAACCTGCCTTGCCTGCTGGTGGTGGTCGGAGGGACCGATGGTGCCTGTGTACGGCAGGCCTCGTCTCCGTCAGTGTGCCCCAGGGCAGCTGTGGCTACATTGTAGCTCATCATTGCTAGGAAGTGAATATGTGCAAGCATGGGTGAATGACTCATTGTGTTGTAAAAGTGCCTTGGGGGGTTCTAGAACTCTAAAAGGCGCTGTATCAAATGCAGGCCATTTACAGTTTAGCACCACAAAATGTTCCACTCCCCCTTCTCAGATCATTGCCGTGGAGAGGCTGGTGAAGGGAAAGTTCCAGGACAACTTTGAGTTTCTTCAGTGGTTTAAAAGGTTTTTTGATGCCAACTATGATGGGAAAGAATACGACCCTCTGCTGATGCGACAGGGTCAGGAAGGAACGCCACCACCATCTAACCCAGGTACAAAACTCGTGTGTGTGTGTGTGTGTGAGAATTAGAAACTGTTCATTGCTTCTTTAACTGATTCTCACCTCTTCATGCAATCACATCCCTCACCTCTAACTCAGGTGAATTCATTCATCCTAAACCTAAAAGATCCTCCCGCTCAGGTAACATCACCTGCATCTGGAGTGTGGGTGTGTGGGTGTGTTTTCTGCTAGCCGAGTGGCTTGTTTGTTATTAATCAATATTAAAGTAAAAAATGATGCACTTATAGCTTTTACAAATCATTAAGATGAAGAACATTCCTGAATGCTGTGAGCATGTTTGTGCTGGTTCTGTTGCTTCTGTCTGATCAGCAAATCCACAGAGTTGGGAGACTGGTGAGAAAATGAGATCATCAATTCTTCAAGCCACGCTCATTAAGGTTTAGGTGCTGCTAATCAGATTTTTCAGCCTTGCAGATCAGCTTCGTGACACGTTTTTAAAACTTGAATGGGCAAAGTGAAGAAGCGTTCCATGTTTTAAAGGGTTTAGAATAAATAACCAACTCAACAGCCATATGTGCAATAATATAAAACCTTTGTAATGTTGTGCATACACTTGTCCTGTATCATAATGACCTTTAACCCACACAGAAACTGGCTCAGCATTTGGTTCTGGCATTAATGGCTGCAAACCAATCTTCTTTAGAAACATAAACACATGTTCGTCTGCATTTTAGCTCCCATGAGAACGTCTCCCACAGCACCAAAGACTGTTCCACCTCCACAGAGGCAGATCAACGCCCCGACACCTCGCAGGAACACCCCCATGACCCGAAACGGAGGAGACGCAGAGCTTGTAGAACTTAACCAGCAGGTATACCGCTCATCTGGCCTGCGTAGTCATCATGTGATCTCTCTTTGAGTCACTTTTGGGCCAAACGTTCTCTTTTCTGCTTCATGGGCTGAACAGGTGCAGCTTTACATATAAACAAATCATAACCTCTTAGTGCTATGTGTGTTTATATGGTGCAAAGTTTCAGGAGTGAAGCCAAGTGGCAGTTTACTGTGTTTCTTTCTCTGTTGTTCAGCCTTTTTCTGTGTGCCGTGTTGCAGATTTTGGACATGAAACTGACAATAGATGGACTGGAGAAAGAGAGGGACTTCTACTTCGGAAAGCTGAGAGACATTGAGCTCATCTGCCAGGAGAACGAGAACAGCTCAGTCCTTGGCAAAATAATCGACATACTGTACGCTACAGAGGTAACTGCAGCCCCCAAACACACACACACATACACACACACTCACGCATAGGTTTAGATCCTTAATTCTGGTTAAATCAGGAAAAACATCCTAAACAGCCTGAACTCTGACACAAACTGTCACTTACAGGAAGGATTTGCGCCACCAGAAGATGAAGAAATTGACGAAGGAGCAGGAGACCAGGAAGAATTCTGAAAGCTTCCTGTTTTCACCACCATCCTTCATCTGTCTTACTTTATTCAGACAAATATGTCATTTTACCCTTTCTTTTGCCCCTTTTAAGTAACTTTTTACAACCTCCCCTGACCTTTTCCACCTCATCTTTGGCTGTACACACTCTTGATGACTTTGTTGTACAGTCTAGCTTCCCGGACTCTTATTTTGAAAGGACTTTTATCCAGATGTGTCTGGACTAGGGCCGAGCAGTGTGGCCTGGCTTACTTGACAAATTCTAACCTGTTAACAGAGGGGACAGCAGCACTGCAGGACAAGTTCAGTCTGTTGGTCTGTCAGAGAGTTCAAAATGAACAGATTTGAGATTAAAGAGAGGCCACACTGGAGCCAGCAGTACTGTGAAACTGTCTCTGTGAGGCTTTCTCACAGCGTGTGCTCTAATCAGCGATCACACAGACGCACAAACGTGCTTCAGGGGGTTACTCCAGAGTTTATACATTAGGCCATGCGAAGTTTAACACTTAGTGTGATTGTTTTTATACATTTTGTCCTGATTGTACAAGTTGAGGTTATAGAAAGTGTTTAGTCTTTTAGGAGCCAGGCCTGCAGAAAGGATATATTTTGATCTTATGATGGAAAGAGAACAATTCACCCACAGACATATCACAGACTCTGAACTGCATACATGGGCATGCTTAAAGTGAGTCAGTGCCCCGAGGAAGAAAGAAAAAAATCACAGATGTGTTTTTATCCACCTAGTTGTCCCACAAGAGACCGTTGGCATGTGAAATGGTTCTGACAGCGTGCTGAGGTGACAACATGGTGTATTTATGTTTTTTATTTATGTATCCTGATTTGCTCTGTACAGTTTCTGAAATAAAGGGTTTAAGGTTTGGAGACATTGAAGGTCTTGCACTAAATGTAGCAAAAAGAATTGACTGAAATGATCCAAAATGCCAACATGCAGTGACTGGCTGCTGCCAGAAAGATACAGGAAGATGCAATTTTATATTTTGTAATTTTGCTTTTAAAAAAGTATGTTTCCTTTTTTATTTGCATTGAACTCCTCAGTAGCCAAGTCAAAGGCGTCAGTGAAAAACGTATTTATGAGACAAATATGAAGCTATAAATTGTTGTAATGAACAAACACTGCAGACAAACACTACTAAATACTAATGTTTGACTGTATTAACTTAGTGAAACGTTTTAGCTGCTATCATTACTTCTCTGTTGCTGCATTTAAGTTTTCATGGGTTGTAAAGCATTAACACATCACAGCGGCTGCCAAGGAAATGAAGGTTTGATTGAGCATGGATGACCTTAGTTGGAGAAGTCAGAAAGAAGAAACCCTCAGGCATTATCTGACTGTCTGTTAACATGGTAGCCATGTGATGAACATGCATCATTTGGAGTCACTGCTGGAATGAAATAAAACTCTGAGGTTTCAAGAAAAAGTAACAAACTTTTCCATTGATTTCTGTTTGCCATGATACTGCTGTACCTTTATCTATTTGGAGCTTCTTTATGCATCTCACACATGTACTGACATACAGCTATGCCAGAAAGCGGGTCCCAGGGGATGCTTATATAAAGGAAAACATTGATCCCAGGTATGGACCCTGAGGAACTCCATGATTAAACAGTGCCTGAGAATTTAATTAATTGTATGAAGAAAATAAACTCTTAGTTACAAATTATTAAAACCAACTAAGTAATGCAGTTTTAACCCCAAAATCATGTTATAACGGAATAGTTGCTGCATCAGGTCTGAGTTCAGTTTGCTAAGATGAGCTCTACTGAAACGATTTATACTTGCGTAAATTATCACATAGCAATACGTTTATAAAAAGAGGACGTTTGATTAATCAGTTTTCTTATTTTGAGACTTAACACATCCTATTTGTAGTCATGGTATTATTTACCTAGAAAATTCATTTCACAAGAATACAGACGATTTTTTTAAAGATAATTTTGTCGTTGTGGCGTGTGAACGAATGAATACTCTGAATTTGTCTGATTTTAAATTAACTTTAAACGCATCACGCTGACGTCATGCCGACAAAGAGACAGACGTGGCACGCGGACTGCCGAACTGAGGAGAAGGAGCGTTTTACAGTAGAAGCAGCGAGCAGCCAGGAAGTCACGGTAGCCCTGCAGAAACAACACCAGCTCATCTGGACCTGAGACATGGCCTCAAATAACGGCTCAGCTGGGAAGTGGGAGGTAGTGAAGAAAGGGAAGAAAAGTAATTCAGCGGGAGGGAAGACGGAGAAGTCCGGCGGCGGCGGCGGCGGCGGAAGGAAAGCTCTGGGAGAATCGAATCAACCGTCCAGAAGTAAGTGAACACGGCCTGCTGGAGCCGCTACTAACGGCGGCCACACGGTTCAAGTTTAGAACTAAAAATATATTTGCGATTTGTGCTCAAAACTCTGAATATTATATTTAAATAAAACTTTTCCTCCGTATCTACCGACAGCTGCTAACCGAGTGCTGTCATCTGATTCGACAAGCTAGCATAGCGACCCTTTAAATTACTCTAACGGTCTGTTGTATCTGAATAAATTCAGAAGTGTTGTGATGTACCATACTCGGAAACACAATAACTACAAATTAATCACCGCTCAGTGGTTTACTCTCCCGTCGGATACTGGAGATAATGTGGCATAATAAGCAGTTAGCACATTAGCATCTTCTCATGCTCTGTTAGACAGTCAGCACTATCTGAAACATGCGTTAGCAGCTTTATTTTAGTTTTAACTTTATTTTAGCTATAACCAAGTGATCATTACCGTCCTTTTTTCTGTTTCATTTAATAACCAAACTGACCAAATCCATGTTTTCTGAAGCTGATGTTTTAATAAACAACGCAACACTGCTAAAAGAAATGGATTATTCACATATTTGTTTGTGCGCAGTCTGATGACCTATTGCTCCTGTATCCACTGAAGACCCGGAAATGTGTTATTTGTTCATCTTCAGCACAAAATACTTTAGCAAATCTTTTTTTAAAACATGATTAGAGTGTGAAAGTAGCTGGCATCATACCATGATCATAGAAATCTGTATTTAAAACTTCAGCCGAAAACATATTGACAAAAACCATTATTTACAATGTTTTGAGTTGCTAGCATTTTCTCGTGCTTTCCTGATAACACACTTTACATCCTTTCCACACACACACACGCGCGCGCGCACACACACGCACGCACGCACGCACACACACACACACACACACACACACACACACACCTTGTGATGGTGTTTTGAGAAGAAAAAGCAAGTAAACATGGCAAAACACACTAACAGAGTATGATACAGGTCCAGAATGCATTTCTATAAAACCCAATTTGCACGGACTCTGCTTCAGACATCTGGATTAGCAAAGCACCTCTTTTCTGTCACAAACCACCTTGCCCCAGTCCATGATAAGGCATAACAATAATTTTGTCCATACATAGATTTGTTCATGCATTGATCAGTGAATCTTCATGTTCAAAGTCTGGCTGATAAACCCGAACATTAAGGGTTCTGTCACTAGCAAGGCACTGTTACGCTTTAGCCCTAAAACACTAACAAATGCATCTTTCTGCTTGGCAAAAACACCTTGTTAAATATGTTTACATTGCTGCTACCAACTCACATTAACACTAAACCATCAGAATATCACCCCAACCAACCAGACGTTTGCCAGAGTGGTTAAAGAAGGCCTGCAGCTCCTGATCAGGAGACTTCTCATGCGGAGTTGTGGGTTTTTCTAAATTTTAATTGTTCATCCACTCTCACGCTCGAAGGTTTTTGTATCTTCTACAATAAAATAAAAACACGTCATGACTTGTCTCAACAAAGTGAGATAGGATGCGTTTAAGTGATAAACAGATGTTAAACATCTGGCTAATGCTAGCTGATGTGTTGATGGGTCTAATTAATTTTAGTCCATTTCTAGTCCCATTTATGGAAAAGGCGTGATAGTTTCTGTTCAATTATGAAACGCTTTTTTTAGACACAATAACTTTTGGAATTCACTTCTTGCAACCATTTTTTTGAGTCGCCTCTTTTGACGAGGCCACGTGAGCACGAAACGGCTCCTCAGATTTCACCCCACCGCCATCCTGTTGTCTGAGCACACACACACCACACTTCTTGGCAACTGTTGTCTTTCATCGTCTACTGTGGCGGAGCGTTTATCACCGCATGTGTGTCATATAGTTCTGATTTGTGTCACTTGTGCTCAGAGCCTTCTGCTTTTCCTAAACGTTTCCAGCTTTGTTCTCGAGCCAGAAAAGGAGCGCACATTCACTTCTGCAAGTGTTCTCCTCACTACTCTCTATTTTACGATTACCTGTTCTGGTTTGTGAGCCGAAGTGAAACATTTAGGTGAGAAGCAACTTTGTGCTGGAACTGCTGGTGACATTCCTTACAGTTTTTAAATACGCTTTTTAAAATTTTTGTGCACGTCTTTAGTGCAATATTTCTTCTGCTGCTACTAACTTTAACATTTTTATTCCATAAATTCTCTTGAAGGGTTTTGTGATGCTAAAAGGCTGTTGCGTAACTCTCAAAGGGAGGGCAGATGGGAGGGTCGAGTCTGAAACCAGCCACCCAAAAAGAGACGTTTCTAGTCCCATCCAGTGACTCGAGTGTCTGGGCAAAGGGAGGATAGACGAAAAAACGACTCTTCTGCGTTTCACCAGATTTATTTAACCACTGCTGTCTTGTTTTCCCTCAGCACCCCTCAAGATGTCGGAGACTCTCTTTGAAAGTTTGGAGAAAACTGCAAAGAAGAAGAACAAAGAGCAGGTTCCACCAGCAGCTGATCCTCAGAGCAAGAAACCCTCGTCAAGCAAAACATCCAAGAAATCCAACACAAGCAATACAGTCACGCCTACGAGTTACAGGACTCTGGAAGAAGCCTTCAAAGCTGTGAGTTTCAGTTTCCTCTAATTAAACCGTCAACAACAAATCTGGTTCAAGCAGCCCTTTTATTGCTGTAAAATCTCAGATTATGTCAAATTTATGTAACAGACTTTCAAAGCTTTAAATTCCCACAAAACAACCTGAAACAAAGCTGCATCTTGACATTTTCTCCATTATGTTTTTTGTTCTGATCCGTTTTTAGTTGGACGTTGGTGATCTGAAGCAGCAGTTGGCTCGCAGTCAGTCCCTTTTCCCAGAAAACCCTTCCGTCTGGGTCAAAGACCTCGCAGGATACCTCAACCTTAAACTGACGGCGCCAGACGTGGAGCCCACACTCAGCAGCTACACTTATGGTCGGCTAAACTCACAATGTTCCTGGGTAGTGAAACGTTTTACATTCAGAGTTATAACAGTTTCTGTTTTAAATTCCAGACTACCCATACTGCCTTACAGGAAAAGAGCTGAGGGGCGTTATGAAAGGCCTCATCGGACGAAGCAGCAATATTCTGCCAGATTTCTTCGACTTCTGTGTCTACACGATGCTCAGGGAGCTGGACAGACAGCCGGGTACATCTGAAAGGGAGGGGTCTTGTTTTTGTGGTTGTCGCTCCTGAGGTCCGCCTCGTTCTCACAATTATTTGAATAGAAGCTTTTTTAACACATAAATGTTCGGCTTGTTTGAATGATTGTAGAGTTTAGGGTTGTCATGGTAACCGGCGTAGCGGTAAACCCCGGTAAAGAAGTTGACAATAATAATAACCGTATTGTTTTTAAAAATATATATTATCTCGGTGGATTACCATGGCTGCGGTGTAGGTGCGGTGACCCTTACCAGCCACCTTATCATCTGCTGAAGTTGCCTGTGGCACATGCGCACTTTGTTGTTTACAACCAAAACTTTCTTGAAGCTAAAGCTGCAATAATGGCCAAAGGAGGAGACGGCAGCACTCAGGACATTTATTATCCCTCAAAGAAGACAAAGTGGGAAGTACGGGCATTTTTTGGATATTTGAAGAATGCCGAGGGACAGCTGATAGAAGACGGCTACCCTGTTTGCAGCATGTGCAGAAAAAGTGTCTGTGAAAGGCAGCAACGCTTCAAATCTCATGACACATCTGCGTGACCATCACCCACAACTCTACAATCAACGCAAGGCAAGCTAACGTTAGCGTTTTAGCTAAAATGCGTGATCCGAGGATTTGGGTTGAGGGAGAATGAAACGAGTCGCTATATAAAGCAGCCGCAGCGCCGCTACCTGCATATAAACCGTGTCACGGACACCCCCATGTTGAAATGACGCTATGCATTACGGGGCTCCCAGGGGCAGATAAGAGTTGGTCTCTCTCCGAGAATAATTATGAATTTAACAATGATTACTGCCTGATGACATTTTCCCAAATCTGCAAAGCTCACTGGAAGGACACAAACCGAGGACGATATTTTCGTGATATAGGGTTTATTACTCAAGTAAGGGTAAAAAAGTATCTGATTAGAAGGCTACTTGAGTACTGAGTATCATCTGATCTAATATTTTTAAAATGATGACATCAGTCAGACTAAAAATAAGAAGTTATGGGCAAATATTGGTATTTTAAAGACTAAAGGGGACAAATGTAAACAAATAAACAACATAATTACAAAATAACACATTTTAGGCTAAATTTAGACACAAACTGAGGACATTATTTTCCTGATATACAGGGTTTATTTAGTTGTCTGAAAATGTAACACGTTTTAAAAAGTACCGCGATAATACCGAAAACCGTGATAATTTTGGTCACAATAACCGTGAGGTTAAATCACACCGTGACAACCCTAGTAGAGTTAAGAGAAAATGAGCCATGTTTTGTGTGATCAGAGCAGTACTTTATTTTTTTATGCGTCGTTTGTGGTATGTCGAGTAAAAAAGCCGGAGAAATCAAAGTTTGACGAGTACAAAGAAGCTTATTCTTGTTTCAGGAGAACCTCTTCACGGATACAGAGTTTGCATTCAGGCGATCCTACAGGACAAACCCAAGATAGCCACCCAGAACCTGCCAGAGGTAAATCCTGCAGAAACATGGCTGCACTTCCTCTTTCTGCTTCAAACCTAATTATTTCTGTTTTCTGCTCTAGTATTTGGAGTTGTTGCGGTCCGTTCAGAACCGTCCTGTGAAATGTTTGACCATCATGTGGGCTCTGGGTCAGGCCGGGTTCCACGACCTCAGCCAGGGACTACGAGGTAGTCATCCAACATTTTATAGATGTTCAGATTAGTGCTGCCCCCGCTATCGAATATTTTAGTATTTGAGTACTCTGTTGAATCGTCCATCGATTAATCGAGTATTCTGTTTGACAACGGTTCAAGTGAAACGAGACTGTGGTCTGCCGCTAAAATGATAAAAAAAAAATCAAACAACAAAAAGATAAAAGGATCAACAATACAGGTGCTGGCCAGTAAATTAGAATATCATCAAAAGGTTGAAAATATTTCAGTAATTCCATTCAAAACGTGAAACTTGTACATTATATTCATGCAATGCACACAGACCAATGTATTTCCAATGTTCATTACATTTAAATTTGATATTCATAAGTGACAACTAATGAAAACTCCAAATTTGGTATCTCAAAAAATTAGAATATTCTGAAAAGGCTGAATATAGAAGACACCTGCTGCCACTCTAATCAGCTGATTTACTCAAAACACCTGCAAAGGCCTTTAAAAGGTCCCTCAGTCTTGTTTTGAAGGCACCACAATCATGGGGAAGACTTCTGACTTAACAGCTGTCCAAAAGACAATCATTGACATCTTGCACAAGGAGGGCAAGACACAAAAGGTGATTGCTAAAGAAGCTGGCTGTTCGCAGAGCTCTGTGTCCAAGCACATTAACAGACAGGCGAAGGGACGGAAAAAATGTGGTAGAAAAAAGTGTACAAGCTCTAGGGATAACCGCACCCTGCAGAGAATTGTGACGACAAACCCATTCAAAAATGTGGGGGAGATCCACAAAGAGTGGACTGCAGCTGGAGTCAGCGCTTCAAGAACCACCACGAGGAGACTCATGAAAGACATGGGATTCAGGTGTCGCATTCCGTGTGTCAAGCCACTCTTGAACAAGAAACAGCGCAAGAAGCGTCTCGCCTGGGCCAAGGACAAAAAGGACTGGACTGATGCTGAGTGGTCCAAAGTTATGTTTTCTGATGAAAGCAAGTTCTGCATTTCCTTTGGAAATCAAGGACCCAGAGTCTGGAGGAAGAGCGGAGAAGCACAGAATCCACGTTGCATGAGGTCCAGTGTAAAGTTTCCACCGTCAGTGATGGTGTGGGGTGCCATGTCATCTGCCGGTGTTGGCCCACTCTGTTTCCTGAGGTCCAGGGTCAATGCAGCCGTCTACCAGGAAGTTTTAGAGCACTTCATGCTTCCTGCTGCTGACCAACTTTATGGGGATGCAGACTTCACCTTTCAACAGGACTTGGCACCTGCACACAGTGCCAAAACCACCAGCACCTGGTTCAAGGACCATGGTATCCCTGTCCTTGATTGGCCAGCAAACTCGCCTGACCTTAACCCCATAGAAAATCTATGGGGTATTGTGAAGCGGAGGATGCAATACGCTAGACCCAACAATGCAGAGGAGCTGAAGACGACTATCAGAGCAACCTGGGCTCTCACAACACCTGAGCAGTGCCACAGACTGATCGAGTCCATGCCACGCCGCATTACTGCAGTTATTGAGGCAAAAGGAGCCCCGACTAAGTATTGAGTGCTATACATGCACATTCTTTTCATGTTCATTCTTTTCAGTTGGCCAACATTAGAGAAACAAACATTTTTTCATTGGCCTTTAGAATATTCTAATTTTCTGAGATACCAGATTTGATGTTTTCATTGGTTGTCACCTATAAATATCAAAATTAAACGTAATAAACATCGGAAATACATTGGTCTGTGTGCATTGCATGAATATAATGTACAAGTTTCACGTTTTGAATGGAATTACTGAAATATTTTCAACCTTTTGATGATATTCTAATTTACTGGCCAGCACCTGTATGTATTAAATTGTTGTCTAGTTCCCTCTTTCCCAGCTGATATTTACAGTTAATAAATATTTATGGAACAACATTTGACTTATGTTTAGACTAAAATGTTAATAAATATATCTAAATATATTCACATGATCATCCATCCATCCATTTTCATCCGCTTATCCGGAGTCGGGTCGGGGGGCAGTAGCCTAAGGCGAGAGGCCCAGACTTCCCTCTCCCCAGCCACTTGGGCCAGCTCCTCCGGGGGAATCCCAAGGTGTTCCCTGTCCAGGTGAGAGACATAGTCCCTCCACCAGTACTGGTCTGTCCTGGGTCTACCTTTAGGTCTCCTCCCGGTTGGACGTGCCCGGAAAACCTCACCAGGGAGGCTTCCAGGAGGCATCTTGGCCAGATGCCCGAGCCACCTCAACTGGCTCCTCTCGATGTGGAGGAGCAGCGGGTCTACTCCAAGCCCCTCCCAGATGACCGAGCTTCTCACCCTATCTCTAAGGGAGAGTCCAGCCACTCTTAGGAGAAAACTCATTTCGGCTCCTTGTATCCGCAATCTCATTCTTTCGGTCACTACCCAAAGCTCATGACCATAGGTGAGGGTAGGAACGTAGATCGATCAGTAAATCGAGAGCTTCGCCTTCTGACTCAGCTCTCTCTTCACCACGACAGACCGGTACAACGCCCGCATCACTGCAGATGCAGCACCAATCTGCCTATCGATCTCACGCTCCAGTTTTCCCTCACTCGAGAACAAGACCCCGAGATACTTAAACTCCTCCACTTGGGGCAGGACCTCATCCCTGACCCGGAGAAGGCATTCTACCCTTTTCCGAATCAAGACCATGTTCTCAGATTTAGAGGAACTGATTCTCATCCCAGCTGCCTCACACTCGGCTGCAAACCGCTCCAGCGAAAGCTGAAGATCATGTTCTGATGAAGACAACAGGACCACATCATCTGCAAAAAGCAGAGACCTGATCCTCAGGCCACCAAAACGGATGCCCTCCACACCTTTGCTGCACCTAGAAATCCTGTCCATAAAGGTTATGAACAGAATCGGTGACAAAGCGCAGCCTTGGCGGAGTCCAACTCTCACTGGGAACGAACCCGATTTACTGCCGGCAATGCAAACCAAGCTCTGACACCGGTCATACGGGGACCTAACAGCCCATATCAGAGGGCCTGGTACCCCATACTCCCGGAGTACCCCCCACAGGGCCCCCGAGGGACGCGGTCAAACGCCTTCTCCAAATCCACAAAACACATGTAGACTGGTTGGGCAAAATCCCACTCACCCTCCAGGTTCCCACTAAGGGTATAGAGCTGGTCCAGCGTTCCACGGCCAGGACGAAAACCACATTGCTCCCCCTGAATCTGAGGTTCAACAATCCGACGGACCCTTGTCTCCAGAACCCCTGAATAGACCTTATCAGGAAGGTTCAGGAGTGTGATCCCCCTGTAGTTGGAACACACTCTGCGGTCCCCCTTTTTAAATAAGGGAACCACCACCCCGGTCTGCCAGTCCAGTGGGACTGCCCCCGATTTCCACGCGATATTGCAGAGCCGTGTCAGCCAACACAGCCCCACAACATCCAGAGCCTTAAGGAACTCTGGGCAGATCTCATCCATCCCTGGAGCCTTGCCACAGAGGAGCTTTTTAGCCACCTCAGTGACCTCAGCACCAGAGATTTGAGAGGCCAACCCAAAGTCCCCAGACTCTGCTTCCTCACTGGAAGACGTGTCAGTGGGATTGAGGAGGTCTTCGAAGTATTCTGCCCACCGATCCACAACGTCCTGAGTAGAGGTCAGCAGCACACCATCCCCATTATAGATGGTGTTGGTAGCGCACTGCTTTCCCCCTGAGGCGCCGGATGGTGGACCAGAATCTCCTCGAAGCCGTACGGAAGTCTTGCTCCATGGTCTCTCAGAACTCCCCGACCACTCGAGCCACGTTTCGCTTGGACTGCCGGTACCCGTCAGCTCCATGGGAAGGGGGACCCACGTTTCCTCTTCGAGCTGTGCCCGGCTGGGCTCCATGGGTGAAAGCCAGGCCACCAGGCGCTCGCCAACGTGCCCCACCTCCAGGCCTGTCTCCAGAGGGAGGCCCCAGTGACCCATGTCGAGGCGAGGGAACACGGTTTCCATTTATATAATTCATCATAAGAGGTTTTCGGGCTGCTCTTTGTCTGATCCCTCACCTAGGACCTGTTTGCCATGGGTGACCCTACCAGAGGCAGAAAGCCTCAGACAACTTAGCTCCTAGGATCATTGGGACACTCAAACCCCTCCACCACGGTAAGGTGGCAGCCCAGGGAGAGGTCTACTGATCCACATGATCAGTAGTTAAATTATTTCAGTAACATGTTCAGTAGTAATCTACTGGAAATTATAATAACATTTTAATTTCTACTAGTAACAACGTAATGGTGGCATATCTATTTTATGATGTACGGGTTGGCAACATAATCCAGTCCAAATTGTTTTCAAATATAGAAGCGTTTTTGAACTACATGCTACAACGGCTTGCTGTAGACTTCTGCGGTGTGTGGAGCAGACTCGCTAATGCTCAGTAGCAACAACTGCAGACTCCAGGTAGCCGCTGCAGCAGCAGAGATCCACAAATAAAGCGGATGGTGGGGATTTTCCTTCTGCTCCTGGAGTTTAGTAATTCACAACCATCACGTTTTTTCTGAACTCCACTTGATCGTGATTTGTGAGTGTGCTACGCGCTAGCTTAGCATTTGCCAATCTACCTGTAGTTTAGTCCTTTTCTGCCTTTTACAATGGCTTCTGTCTTTGCTGGACCCCCGATTTACCTCCACAGCACCTAGATTATAACATTGTGCACCAGTAAAATGTGTTCAGACTGTGGTGCGCACATTTAACAAAGCTTTGAATCAGTAAAAAAAATTAATCAAGGAATTTAATGAATCTAATCACTTGATGATTCGTTTTAGCCCTAGTTCAGACATGTGGCCCAATCCCAATACTTGCACTTCCACCCTTGCACCCTTCAATTGCGCGATCCCGACCAGGGGTGTGAGTGCGTAGTAGGGTGTCCCGATTCACAAGTGTGGAAGTTGATTTCGCCCCTTTTGTACCCTTGATCCGCACTTAGGGTATTACCCACAATCTATTGCTGTGTGAGAAAAGGCTCAAGTTCTTGTTCTGAAAATATGTATTTTCTAATGAAATTAGTTCATTTTAGGATGAATAGTTGATGCTCTGAATGTTTGACAAAGCAGCAAAGAATGTAAATTTATTTCAAAGAATTGTTTGGTTGGTTGCTTGTTTGAAAGTTGTTAAAGGTTTTAGAAAAAAAGTACCACATTGACCAGCATCCCGGCATGCGTTGCGATCGATGACGCAATGCTTCCTTTCTCAATTTGGCAATTATTTGCACACTTGTGTACCACGCACTCAAAGCCTTACTGACCACTTCCTCCAAGTACATTTTGCTGAAGACCGCCGGGCGCAGTGCAAGTATTGGGACTGGGCCCGTGTTGCCTTTGTCCCATTTTCCCAATGAGGTGGGATTCTGGTCCGGGTTCACTGGGGAACAGGTCACATCAGAGCAGAAACTGACTCGTCTTTATGAAAGGATGAATATTCCTGGAAGATGGTGCAATCTTCATCTGGAAAATAAGGTTATTTAAAGACCGCCTGTCTCTCTGCTGGGGAGGAAAACTACAACTGACTCATTCAGACACGTTTGAGAGGATTAGATGTGACTCATTCACATTAAAGTAGTTATTCTAGAGCAATGCTATTTAATTCTGGTCTCCAGCACGTTTTAGTGGTTTCTCTGCTCCAGCACACTAGATTCAGTGGTTGAATCACTTGTGCTGCAGCTCATCAGGCTCTGCAGAAGCCTGTTAATCACGTACTAATTGAAATCAGGTGTGTTGAAGCAATTAAAACCAAAACGTGCTGGATACCGGCTCTCCAGGACCGGAATTGAATATCTCTGTTTGAGAGTTTTCGTTTATTAAAAAGTCACCAGAAGCTTCTGAGTATGTTTAATTTTTCTGCTGCAGTGTGGCTGGGCATCATGCTTCCTGTGCTGGGAGTCAAGTCCTTGTCTTCATACGCCATCGCCTATCTAGAGAGACTTCTTCTGTAAGTCTGCCAGAGAGGAATGTGGTTATAGTTTTGGTTTCTGTCACGTTGCATTTGTTTCCATGTTGGAATAGTTTTCTCTCATCACTATTTAATGGTGAGCTGCTGGAACATAAACATCCTGCTGGTACTGTTAAACATTGTGCATTCTTTACTTTACAGTGTTTGTATATATATATTTTTTTTTTTTACCTCAGACTTCATACAAACCTGACAAAGGGATTTGGCATCATGGGTCCTAAAGAGTTTTTCCCTCTGCTTGATTTTGCCTTCATGCCCAAGAATGCCCTGTCACCCAGGTAAATGCAAACTCATGCAAACCCTGATGCTCACTTCAGTAGTTATTCTAACTGTCTGAATTAGCCTACTACACATACGACTACCGTATATTCCGGAGTATAAGTCACACCAGCCATAAAATGTATAATGAAGAAGAAAAAAAAAACAAGTCGCGCTGGACTGTAAGTCACATTTTGGGGGGAAATTTTATTATTTTTCTTACAAAATCTGAGACCAAGCGTTTCACATTGCAAGACAAGTACTGGTAACAATAACAGAATAAACAACCAGGGCGCAGCAGCACGCCATGGTTTCCAGCAGAGGATGGCGGTGTTTAAAACCCTCCCAGCGGGGCAGGGGAGCTCATTCCTGGTCCGGAGCCGGCCCGCAGCAGCGCGGTATACATAATTTGGTATATAAGTCGCAGGACCAGCCAACTATGAAAAAGAATGTGACTTATAGTCCGGAAAATACGGTACACGGTTCTGAACTTTCGCGACAGTTTACAGGAGCAGCTGAGGCGTTTGTATCCCCGACTGAAGGTCCTGGCCTTCGGAGCCAAACCCGAGAGCACGTTGCACACGTACCTGCCGTCTTTTCTGTCCAGAGCCACGCCGCACTGCCCCGACGATATGAAGAGAGAGGTGAGGGCACACCTTTAGATCTGAGGAACACGGTTGTTTGAAGCGTTTGAGTTAAAGGTTGTTGTTTGTTGCAGCTGCTCAGCAGTATGACGGAGTGTTTATGTGTGGATGTTCAGAGTCTTGGAGTGTGGAGGCAGCTTTACACCAAACACTTGCCACAGTCCAGGTGGAAGTTCTCACCTTTCTTTAAAACGCCACATCAAAGGTGCTTAATGACAAAACTAACTGGAACTCATCTTTCTTCCCAGTCTGCTCTTGAACCACTTACTGAACTCATGGAACTCGCTCCCGCCGAAGGTTTGATTTAGTAAACGAAGCTTCATAAACCTGAGGTTTGAAGGCTTTTTGGCTCATCTTTTAGGTTTCTGAGTTCTGTTTTTTCTTCCTATAGGTGCGGAAAAACCTGGAGGAGACGATCCAGTCTTTTAGAGTGACCAATGAAGAGATGAGGGACACGAATGAGTCTCGAGACCTTCAGGAGTGTAATACACTGTGTCAGGTCAGAAAATCACCTTTAGGTCCTCTTCTAGTCCGGCATGAGTCTGTAACACAACAGCAAAAAAATGTCTCCTTTTCTTTCTAGAATCTTCAGGTGAAGATGCGTGGTTACGGGTTCCCCTGGTCCAAACTGCTTATGGTTCTGCTGGTGTTCGCCGCCGGCTTCATCGCTCATGACATCAGATCTCACGGCTCAGTCGCAGGTCTGACTTGGTGCAGTTTTCTTCTCTGGAACACTCGTTTTCATATTTACAACAAAGTGATGTTTGTTTTCAGATTCCACCACAGCCATGTATCTGCGCTCCACGGGGATCACGTCTGTGTCCCAGCAGGCCTGGAGCAAGATAACGGTCTATTCAACGCAGGGACTCGGGTACGGCGTGTCGTGTGACACCTTCCTGTCCGGTTTCTGTTCTGGTGACTGAGACGTTGTTTCCTCTGCAGCTGGTTGGAGAAAAACACTCCTCATTATTACTCGGAGTGTGTGCGGGTGTTGGGGCCGCTCCTGGAGCAAGGTGCAGAAAAGACTAAAGCAGCGGCAGTCTTCATGTCTGAAAATACCACAAAGTTTATCCTCTGGGTTAAAGAAACAACACCTCTGCTTATAGAATGGGTACGGTGATCATGGAGTCCTTCAAGAATACTTCATCAGTTAAAACCTGCTGACATTAGGTTGGACTTTGCCTTTTTTCTCCAGGTGAACACCAACACTCCGGAGAGTGTGTTCCAGGTGTTGGCTTATTTAAAAGAGCTCCTCATCTTCATCCATCACAACTATATCCTACCAGCTGTGACGCACATATCCGAGCTGCTACACCAAGCATGGACCAACCTGCAGGACTCCTGCAAGTCAGTACCTAAACCAGCTTTAGCTTGTTTTTGTGAAGGTGTAGCCGCAGAATAATGTTTTCATGTGGTATTAAAATGCATCCTAAACCAGTTCAACCAGTTATGAGTAGATGTTGACATGGTGGAAAGTTACTGTTGATTAAAACGAGTATTGCTCACTGTCCTCTTGTCTCTGCTCCAGCGGGGAGGTGTCGGTGTCGTGTCTTCAGGGCCACGCCGTGGCCTTCACAAACTCAACGTGGCAGCTGCTCCAGCACACGACTTCGGCCATCAAAACGTGGGCTCAGGAGCTGCTGACGCGAGCTGGATAACACAACACACACTGACTCGGTCACACATGCAATATAATACACACAGTGTGTGTGCAGGTAGATGCTGTACATACACACTCTGGCCCAATGGGAGGCTGCCTTTCAGTGTGAGGGCTCCTCTGAAGCATGATTGGTCACGGGTCAGATTAAAGCAAACTTCAAATGGACTTCTTTGTTATTTTTTTCTTTTGCTAATTTTTATTAATCAGTTTGCTGTTGTATAGATGTTTCTACCGATCTTCGTCCCTGCTGGATGTGGAGGTCTAATTTTCTCTCCTTGATTTTTTTACAGCAGGTTTCAGGGGTTTATTTAGCAGTATGGTAATGTAATTTATAGAAAATTCAGGTTTGTAGATTTATAACCCGATTTTTATTTAAAGATAGTTAAAATAATAAAAAAAAACTCTTTGTAAAGAACAAGGAAGAGAAAACAACTGAGCCACTGAAGACCTCCATCATCAGGACCACTTTGTCTCACTCAGCTTTCACCAACCTCAAACCCGTCACCAGGAACCATCTCATCTTGGAAGATTAACCAAGATCAAATAAACTCTGTATTTTTCCCCCTGTCTTTTGCTTTTATTTGGTTCTTTCATTTCTGATGTCTGAGCTACAGGAAGTGATTTATGTCAGAATTGATCATATTCAGCTCTGTTCATCTTTCACCCAACCAGCTGATTCACTAACAGCTCTTTGATGGATTAGGCAGCATCAAATGTCTTAATTTGTAATGTAAATCATTTATAATAAAGACATAAATCCCATTTGTTGTACTGGAAGTGTTCTCTGTAGGACATCTGTATCCTAGTAAACTAGACCAAATTCTTGCTTTGCAAAGAATGATACATTTATTTAGTCTGGCTTGCCAGGCTAGGACATCTGTACTTGTTAACCAAAATTATCATGTAGAATAATTACTCAGTTTCATTTTTATTGAATAAGGTCAGAAGTTACATTTCTATAAAACGAGGATAAATGACACGCATTTTTCCTCCACCATTTAAGAGAACTGTGAGTGATTATTTTCGCCGTGGTATTAACGCCTTCGATAGCTCAGTTGGTAGAGCGGAGGACTGTAGAGTTGACACTGAAATCCTTAGGTCGCTGGTTCGAATCCGGCTCGAAGGACGTGGTTTATTTTGTTTAGTTAAGTCAAATAAAAGCAGAACCTCGAGAATCGGTACCATAAAGCTTAGAACCGGCTTTTAAAACGTGATTTTACAGCAACAATGATTATTTTAGTAAATATGTTCTCTCTCAGACTGGAGATAACTCAAACTAAACCGTACTGGTTCACCGATCACAGACTAAACCAGTAGACTTTAAAATTGCAGTGAGGGTTTTAAACAGACAGACAACACTGTAGTGTAAAACTCTGATGCTATTAAAACAACAAGCTTTATAATCACGTATAAAAGATTCACCCACATCACGCCATCTTTTTCGCCCCCTAGTGGTGGGATGGTTTGGCCGCCGGGTCTGCAACCATACTGTTGGTTTGATCTCAACTGCTTATGTAAATAATAATAAAAAACAAAGGAACTCTGGGCCCCAATAATTTTTCATTCTGCATTATTATCCTCATACTATTTAAAAGAGGATGTTATGAATGTTTATGCTCGATTATTCCTCTAAGTCACACCAAAATCAACTTTATTTGCTGATAAAACTGTAGAGATGGGCGTCTAATAGTGCTGTAGACAGGTTTCATTATTTTTTCATTTTCTTTAATGATGAGCTGCTCAGTCCCAGGAGCACTGAGTGACACAGGAGCTGCCTTGCAGTACTCTGTGATAATTTGCATATACTATCTGTCATTTATTTATAATAGTGTGTTTTAACTTTATAATAGTTCTAACTATTGAATTAGGAGATCTTTGATGATGCACAGGCTGAGTCTTTGGTCTGACCAGACTTAATGAACCATCTGAATACAGGGTGAAAAATAAAAAAGAATTGAAATAAACATTTCAAGAATTCAAAAGAACCGGTATTTCAAATGCACACCCACGCATACAAGCAAACGTCAGGAAAACAGCATGCACAACATTTGCAAGCAGAACAAAACTTATTTAGCAGCTCTCAGTTCTGCCGCCACACCTACTATGGCCAAACTCTTTGGTGTGTGGCCGCCCACACTGGATGCAGGTATTGTAGGTGACCTGACTTACACATTTTCTCTTGTGGACACCTCTCTCCTCCTCAAGAGCCTGTCGGCGTCTGTTCCTCAGAGTGTATTGGTATACAGGAGCAGAGATTTGGAGGGAGGACAGATAGATTCATCAGAAGATGATGGAAGGGGCTCCAGTTTCACCTTTGGTGATGAAAACTTGCCAGGTACCTCTGGATCTGGGTTGGTTGGAGCCATTCCAAGAAGGGATGCTCCTCTCTTGAGTCTCCTGCCACCGTTGAAACCTGAGAAGATCATTTGTGTTTGATATGCATGTTTCAGGGAACTATTCAGTCAATTTGAGTTAAATAATGCATCAGACCTACCTAATGAGCGTCTGCTGATTTTGCTCAGAGTTGGATCGTTGTCTCCGCTGTGACCCTTGGACAGCTGAAGACTAAGTCCCGGATGTGATGGTGGTCCATAAGGAATTTAGACCACCTGTGGGTGGAAACTCCAGCCTTCTCGGAGGTCGTCTTGTGCAAAGCCTTACGCACAAGGCCTGAAACAAGCGACTGGAGCCGGGCCACTGAGCTGGCCCCCCAGGACGGCCACTCAAACTACGCTCGACACTCTCCACGTCTGGCGTCACTTCAGACTTAAAACTGTCAACCAGATCCTTGTCCTCTTCAGGGAGACCTTTGCACAGCTGGATGACCTCATTCACCTGGAGCTCGGTGAGGTGAGAAACCTCATGGAGATCTACCAGGTAAGCGGCAAGACCACCCAGCAGTCCCATCAGGTCCAACGTTAGCTCCCTAAAAGATGTAATAACTTGTAGGTATAATGTTTATGTGGGATAAAATGTGATCATGGTTTACCTGAACTTGCCATTAGTGTCTCACCTGAGCCTCATCACTCCCCAGGGCAGCTTGAGAGGCAGCAGGCAGCACTGAAGGGGCGGTGGCAGGATGCTGTACCGTGGACGGTCCCTAGTGGGGCATTGAACGGCCTGACTCTTAGGGGTCTGATGTTCGGAGGTTCTTCGTCTGTTTTATGGGTGGAGGACTTTAATGCGCATAGTGAGCTGGGGGGGGGGGGGGGGGGGTCGTACTAGTGGGAATGGCAGGGTGTTGGAGGATATGTTGGACGGGTCTGGGTTGGTGGTACTGAATGATGGCAGTCATACTTGGTTTAGGGGGGATGGTCTCTGCTCGTCAGTGTTGGACTTGACGTTTGCTTCTGCAGACTTGGCTGCAGTGGCTGGTGGGTGGGAGGTGTCAAGCCAACTTGCTATGGAGAGTGATCATTGTCCTGTGCTGAGCAAAAATAAAAAAATAAAAATAAAAAACCCAAAAACTGTCAATTAACACACCGACTTGTGTTCAATAAAACCAGACATGGAAATTGTAAAAGGAAGAAAACTTTTGCAGCTTCAGCTGTTATTAGTTGTTGTTGTTAGCCTCAAGGGCAATATGCCGATTATCACTTGTAAGTCGCTTTGGACAAAAGCATCTGCTAAATACATAAACATTATGCCTCCCCCTGCATCATGTGTTCATCTTGCAGCAAGAGCGCTAATCCACAATAGATTACAAGAGTTTGGCGCAAAATATGCAGTTTTAAAAGTTGGAGAATACGTTTAGCGAGCAGAGAAACATCCCAGTTTTCAGGTTGTGCTGCGCTTTCAGCAGTTCTGCAAAAGTCTCTATCCTAACTTGAAAGAGAAGAAAAGTAATCATGGATTTTGCTGACAGAGGCAATGGAATGATTCAAAACAGACACCCAATCTCATTACTGATGGTTTCAGATTTTTGTCACCCAAAATGACGTTTATTGAGCTGTGCTTTGTCTACAGTGTCCTCTCATGATGGAGAAATCACCCAGCTCATTTCCAAAGTAGTTCAGAACCACGAGATACTGCATCGTTGATCAGCGATTTGCTTTTTGCTCCCAGTGTCCAAAAGCAAAAGGAATCCATTTATTTGTTCAGTTCTTGATTTTAACGCCTGAGAAGATGCAGGCAAAAGCAGCAGTGGGCATCCTGGCTCCATGTCTACCTCTCCCTCTCACATGAAGTCGTCTGAATCGTAGCCATCCTGCAGGGACGTTACAAAAGTTCAACAAGTGCTTTTAGACTTTTTCTTACTCTCTGATCCTCTCCTTGATGTGAGTTAGAGCTTTTTTTGTTTTGTCATTACCTCGTTAGTTTTCATGTTTTCACCCTTCATCAGAGAGGAATAGCTCCTAGAGGAAACACAAACATGGAAAAAGTTAACTTTGATCATATTTTGTTGCAGCTAAGTTTGAGTCAAACTCCAATCTTTAGCTCACTTTAGCTCCTCCATCTCCTTTTTCTTCTTGTGCTCCTCTTTTTCTCTCCTCTTCTGCTCCTGGAGTTGAGCTTTCTTTTCATTCCTTTCCTCCTGGTCCCTCTCTTCCTTTTCTGCTGCCAGGTCTGGGAAGCGCTCCTCTTTTGTTTTCTCCAGGCGGTTAACGATCTCATTGACCTTCTTCTCCACTGCAACAACCTTCACCTGCAAGAGACACCAACTAGGTCATGACGAAGAACGCTGGTGGGTGGTTTGGATCTACAACCGTGCAGAAGAAAGGTACGCCGTTTAGCCGCTGACCTCTTTCTGTCGATAGAAGCCGATCTGTCCCACATCCATGTCTCCTGTTTTCTTTAAATTGGACCACGGTGTGTAAACCACGTTGATGTTGTTCATCTTACACCCTGATGTAAACAACACAATGAAGCTTTGCGTGAAAACACACAACACTAACAGAAAAAGTGGGAAAAGTATCAGAATGAACAGGTTATCCTCAATTACCCTGGATGCTGTTGTTTTTCACCAGCTGTGCACAGTCTATCAGCACCTCTGGAGGAATATCATCAATGGTTTTACCCTAAAATGAACCAAAAAGAATAAAACACCTGTTAATGTGGCTGTCAAACTCACTTTTACCCTGCAATGCCCTGACTGCATTTATAAGTGATTATTCAGCATCTTGTTTTCAGTATGAACAGCTAAACATCATGTTTGATCAGTTCAATATAATCACAATTGCAAGCTACAAAGAGTTGCAGCTAAAATCAAAGAATATGAAGACAAATTGTGTGAATCTGTATTTTATTTTATTTTTTTTACCTTGGGCATTCTTAAATAAACATGAGCTGAGGAGAGTTTGTCCACATGAAACCTAAACAGAGGGGGATAAGTATAGTAAAACGTAATCAGCTAAAATACATCATAATAAAATAATTACAAAATAAATCTAATTTTAACTGAGAGACAGAAACTTTCATAAGAAGAGTGAGACAGATGTAAACATGTGGGAAAATAAGTTAATTAGAGATTTCTTAAATATATACAAATGTACTTATTGAAAGTTTTACTTGTGCATTTTATTATATTGTAGTATTCTAGAGATGTGGATGTGCACTATAGTAAAATAAGTGAAATATAATTCTAGTGAGAAAAGGCATATGCAAACAATTTAGCTTAAAATAATAAATGACTTTGTTACCACCAGTTAAATATGAGTTTACAATAGAAAACACAATAGAACGCGTACCAGATGTCTTCAGGCCAGCCATATTTAATAAGACCTTCATCTGTAGACAGAAACAATCTCGTGTCAGACTGATCTGGCATCATTTATAGTTCTTATGACAGTTTGAGGTGTGAGATCAAAAGGTTTGCCACCTTACTTTCATATTTGTCTTTGCCCATATAGATCGTGAATGGAGGGTTCACCACTGAAGAGAAACCAAATTCTGACAGTTACTTGTATGACACCCTAACGCCATCTGGTAAATAAACACTTTACAGCTTTATGGAGGCTGAAGCTAACAGGCTACAAGCTAAACCCGCAGCTGCTGAACTCACCGGCACTTGTGAAGTAAAACACCATGTTACAGAATATAAAATACGCACAAAAATGAACTGAAAGAAACCGGTTGTTTGATTAATTATGAGGGAAACGCGTAAAAATATCTACTGGTTTTAAACTAATGGTTGCTGCTGATGTCTGTGGCATGTACGAAGTGACCCCGGAAGTTTTTAGCTAGCTACATGGAGTCGAGCTGCAGAAAGAGGAAGTAGCTATTTTGCCTACAAAATAAAAGCAACGTTGGTTAATTTCATTGTCAGCCAACCTATGCTTGAATAGTTTTTTTAAACAACGTTTCAACACTAATGCTTATTAGGTTTTCTTTTTCTTCGTTTTGATTTCATGTGGATTTTCTCAACAAAAAATAAAAAAAATCCTTGAAAAGACGAAAGAAATGTACTATCCGTGATTTTTTAGCATTTGTTTTCATTCCATTAATTCATTATATTGGTCTAAATGTTTTATTTTTATGCCTTAGCTTTATTTTCTATATTATTATTATTATTATTATTATTATTATTATTATTATTATATATTTCTTTGTATTTTATTGTATTTTTTTATCCTACATAATTGTTTCTATGTAGCACGAGGATACTTGGGATGGACAAGCATCAGCTTCAATCCATTCCTATTTCGATTGTTCCATTTCATAACCTGTATTTGTATAATGATACTACTGTTATAATGAAAATTGAAATAAATTAATTCATTAAATTAAATATTTTAGAAACAAAAAAGCAAGTATAATTGCCCTTATTTAATAAATGTGTGGCTATATTTATAACAGGATTCGCTGTGAATAAGGGAGATCAAATAAATAAATAATATTTCGAACACACGTTTTGGTTTTCACACAAGATATCAACGTGGAGTAAATAACATAATAATCTCAGTTTATTCATGCTTTTACTGTGTCAGCTAAATTTGTTAACGTCAACTTCCGTTTCCGGTTGCGCATCTTTTTTTTTTGTGTGTGGCGCACTCTTCAAAAACACAGAAAAGAAACGCGCGACGAACACGCAGCAGTGTTTGTTACCTAAGCTTTACACCGACATTCATCGATTTGTGAAGCTCAAAGGAAACTTTTCCGGTAAGTCGAGTGAAAGTTATCTTATGTCGGCACTTTTCATGTTTACTTGTTTACTCGTGTTGTTTTGGAACGGGAACTCAGGGTGCTCCACTATTTATGTTGCCCGCTTTCTGCATTTTTTGGAAACACGCTGACAGATCCTACATTTAAAAAATTGGATAAATACTTAAATATAGCGACATGTTGCTGGTTTGTAATGGACATCTGAGACATATTCGCATTTGGTTAATCATCCCGCCAATTATGCATTTGCTCAAAGTCGTCGCTCACCATTAAGCTAGCGACTAGCAAGACAGCTAACGTTTAAGGCATTAGCTACATCCTTATCGACCACAAAGGTTAAGTTTGTATGCGTATGTTTACATTAATGTTCTGCTATGGCCTTAGTCAGCCACACCAGGCTCCAGTATGTTAATACCTTATTTAGTAAAACTGACTAATTGGATTTCATTCGTTATTTGCTCACGTACTTAAAATTAATGCTTATATCACCGCATTCGGCTATTTACTGGGTGTTTGCTGTTTTTTCTTCTTCCTATGCATCTAATATATGATGGGTTTGTTTGTCTCATTGTGCAGGTGAAGTATGAAGATGATTATCTCCACTACCAGGAAGCGAAAACCATCTTCTCTAGATCCTGACAGGTAAAACTATCATCATAAATCAGCATTAAAGTGTTGAATTCTTGCTCCTGTTCTCTAAAAATGTTTCTGTATATTTGTGCTTTTGGACTCCAGGATCACCAGACAGTCAGTCTTACATTTACACAATATCTAATGACTGCCATTATATATAATATGAGTACATCGTAGGGACAGTACATGAAGATGAGATCAGTGAGGCCAGGCTAAGTTTGGACTTGTACAGAGGAATTGTTACAGGAAATCTACGAGACGTTCAAAGACATTTCTGGATGTAGTGAAGCTAACTGGTAGAGCAGAGGACCGAGTTAGATGGAGCCAAATTATTTCTTGTGGTGACCCCTGAAAGGACATATTTAAAGGATAAGAAGAATATTTTCTTCTAACCATCTCTAGATAATAAATTCTGCCTTCAAGTTATATGTCTGCTTTGATATGATTTACTCTAACATCAGTTTTCAGTTTAGTAAAAGCTGTTGAATTGTTTTAATCTTAAATGTGCAAGCAGCGGTCCCCCGGCTAAGAAGGGTGTGAGGGAACCGGCATCACCATGTAGGAGATCTCCAAGAAAGCTGTGGTCTCCAGCTAAGAAGTCCCCACAGGCGTCTCCTTCTAAACCAGCTGGTAGGTCAGGTCAGCAAAGTGTCTTAAAGAAACTTTTGGTCACTTGCATTCTGATGTGATGTACACATTTTACTCCCTTGCTTAATTAATTTACTTCTGTTTTGATTCATCAGCCAGATCACCTCAGAAACCTCCCTCTGTGGTTCCGAGCTCCTTCTATGGAAAACAGAAGACCGTCTATCTCACCCCGCTGGAAAGAAAAGCGGTGAAGGAATGTCTGCCTGCTCTCCCCTCCCCTCCTCCTGTGGCCAAAAAGCCCCAAACTAAAATAAAGGAAAATGTTAATGGAGGCAACAAATTCCAAAGATCAACAGTGAGATCTGCTAAAGGGGGGAAGAGAGGAACCAGAATCCCCTTAGCAACTACAAAGTTGATCAGGCAACCTAAAATCAACAGCAGGTTTGGTTTTATTTGTATTTTCCATGTGTTTGTGTCGGTATTTCCACAGCACAACTTTTTATATTGGCTTTTACATTTGATGTAGCAAAGTTGCTGCTAAACCAGAGCAGAACAGCAGCAACGTGTCAGCCAGCAACAAACCAGAAGAGGCTAAGGGAGCTTTCACCATCACGTTCAGCTGCCTGAAGCCCAAACCAAAGCTCTTCGTTGGAGCTGCTTTCTTTGGTACAGGAAAGAAATCCACATCGGTGTACAAGACATCTGCTCCAAAGTCTTCAGCCAGACCAGCTGCTCCACCACAGAAGAAGAACAAGAGACCCAAATGGCAGCAGGAGGCTCAAGAGACAGACAAACCTGAACAGGTGTGTGAGAGGGTCACACTGGTGATGAAATGTTAGAATGATGGATATAGATATAGATAACTGATGTTCTAATACATTTTTTCTGCTTAACAGAAACTGAAGCAGAGGTCAGAGGTCGTTCCCTCTGTTGATGAAGAACCTGACACTAGCCAACCATCAAGGTGCTTTTAACGAAGGAAAATCTGGTTTTGTTTAGAGTTTTCAAACACGTATTTATTTTTAACCTTTTGATTTTAAGTTTAATAATATAATGACAAATTTTCCTCCTCATCGTCAGCGCTCTTAAAATCTCAGGAGTGGATGAAACGACCCAGAACCTGAAGATTGTGCTGTCCAGGATCCCAGAGTCTGTCATCTCTTTCAACAGTCAGGTGGATAAAAACAAATTCACTGAATTCTTACAAAAAAGATTTACTTGAATTTTTGTGGTTGAAGATCAATCTAAACGTCTTATTTTTCACTTCCACTATTTTTGTCAGGATGACTCCGTGGCTGAATGTGGTTCTGGTCTCACCTTTGACCTCAGTGAAGCAAACCCCACCTGTGCTGTCAGCCATTATCCTGATGGTGTGTATTTAAACTCACACACGGCTGATCTCACAACGAGTCATACAGAAAGACACAAATTCTGTCTTTATTTTCTCTTTATTTAATTTCATGTTTTTAATATTTTTCATCCCTTCAGCCTCTGAAGCTGTGTATCCCATATTTGCTTCTGCCTCTAAAAGGTATTAAAAAAAAAAGTAGACTCTGTAATTTTGCATTTTTTAAGTAAAATTGAAATAACCCTAGAAACCTTTTATTGTTGTAGGTCAAAGAAGGAATCTCGGCGAGCTCCACTTTCCTGCATCACCTCCTCTGACTCCTCAGGAGAATCGCTGCAGAAGATTTCTGCAGCGGCAGCAAAGGAGGGAAGCGTTCGCAGGAGGAAAGAGAAGCAGGACAGCGACCAGCTCATCATCGTTAGTTTGTTTCTTCTCTGTGTTTTGTATTTGGATCATAATGTATGAAAAGAAAGCGTGAAACTAAATCAGGTCCCCTTTTTCTGATTTTGTATTATTTAGGATGCTGGCCAGAAACAGTTTGGAGCAACAACCTGCAGCTCTTGTGGGATGATTTACAGCGCAGACAACCCAGACGATCATTTCCAGCACACCCAGTTCCACCAGAGATTCCTCGATTCAATCAAATATGTGGTGAGCTTCTAGAAATGTACAAACGTTGGTTTTTAGCTGGAGTGTGTGCAGTGTTTGACACAGAAAATATTAAATCACTTACACTTTGGTAAACAATTACCTCAAGTTTAGATGGATTTCTGATCATCTGCTGTTGTAATCCTGGTTGTTTTTCCCCTGCTGTGCATCAGGGGTGGAAGAAGGAGCGGGTGGTGGACGAGTTTTGGGATGGAAAAATTCTCCTGGTCTTACCTGATGATCCAAAATATGCTGTCAGAAAGGTACGCACACAAATGAGATCTGATTACTTTGCCAATATATTGCATTGACGATAAGAAAAAGGACTTGGTTGTCAAGGGGGGAGGGGGCAGAGCAGGCTCACCTATTTCTGCACCACCCCTGTAACTCTTAACTCGGCTCACAACGTGACTGCAAAGCGCGACACTTTGCTTTCAGTCAGCAGTTTCTTTGTTTATCAACGTGCCTTTCTGTGTCGACTGGCTCCGTGTTTTGAGTTGCTGAAGGGAAGTGGGACTGGTGATTTGCTGTGGTGATCCCTAAAACCCACAGAAGTAAATTTTTAAGGTGTGGATCATGCAGCTCTGTCTTTTTCACCACTTTAAATGCCCAGTATGCACACAAGTGTGTTGCTCTTCCTTTGCTGTCTGGTTTAAAATGCGTCCAAACTGAAGATTTTTATCACTCCTGAGGATGCACGTTAGCCTGCTAGCTAACAGCTGCACATTATGGTGTCTGAGTGCAACACTTGTTTCTGTTTTTTAAGAAGGAAATAACTTTCATGTAGCAGAACTTGTTAAAATTAAAACAAAGCCATTGTTGCTAAATATACGGCTAAATCATGTTTTCCACCCGATTCCGATCATTTAAAAGTCACATGATCAGGCTCAATTTCTGATCATGTGATTTTTAAAGGCAAATTCTCTGTTTTTCCTGTTGCAGGCTGAAGATGTGCGACGCGTGGCAGACAGTGAGTTGGGATTCCAGCAGGTGACCCTTAGCAGATCAATGCAGGCTAAAACCTACATGTTCATCAACACGCAGCGGCTGGTGGTGGGATGTCTTGTTGCCGAACCCATACGACAGGTAGGAGTGTGTGTCTGTGAGACAGTTGACTTCCTCAGCTAAACCCCATCAACACTAGAGCTGTAGCGAAGCCTCAATGACGTCAACGGCTCGATTCTAAAAATTCGTCGACGTCAGATCCGGTAGTCGACGCACCGCGCCCACTTGTTGCATCACCAGGAGTTTGTAAATAGAGGAGGAATCTGCCTGTTTTTCCTCTAGTTCGCCCTCTTCTCTGCCTTCACTAATGGGTCATTCCCATCTGTACTGGGTCGGCCCAGGCCGGGTAGCCCCAGTCGGCCCCAGCCTGGCCCGGTTGTTTCCACACATCCTTGCTTAGGTATGCAAGGAATGCAGTCAGAGACACTTTCAGCTTCTGGGTAATCGGCATGATAATGAATTGAGCATGCCTTAAGCCACATATGTCAGACTCAAGGCCCGCATTTTTATGTGGCCCGCGAGATAAATATCAAAAATATATTAAAACTGGCCCGCTGGCCGATTTTACCGCAAAGACTTCAACTCCCATGATGCTTTGCGGCGTCAGCGTGGAGCCGAAGCGCCCCCTCCTTTGTGTTTTTTCTAGCGTCTTCTGCCGGGTGTCTGCAGCTCCACTGTCTCGGACAATTTACACTCCTCTCACTCAGCGCCGAGTTCACTCAGCTATTTTCTGACGTTGAAGCCCAGAAACGGAGATTTTAACTGCTCAGTAATGTGTTCACGACTGAAAGAGAAATTTTTCCAACTAACATCCAGACAGAGCTGATATAACTCCAGCGAACAGCGACACGCTCAAACCAGCTGCTGTAGTTGTGTTTCCTCCCCGACACACAACAACGTGGTCAAGCTGCTCAGACATGTTCAGCAGCACAAACCTATGTGAGCTCCTGTTGTCATCTAATGTTGTCATTATTATGATGAAGATGAACAAAACAACAGGAGTCTCCTCCTCAGCTCAGGTCAACCCCGTGATGCAGGTATCTGGCTGGAACAGGTGAGCATCACAGTAAACCAGTGGAGCAAACTGAGCTTTAAATATGTTGGTTTTATGCTCTTTTTCTGCTCCAAAGCATGAAAGTTAACAGGTGAGATGTTGCATTTTCATTTAAGATAAATAATACTTTTATTTTGTTGTTGGCACGTGAGCAAAGATTTAGCCTACAGTAAAACAGGAAGTGGAAAGGCTGCAGATAGATGAATAGAATAGAAAATCCCTTTATTGTTCCTCAGTGGGGAAAGCTAGACGTCACAGCAGCGATGACACGTATTACAGGAGAAAAAAAGGAGAATAAAAAATAAGAAAAATGAATAAACAAGAAAACATAAATCCTGAATAGATTTTAAAAATACTGAATACACCACAAGTAATGAATCTCACTGATGCCTTTTATTTAAAACTGACTTGCTCGTGTGTAATTTGGTTATTCCACATTCAGTGTTGATGCAGAAATATGTTTGTTTCCAAATTTAAAGGTTCAAAATTGCATATATGTTGATAAAGAAAATGTGCAAATTTGCCGTCACTTTTTCAAAAAATATTAAGTTTGGCCCTCGACTCCGTCCCAGAGTTTCATTTCGGCCCCTTGTGAGTTTGAGTTTGACACCCCTGCCTTAAGCCCATGTGGGCTGATTCTACCCACCAATCAGAGGCTTGCTCTAATGGAAGGTGTGAATTTGCTGTCAGCAGTGGGTGTGTTGGCCCTGGTCGGCCTGAAGCAGACCCCCTCGAGAAGAGGGCTGAGAATGAGCCTTGGTTGGCCCAGGAAAATTCCAGGCCACCCAGATATGTAAACAACCTACGCTACCCGGCCCGGTACAGATGGGAATGGGGCTTAACATCTCCGCCAAATACCGAAGACCCGGAACAAAGTCCGTCCGCTTCTAGATTCCTTTCCTGTTTCGCCCCCCTTCGTCTCCCGGAAACGGACAACAACTTACGGGGTCAGATGCGCTGCTTCGTCTCTATCGCAGATGCAGAAAATCACCGGGAGTGTTTCTCCCTTCATAAAGGAGCTTCTTTCAGACATTAGGAGAGCTGGTTTGGTGGTAGCAGTCTCTCCTCTGTGCTGGTCTGTTTGCTGCTGAGTGTTTTTGGTTTATTTAAACTTGGTAACTTGAACTTAACGTTGGTAAAGCTACTGTTAGCATTTTCGCTAACAGCTTCTTGCGTTTGGATAAGCTGTTACATTCTGGTTTACAGTTCATCTATTTTGTGGTGTAGATCTCCCTTTTATTACATTTAGAGTGTTGTGGGTTTTCGGTTTAGTTTGAAATATCACCTTGAGTTTGGTTTAACCACCCAGTTTAGAGTTTGGACCTTTGGAGATCCTTATTTTGGTCCAGAACCCTGTAATCTTTGCCCAGCGGGACATCCCTAGTTATTTGTACTTTTGTTTTAATTCCCCACAGGCAGAATTAGTTTTATTATTCCCAACCTGTGGATGGAAAGATTTGTTTGTTGTTGTAAATAAACCTGATCATCATTTTAACTTTTAAATCACACGTTATTGTCCCTTCCTTTTTGCACACAAGCCAAACTCCCGCCTCACGCACATAAGCAACCAAAACAAAGCAGCATGGAGACACGTCTCCAACCACCTCTCAGGCAGCAGCCTGCTCTCCCCAAGTTCTACACGTCACCAGAACATAACCGACTGCAACACAATAAAAGCAGTGCTATACAAATGTCATTAGAATAGTCGACTATTCGATAAAATAATCGGCAGAATAATCGTTATAAAACTAATCGTTTACTTCCAGCCCTAATCGACGCGTTTCAAGCTAACTATAAACTGTGCCACACCTTTTACTCATAACTTGTGTTTTGATGTTTAACTCCTAAATCTCCATCATGAAGAGTCGTGCCTGCAGGTCAACATCTCCTGTTTCCCCTTCAGGCTTACAGAGTCCTCGAGCAGCCGGCTCCGAACAAAGATATGACAAAGGATGACTTCATGGAGCGACACAGAGCCTGGTGCTGTTCCACCGTCCCAGAACCAGCTGTGTGTGGGATCAGTCGGGTCTGGGTCTTCAGTCAATCCCGACGGCAGAGCATCGCGACCCGCATGCTGGACACCGCCAGGTAAGGTCGACTTCAGCCTGGTTTAGAAATACGGTCACTTGGATAAAATGATTTAATTAGTAGTTCTGGAGCTAAAGTTTCATTGACGATACATTTTTCCTGACTCCTGCAACAGGATGAGTCCAAAATGACTCCAAGTATTAAATCTTTTTAATTCTGTCTAGGAGAACGTTCATATATGGAAGTTACCTGACCAAGGAGGAAATCGCCTTCTCTGATCCGACTCCGGATGGGAAGCTGTTTGCAACCAAGTATTGCAACACGCCGACCTTCCTGGTGTACAACTTTGTCTCCTAAAGTTTGGAAACGAGCCAAACGACTCGGAATGTTCTGTTATGAAGCTGTTCAGTTTTCTGCATCACATCAAGATTGTCAAGAGTTTTTAAAGCAAAGTTGTGAGATTAGGCTGAGCTTGAGTTCTGTGTGAAACTTATGTAATTAAAGTCTGTTAAATAGCTCGAGTTTTTGAGACTGAGATTCAGTGTTATTGTTCAGTGCTGCCAGTTCCACTGTGTGGGTTAGTAGAATGTTTCTCCTACATGAAGAGGTTCAACCTACAGTCACTGGAAACTTCTCATGTTAAAGCAAAACTTCAGTTAGAAAAACACCAATCTTAGCCGGATCTTGTCGAAACCGGTAAGCACAAACCTGTTGATGCATGGATGCCATCTTTGTTGTTGGGCATTTGTGCTTTGTACATTTTAATAAACCAGTTGGTTTTGACTCATTACTGCAGATTGTCTCCTGATTCATTGGAAATGTTGGAAAAATTGGGACGAACTTGTTAGAATTGTAACATTTACTGTTTGACAGAAACGCAAACAAATACAAATACTTACAGGAAAAGCTGACAGACAAAAACAATCTACAGAACAAACAAATGTGGGGAATATGAACTGAGAACTTCTGATTTAGACCGAAATGTAAACATGTGCTTGTTGAGTGAATCAGTCGATAACGATCGCCGCCTCCGCAGCCGTGCCCAGAGGAGCGTTGTCCTCTAGAGCCTGGACGATCTGAGCTGCCGATGGTCTCATCTTAGGACATTCTGATGTGCAGACGCAGAAGAGCTCCACCACCCTGCGGTACGGGCTGCCCAGAACCTCCGTGTCCAGAGGCGGTCGTGTTCCTAAACGCTCATAGTAGGCTTCATCATCAAATGTCTCCTCCATTGAGTCTTCTGAAATAAACCCAATGGTTAAACTTGTTAGCTTTCACCACACAACACTTTTCTTCTGTAATGTTCCAGTCAAAGGAAGCAGCTACTAAATTCTACCTTGAAATGTTCCTACAGAACTTCTCACCTTCATATTCTTCCTCCTCTTCATCATTCTCCAGCAAATCCACATGAGGCATCGCCAGAGTCATCATCTCCCACAGAGTCAGACCGAAAGCAAAGATGTCCGCCTTATCGGTGATCTCTCCTCCTAATATTGCTTCTCTGGGATTCCATGGCTCTGTGCCGATGTACTCTGCTTCTGGGTCAGCCACTGAGGAGAGAGAGAGAGCACTCTATTTACTGCGATGGAGCCATACTGTAATTCAATTCATAACATAGCAGAAACATGTAGAAATAATACATATTGTGTTGCCAGTAAAGAGCTGAATGTGAACGTTTACCTATCATGTTCTCATCTAACTTCAGAGAAACGCCAACATCACAGATCTTCACCGTCTCAAAGTCTCCTCTGATGACCACATTGCACGACTTCATGTCGCCATGCAGCAGCTTCTTCTCATTGTGGAGATACTGCAAAGCAAATATGTTTAAAGTTTTGTTTTATAACAGGAAAGATAATGAATAATGTTTCATTCCACCAAGCTTTGACAATAAAGTTAATTACCATCAGGCCACGAGCCACATGCAGAGCCACCTTCTCTATAACAGCGGCAGGGAAAGCGGTCAGACCTTCCTCCTTCCTCTTCTCGATCAGGTCATTGAGGGACTGCTCTCCTCCGTACTCCATCACCAGGCATTTGGAGCCGTCTTTGGCTGTAGTGAAGGCACGAAAACCTCAAAAAGACAGAATTAACAATGCGAGTGAAACAGAGTTGTGAAAACGGTCAATCTCATACAGCCTCCAGACTTCAACGGTATGTTTAAAGAGCAAGTCACCCCCAAATCAACTTTTCCCCCCTGATAAACTATATAAATGTGTGTCTAATAGTGCTGCAGACACGTGTAGTCAGTTTTCTGCCTAAAACTGTCAGTGTTGTGCCGTAGTCAGGTAAAAACTCTGCACTACTTTTGAATTTAAATCCGCCATCACTATTGGCTAAGAGGTACCCTAGAACGTTAGCTGGTACCATATGATGTCACAATATCATTGTGAGCCTGTGTGTGTATTTGATAGCGGCTCCGCCCTCTCGGTCTGCTAGGCAACAGCATTTGTTGCATTTGTTTAACAGGAAGTGGGAGTTGAGTAAGAATCTGGTAGGGGGTGACTTGCTCTTTAAATGAGCTAAATCTGCACAGTGGTTGTTTATTGTTGAGAAAATTCAATGATGACACATCTTTGGTGTCCAGGATGATGTGAGCATCTTGTGGGAATTAGAAAAACCACTCATGCATGTTAAGGCTGGCTTACCAACAATGTTTGGGTGATCGATTCCCTTTAGGACCTCCGCCTCCTCATTGAGACGTTTCTGATAAACGTCCGCCTGTTTGGATGCACATCTACTGTTGATCTTCTTCACAGCCCAAGGCGATGCATTCAGCTTTCCCACTCTAGAGATAAAAACATACATTTGTTACTGGAGCTGAAATGATTCACTTTCAGATATAATAATCACTTAATCATCCATCTGAATGGAGAAACAGTGGTTTGAAGTTTAGAAGAGACCCTGATGTCAGGAAGAGGTGCTGTGTGAGCCCCTGACATCAAACCTGTTCATGAGGTAAACGTCGACTCCAGTCCCGCAGCCCAGCTTCTTCATGAAAGGTGATGCGGGGATGGTGACAGGGGTGCTGTCACCACAGCTGCTGCTGTTGGAGCCCTTTGACCCGACCCTTTTAGGGGTTTTATACGCGCCCTCGTTGACTGGATGGGAGGCCATTCCGTTCAAGAACAATATTGGACCTTACGGAAAAAATAACAGTTAGCCAAATACGTTATTTTGATCAGATGTTAAACTGTACAATAATAGCAAAACGAGTTTGAGGGCTTTTAAATAGCGCCGAATGAAAGTTTATATATTTGATAGAACAATGCCGATCTATAATGTCTAATTGCCCGTTTACCATTAAGAACGGAAATAAAATGACAACTTTTGAGTGGAGGCTGGCACAAGGCCCGTTAGCAAAGGTGTTATTGAGGAAATGTTTCTGTTTTGTAATGTAGCAGGATTTGGACCATTTTAAATCAAGGTAAATGAAAAGTACAAGCATGTTTAACAACGGGAAATACGCTTTATACTCAGTCTTATGTAATATTGTTGAACAGAAACCACCCAGGCAAACGACAGAGGGGAAGCCAACCCTAACGTTAAAAAAGGCTAAAACCAACTGTAAACGCTGTTAATACCGCGTTAATCTTTTAGCACCTTACAGGATTTCATGTCAGTCCAATGAGAATCAACTTTAATTTGATAAACGTAACCTTACCCGAGTTTTTGTTGCTGTCTGATCTAAAAATAATCTCCTTCAACAAAGAAACCGCGCTGAACATTCAAACTAGTACTAAGGCAGACACGGAAGCTGAAGAGGGACAAACTGCTGCTCTCTAAAAAGTGCGCTTTTAAAATGACAAAACCACTCTCTAATGCAGTTATTGTAATGCCGCTGTGCACCGCTAGAGGGTGCTCATGTCAATGAAATAGGGTTCTGAACAAGTGTACCTTCTCAAAGTTTGTTTACAACATGCATTTTTATCACTACATAATTATTTATCTACCGATTTGTCTCAGATATATGAGCTAAGTTCTTCATCTGAAATCAGACGTGTTTTTTACTTTTTGTTATGTTAAATCTATAAACACCTCTAGGTTTTTTCAATCTTTTTGTGGCGGTTTCTACGATTCAGTTTAGTTGTTTTCTATGGTGCATTGTTTCACGATATATACATTAATTTATGTATTAAAAACTATTTATGCAGCTTTTACCTTCAAACAAATAATGATTTAAAGCTCACTTTTACTAAGACTTGAGAAACGTGAGTGGAACATGAAGCATGTTAAAATTTGTTTCACCAACTTCAAGCTTTTGTCGAAAGAAGAAAAGTCGAGACCTCGACCTTGACTCTCATGATCCCAAACTTAATTCCTATTTTTCCCACATCGCACAGAGCTGTGCAGCTCAGTCTCCTCGCTAGAAGAGAAACAGGAATGTGGTCTGATGACAAATGGACATGGAAGGGAAGAGTGGGACATTCTATTATTCTCCCAGTTCCTGTTTCACCTAGAAGTTAAATCAGATCATGCTGGTGAGCACCACTGCCACATGTTTTGGTGCACTTTATAAAAGTAGAGTGGGTCCGTTACTGATTAGAAAACAGAGAATTTGCTGTGGGACAACCGATTTCTACGGCTGTGCCAACATCTACTGTTGGTAAAACACAGATTATTGGTTAAAAACATAAACTCTCCTTTTATGGTCATAAAATGTGAATACTTAAAGTTCAGGATCATCCAGGATTTATGTGCCATAAATCTACTTCTGATTGTGGTTTTCACATGTGGACTGCAGCACACGACGGACGTATTGCTGAGCAGTGCAAACGTGAAGCATCTGCTCTCCAGTTAAAGGTATCAACAAAATACTTTTGACATTATCTTTCACGTTTAAGCTCTTGGAACTAAAAATCAAAGCATGACCAGTGATCATGCAGGAAATGAAATAAATGCTGACTTTGTTCCTCTGCTGTGTTGGCCTAGAAAAAAAAATCACACTCACCTGTAGTTCAAGACAAAAGCAGTTCCAAACTGAGTTCCTCCATCGAGTCTGGAGGAAAACACATTTGCCTCTCGGGATTTCAGAAATTAATCACGTTTGCGTTTGGCTGTGCTCATGCAAATCTGTCCAAAACCTTTAGAAAACACTTGATGACTCATAAATTTTGCACATCGCTGCAATTAATTTAAGCCTGTCTCTATCTCACTAGTGAAATATGCTCACTATTTCCTCTTTTGATCCAGAGGTATCTAGATTAATGTTTTCCATATAAGTGGGTTTTCACAGCTCTTAAATTTCCCCTTGAATCTGACTTTTAATCATCTTTATTTAACATATTATAAACATTTCTGTGAAAACCTGTCGCAATTATGGCACAAGTTCCCTAGTTTGAGTCAAACCATCTCTGAGTCTGTCAAGTACTTTTTGAATAATTTCAAGATTGCCAAAATATGACACGTAAAAACATTTTTTTTGGCATGTCTGTCTCCAGCAAAACATTAATAATGTTCTTGCTTGATTTTTCCTCAGCATTTGATACTGTTGATCACCACATTCTATGAGACACAGGTGCTGCGTGGGAGTGTCAGGAACCGCACTACAGTAGTGTTCTTCATACCTCTGCTTGGTTAATGCGGCTACATCCCATGTTTGATCTCCCATGGATACTGAATTATGGCATTCCACAGGGCTCAGTCCCGGGGAAACTGTTGTTTTTAATTCTCTTTGCCACCTCTTCAGCACAATTTAAACCTGACAAGCACAAATGTGCAATTAGCAAAGGTGCTAGGTCCATTAGCGTCTTATGTTAGGCCAACCATTGGGAATCTTGGAGTTAGTTTTGCTACTGGTGTCACCCTGGATGGCTGTGTTCAGTCTTTGGCTCACACTTGCTTTGCTTGGTTACTGAACATTGCTAAACTGCAAAATTTTGTCTCCAGATCAGAAATGGAAATTCTACTCCACGCTTTACTCTCCTCTCGCCTTGATTATTGCCTTCCTGCAATAGCATATTTATGTTGAATGTTAAGGTCATAATCTAATTGAAACCATGCTGCTGAGAATGACTGACTTTCAGCCCTTTATTCTTCTCACATGTGCAAACGTTCATATGTGTGATTTCTTGTCTATGCATGCCTCCATGTGTGTCTGTTCCCACGGGGAATAAACGATTCAAACAGTGAAAAACACAAACGTCAGAGTCACCTCCTCGCTGTCTCTTCACTGGCTTACGTAAAAAAATCTGTTTGAATTCTCCTTCAGGTGTGAGTAAAACAACAGAGTTCACCTGGTTAAAGACTTTTATTGATCCAGCAGTGCATCATGCAGCATTGTAGTGGCACAAATCAACTAAACAATTGTTAACAAGCTGTGAAACTTTACTTACACTTGTGATGACTGACAGAAAACAGCAAGTTACTCACATATCCTTTCAAAACAAAATAAAAATACCCTCCAAACACATTTTAACTTTGAAAAGTTTTCTATTTAAAGAGCAAGTCACCCCCAAATCAACATTTTTTATCTGATAAACTATAGAAATGTGTGTCTAATTGTGCTGCAGACTCTTGTAGTCAATAGTTTTGCACTTCAGTGCATTTTAGTTAAAATTTAAAATTTCTGCCTAAAACTGTCAGTGTTGTGCCGTTGTCAGGTAAAAACTCTGCACTGCATTTGAATTAAAATCTGCCATCGCTATTGGCTAAGAGGTACCCTAGAAAGTTAGCTGGTACCTTATAATGTCACGATGTTTTTGTGAGCCTGTGTGTGTGTGTATTTGTTAGCGGCTCTGCCCTCTCGGTCTGCTAGGCAACAACATTTGTTGCATTTTTCAAACAGGAAGTGGGAGTGGAGTAATAGTCTAGTAGGGGGTGACTTGCTCTTTAAGTGCACGTCATTTTAGTTAATTTAATTCACATGTGAGAAACTGGTCTTAGGAGTTTGTTTTTATTTTACCATCTGACACATCACAATTGGTTCTAGATTAATTTTACTCAAAACTCTTTGAGAAATAGTTATCTTTATTAATTTAAAATATGTTTAAAAGAACAACAAATATTACAGAACAAAAAACCCCACCAAACATCTAAAAATGAAACTATGCAACAGAGTAAAAGTCTCACCAAAGGTCCAACTGCATGTTTAGTGACATCTAGTGGTGAAGTAACAAATTGCAACAACAGAAAATTATTTTCTATTCCATTTCATTCAAACTTTTCATAAAACATGATGGAGCTGAAGTGTTAGATGCAAAATCGTGTGTTTTTTACTTTTTGTATTTAATATATGTCTCATTTACCAACACAATATTGTTTGAATTTGAATTTGCAAATAAAAAAAACCTGATGAATCTGGATTCAACATGTTGAATGCGTCGTTTTTGCAGGAATAATGAGACCCATCTAGACTGAATACAAATCTGTATGAGATTTACAGAAAATAAATGTCTTTTAATTACTGACAAATATACTCATGCGTACTTATAAATCCATTTATTTACAAAACAAGGATAGCAGTGCATAGTTGACTGGATACTAAATGTTCATGAACACGTTTTAAGGACTGAATGCAGTTTTTTAATGTAATTTAAGGCACAAATGCTTCATGAAACAATGACAAAACTGTTTTAAAACCATTTATTTACATGTAAAGCACTTGCATGACGTGGGATCAGAAAAACACTTTGCGTGAGGAGGGTGGGGAAGATTTTCCATTACAATCAGCTGCTGCATGTCAGATGTTTCTTTTATTGCTTCTTGTGTTGAGGGAGAACCTCTTAAATCTGCAGCTGCATAAGAATATGAATCTATCTGCTGCATTTCAGTCAACTATGATGTTTTTAATGACTGCAGCTCTAATATTTTCTATTATTTTGTCTGTTTGTTAAAAAAGCACAATCATTTATGTGTCTTATTGCACTTTTTAAGGCGTTTGAGCAAATTCATTAAATATTTATTAAAGGGAATGTTTTTATTATCTATCTGGCCTCCCAGTAATTTAAAACGTTCTATTTCAAGGACTAAAATGAAGAGAAGGTGATTGTATGTGAAAATATGATTATTTAAAGAGCAAGTCACCCCCTACCAGGTTCTTACTCCACTCCCACTTCTTGTTTGAAAAATGCAACAAAGGCTGTCGCCTAGCAGACCGAGAGGGCGGAGCCGCTAACACACACACACACACACACACACACACACACACACACACACACACACACACACACACACACACACACACACACACACACACACACACACACACACACACACACACACACACACACACACACAGAGGCTCACAACGACATTGTGACATCATATGGTACCAGCTAATGTTCTACTCTTAGCCAATAGCGATGGCAGATTTAAATTCAACTGCAGTGCAGAGTTTTTACCTGACAACGACACAACACTGACAGTTTTAGGCAGAAAATTTAAATTTTAACTAAAACGCACCAAAGTGCAAAACTATTGACTACACGTGTCTGTAGCACGATTAGACACACATTTATATAGTTTATCAGAAAAAAAAGTTGATTTGGGGGTGACTTGCTCTTTAAGGAGAGGTGGTGATGGTAGATAAATTATCTCATAACCTAGAGCTTCATTTAAAACACATCGGTGGATTCTTACCTAACGTTTTCTCTATTTTTCCTTCTGTTCGGTGGCAAAAACTTAGTTTAAAACAGGAAGGCACTTTGAAAAAAAGGCACGAAAACCAAAAGAATCCCCAAAATGTCCATCAGTGGGTCACAGACTCTGAAAAGAAGAAGCATCATTTGTGCAAACTCATTTGAAAGTCACATTAAGTAGATAAAACTATACCATGTCAGCCTTGAGGGCAGAAATCAGAGGTTTGTGAGGCAGAACGAGTGAGGGGGAAACTTTGGAGGAGACAGCGTTTTTGGATTTGAGAGGTAAAACATGACGCTGATGCAGTCTCGCGTCGTTTGTTCGGTGTGCGGATTAATGCTGAAGCAATCCAACGTTTGGCAGCTTGACAGGCCCTCTATAATAAATCATCCATCCGTCTGGTTTTCATCATCTGTTCTTTATCAGCATCACTTCATCTGAAAACTAGGAGTTAAAAAAAAACTCAAAACTTTTAGACTTTTCAGCTCACAAAAGTTTTTAGTGATGGTTTGCAAGTTAAAAACAAACGGAAAAGAAAAAAATATGCAGATTTGAGAGATGATTCTAATGCAAACATTTACTTAATGGGCTGTAAAACTTCCATTAGAATTATTTTTTTATGTATTTACTTAGATTGGCTACCTCTAAAGTCTCTAACAAGCTTCAGCAGCAATAAATATATCTGAAATCAGTTTGTTTTAAATAGAGTTCGACCAATATCTGTTTTTCTACAGCTGATATGTAGGAGCATGGTCAGCCCATGGCTGATAGGTACTGCTGATTTTTATGGCCGATATCCAGACATTTTTCACCTTATTTTCATGCAAAAACGTCGCTAATAACATCGGCTGATGCACAAAATTTCTGAAGCTGAATCAGTTTTGAATTCTGAATTTAACTCATTAATTTAATGAGGTGCTTGCCCAAGTGGTTGGGGAAAGAGAACTCTGGGCCTCGACTTAGGCAGCTGCCCTCGCGACCTGACCCCAGATAAGCGGCTGAAAATGAATGAATGGATTATCATGCTATAGCATAAGTCTGATTTAGTTAAAAAGATTAATAAAATGTGTTTTTGAGTTGGGTAAAAACCTTCCTGAGCAGAAATACACCATCCAAGATGGCGGTCTGCTGCTACTCCAGCTCCAAGGCCCATTCCCAATACTTACACTGCACCCTGTGGTCTTCTGCGAAGTGCACCTAGAGGAAGTAAGATGCTGGCCGCTGTGATACTTAAAAAAATCTTTATCAACAACTTTCAAACAAACAACCAAACAATTATTTGAAATAAATGTACATTCATTGCTACTTTGTCTAAAACATTCAGAGCATCAACTAAACATCCTAAAATGAACTAATTTCATTTGGAAAAACTTGTTCATTACCCACAATCCATTGCTGCGGGCAGGGGTGGACTGGCTTATCTGGCATTCTGGCAGTGCCCCAATGGGGCCGCTTAGCCAAGCGGGCTGCTTGCCCAGCTTGGGCCGACACTACTCCACAGTAGATGATCTGCAGAACATTAGCTACACAGTAACCCGAAGCCAGGGGTGGACTGGGACCAAAATTCGGCCCTGGCATTTTTACAAATCGTCGGCCCTCCCTGTTGGGAGAGCGTTGGAGGTGGGGGTGTTGCCGCCCGCGGACTCGTCTCTAGGCCGAATGTGAGATCTAATATGGACTGGGACTGTTAAATTACAAGCAGGGCCAGACCGCTGCGACCAGGAGCCCTGGCCTTCCAGATCAGCTCATTCTCCACGGGCGGAGATCAGCGGGACATTAGCTACATGCTAATGCAGTAAAACAACTTCTACGTCATCGCTCTACCGTGTTTTTCTTGCTAAAAACGCCTGGAAAAACTCTGTTAGCTTCGGGCAAGTGCGGATCAAGGGTGCGAAAGGGGTTGGATCAACCTTCACACTTGAGAATTGGGACACCCCACACACTCACACTCCTGGCTGGGAAGTGTGAGTATCGGGGTTGGGCGCAATAGGCAACACCGGTCCACAAGGCGTTTGTGATGTCTGTGCTTGTGACCATATTAGCGAAGCATTAGCTAAAAGAGGCAAGGAAAACAACTGGTTTTACTTAAAGTGTTTATCTTGCAAACCATCTCATTAACACCAGCTTAGCATGTTTTCTTTTTCTTTTTATAAATTTTGGGCTTAATTTGAACATTTAGCAAGAGCCATTCCTGTTTAATACTGTGAAGAGCAGCCATCAGTAAACTAAAAACAGATAAAATTCCTTATTTACAGTATTTTTATTCATCTAAACAATGCTTCAGTCCCTCGTCATGAAAGGGGGGAGGGGTTATCTGAGGTCAGCAAGACCTGAATCGAGCCCCAGAGAGCGGCTTCACATCATTCCCGATAACACCAACACTCTGTTGTAGACACAAAAGCAGTTTGAATCCTCCACACACCCGACTGTACAAGTAATGAAAAAAGTTCACTGGTGTTGGCGAAAGCTTTGCCCCATTTCAGTCTTTTAGCAGAAGGTCCATGCACAAGTGAGCGCGTCTCTGCTTAAAGTGGCACTTTTTCTTTGCAGATAAATGAGCAAAACACTGAGAACAGGCACTCGTGGTGAAAAGCATCTGAAGAAGTCACACAGTGCAGGTGACACCAGCGTCCTCAACATGGCCACAATTTGTTTTCCCCCAGCCGGAGAACTTACACTGATGGATGGTGTTTTCAGTCCCGTTGCAAGCAACGTCATCCATCCAGATCATACCAGTTCCTGCAGAAAAAGGTAAGAAAATAAATATATTGTCTTATATTTTTGAAAACCCTTTAAAATTCAATTAAATTGAGTTTACATCTGGTCTAAAAGGCATAAACCTGAAGTAGCTGCAACAAAAGAGCATAAAAAGTTGGGTCTGCTTTGTGGGTTTCATCAGCTGCTGATGTTTTAGCGTGCTTCGTGTGGGTCAAAGGTCAGAAACTCAATAAATCAGACACAAAAGTCAAGTAATCACCTGGTCTTGATGTTTTAATTCCTGCTGCTGGACGAGAAAAGCAGAATTCCTCCTAAAATAAAGCTTTGGTTTGTTGTCCTAACAACAGTTCAAGGAGATTTATGAAAGGATAAACAGGTACAGCTGAGTCCAAGAGGTGATCACGACTGAGACGACGCGTGTTGGCCTGAGTGAGTCAGCAGAGCTTCCTCTAAGAGCAGCTGATCAGATTATGATTTATCCAGTAATAAAACCCAAGCATCCAGCTGGTCGGTTGTTGTCTCTATAAACTTTGAATTCTGCTCGTAAAGTCACAGAATCAGGAAGTCACAGATGCATGAGATGTTTGCTGGAGCACTTGTTTACATTCAAACCCAATTGCTAACAAGTGTATCACCGTGAGTGCTGGAGGCAACGAGAAAAGCAAATATGCAGAAAAAAACAACGCAAATTCCCATTTGGGATTGTGCAACTCCTGAAAGTTGTCTTGCATTTCTCCCACTTTCGTGGAAACTAAATCGAGAAGAATTCCAGTCACCAGAGACGACTCTGGGACTCTTTAGGGAGGAAACTGAACTTGAGAATAAAATTAGACATTTTGGAAACATCTTCTTTGCAACCCAACTTAAGAAAAAGGGTCAACTTGCTGAAATCTTGAAAGTAGCACATTTCTCCTCGCAGGCTTGTGGGGGATGGAAATGAGGTCATGTTATGGCACAGTGCATGTGGTCCTGCTGCTGTGCACGAGAACCCAGCTGTTCTGCTGCTGGCTTTAACGCACATGAACCTTTACACTGCTTACTCTGGATCTTAACACACATTTATTGCCCTGTTTCCATCCTGATGTAACTTCTGTTCACATGAAATTTGCAGCACTTCTTGCAAACAACTGTTGGATCACCAGAGCGCTGTGTGGGATTTCAGGGGAACACCCAAGAGTGGCTCAGCTACAGAGGAACTGGATGAAGTCTTCAGGCGTCTTGTGCAAAGAGCTAAAGGTGCATGGCTGTAATTGACCGTCATACTCTCCTAAAGGCTGCATTTTAAACTGAGGTTGAGTCCAACACCTGTTCAGGTAATTATCACCACAACCCAATGACAAATTCCATCAAAACCAACTTTAAAAACAATGAAAGCGTCATAAACATTTCTTTCAAATGCATTCTTCAAAGGAACAAAAAGGTTCAAATAATAAAAACCTACAAAAATATGTGAAATAATATAAAAGTTTATCATTTTAAAAAACATTTTCACCCTGATCAGACAAATATTTCCCATTCCGACACAAAAACTTTCTAAAATATCATCATAATTTGTGTTTGATAGAAAAATACTGAGAATGTCCTCATTTTCCTTCTTAGTTTGATCTTTAGTCAAATCTGAAAGACAACGAGGATCAGAAAACTGATTAATGTAAGTAAATCTCTGGATGACATGAGCTCCAGCCTGTTTTAAATTAAACCCAGCTGTGATGTAATTCTCTGCTGTTATATGGAGGGTGTCCCTGGGAACAATTATGATTTTCACTGACTATTCTTTTTTTTTTTTAATAGTTGGACCAATACGGCAGATGACATAAGGCTGATGGCTGAAGGGCATTAAAAAGAGAGGGAAGTGAAGTAGATCTTACCTCCGAGACATTTTCCTGACGACTTCTGGCTCAGATACTATTACTAATAAAACGTTAACATTAATCCCTGCTGTATTGTAGGGCACTGGTGAAGGTGTAGCACTCAACAGCAGAAACAGTAAAGACAGTAAAAGTCAGAACTACAACTATTAATACTTTTTTTCCTATTATTTAAAGAAAAGATCTGACACCTTGAGATTTGATCTAAAATGAGCTTCATACATGTGGAAACAGTTTACACGTTGTTTTTCTAAAGTTTTCTATTTTAAACTTTTAGGAAAGTGAAAAATGTAGCTAAATTGTACTCTGAACCTATAGCCACATTTGACCACATCGATATTTGTTACAATGAACGCAATTCAATTACAGCAGCTCCCAACATTGGCCACTGGATGGCAGCGCGGAGCTGTCAGTCTTTCGCCTCAGGCAAAACATCGATTCAAGGAGGAGAAGAAGAATGAAAAAAAAAGTTTTTAGAAAAACAAGTTCTAACAACAAAGGCTGTTTGCGATTTCTAAAAACAAAATTTCTTCCAAAGAACCTTTTCTGTTGACACATGTTATCCTATATGCGGTGAATCTCCGGTAAGTTATGTACTGAAACAGAATGCTAAGCTAGCATTAGCTACATGCTAAAAATATTTTCCATTTTATCCATTCATTCTCAATTGTAGCGCAGGGCTGCCAACTTTTGAACATTTCAAAGAGTGAGTGAGACGGGGTCATTGGGTTGGGAGCGGACAATTCACCGACTGAACTGGGGGGGGGGGGGGGGGGGGTATTAATATTGAGACTTTTTGTGCTCTACATTTTATTTATTTATGTCCACTCTGTGCAGAAGATGATTAGAGCCACTGACAAGAAAAAAATAAAGTAAAGAGAATTCTTACTTTTTTCTCAGAATTCCGACTTTTAATCTCAGAGGGAATTCTGGGAATAAAGTCAGAATTATTTTTCCTTTCGTTTTTACTTTTCAGTGGCCCTGATCCTCTTCCGTACCTCTGACTTTACAGAGGGAACTGACCTTTGTTTAAAAAAAAATTCTTTTCGTGTGGAAAATTTAACATCCAACTCTCCTGAACTTCACATTATCTCTATCTATCTATCTATCTATCTATCTATCTATCTATCTATCTATCTATCTATCTATCTATCTATCTATCTATCTATCTATCTATCTATCTATCTATCTATCTATCTATCTATCTATCTATCTATCTATCTATCTATCTATCTATCTGTCTGTCTGTCTGTCTGTCTGTCTGTCTGTCTGTCTGTCTGTCTGTCTGTCTGTCATCAGCAGTAAAGAGTTACAGCTACATGTCACAAATGGAACTTTTAATTATAATTAATGTAAATGTATTAAAATTCCATCTAGGGGTGGGCAATATCATGTCATTCAGAATATTGCCAGGAATTATTTCCTGCCAAGGAAATAATAATCTATCATGTTAAGCTAACTTCATGATGTAGTTGCATCCGCTAAACAGGATTATGTTCTTGTGGATCATCAGCATGACGTTATTGAAGTTATCAAAGCAAACATGGCTGGAATCAGTTTTACTGTAATCTGTGTCTCTAAGTGTGTGCTGCTTTAATGAGTGGATGTCCCCACTGTGGGGCTAATAACATCTACTCTATTCTGAGCTGCATGGTGGCACAGTTGTTAGCACTGTTGCCTCGCAGCACGAAAGTTGCAGGTTCGAAACTCGGCTGCGGCCTTCCTGCGTGGAGTTGCGTGTTCTCCCCATGCATGCGTGGGTTTCCTCCGGGTACTCCGGTTTCCCCCACAGATCACAACATGCCCTATAGGTTATAAATTGTAAGTCGCTTTGGATAAAAGCATCTGCTAAGTGAATAAACAAACATATTCTATTACTGAAACAGGGAGAAACTGATGAATCATGTCAGAGACAGCAGTGATATTGTGTTTATTTCTCTCAAATGAAATATAAGTGAAAATGCATTGATCTGTAGTTGTGTTAAATTTCAATGTTGTTTCAATATTCAAGTTAACGGCATTGGTCTATAGTTAATAAATCAACATTGTTTCAATATTAAATTTGGGTGCAAAATGATATTGATTCAATGTTTTAACGTTGAAAACGTAATGTGGATTCTACATTGTTTCGATGTAAGCTTGCTATCTGGGACAGTACTGAGTGTATACTTTTGTGGGGTTTAATTCACAGTGAAAACCCTTTTTGTAATTTAATTATACAAATTTACACATTTCAAGAGGTGGGAACACTTTGTGTGATACAGTTTTGTTCAAAATTAATATTTCCCTGCACCTTGCCTGTTGGTTATTTCTTCAGAGCTGAGACTGAGAGAAGAGCCCCTTGGCAAGGCAGAACCCAAGTATGAGAGAAGATTCCTGCCCGCATGATAATACATCTGGAGCTGTAAACCCCCCCCCCCCCCCCCTTGCATTTAACATGGTGGTATGACTCTTCATACACTCCCTGGGTAACTATTGCACACCTCACAAAACTGAAACCTACAAAACTTACTTGAGTGTTTTTCTTCAAGCATTCTAACATTTTACACTTGCTCATAAAAATTTTGCAAATGTAAATATGTGAATTAAGATCTGGAGAAAAATGCTCCCTAAAAGCTTCAGGAGTAACTAGGCCTTTTTCTAACGACTATAACAATTTATATTAGCCACTGACACACGCCATTGCCGCTCACGCACCCAGTGTGGATTGGGGGTTACCAATTCCGAGGGTGTCCAAGTGATGAGGGGCAATGAAACACATTTTTTTGCATAAAAAGAACAATACAAAAAGTCAAATTGCTTAATTGGCGGCAGAAAAAGTTGAAGAACGCTTTATAAAAACAGCTTTAGTTACCTTTGAACCTGCAATTGTGACTCTTCAAGTATAGGAAGTTTCAAAGGTGTGTTTTAGTGTTCTGGATGCACAAGGTACTACAGGAAAGTGTACCATCACCCATGAATCTGATCTTATATCATCTTCTCGTTTATACCTACTTAACCATAGCTAGTTCTGGCTGAGTCCTGGTTTCTAGTTCTACCCTACAAGGTATTGGTTAAACAACCACACAAACTGCAAAGAAATCCATAAATAAGCTATTTCTAAACCGAAGACCATTCTCTTTCTTCATGCATCACATTTTAAGTCTTGAACAAATGGAGACAAAGGTGACCAGTACCCTGTCCAAAGCGCCCAGTTCTGTGGACTTCGGCTGCTCCTCTGTACCCCAGCATCCTGCAGACTACACCGCCATCATTTTTGTCCCAGTTGTCATCACACACGGTGCCCCAGCGCCGCTCATGGAAAATCTCCACCCGGCCTTGATGAGGACCGGACCCGTTCACCAACCGCACCAGAACCTCCTCAACTGCAACACACATAAACACATGTTGTTATAAGAGTCTGTAAATACAGATAATTCAGAAATCCATTATGGGGCCATTTTTGTAGCGAGTCCTCTGTTTATTGTAACTGCAGACAGTCTTTGTTCTTCATTCCAACAAGTTTCTAATTTAAAAACTTCACGCATTTACTGGAAGGGCTTAGAACGTGGAGGTACTTTTATTCATCCTAAGTGTTTATGAGTTTAATCAAGTTCTGTTGATCAAACCAGTAAGAAAACTAATGGAGATGAATGAAAATGATTTTATTGACAAACAAAAATCAAAATTTCCATAAACTGCAGAATCGTCTGATGATACCAGCAAATAAAAGGATGTTAGGAACTTTTTCTTTCTTTTCTCGTGCTCTTATAAACTTTGGGGCTTTAAGTTATGTCCTAAAACATTTTCTTAGCGATAGACACCCCATAATCTGGCAAGAATTTCACAGATCTGACGATACACCAGCTAAAGGACTTAGAAAATCATAACTTTGTTCTTTGGAGCTTCACGGATAGCATCTGTAAGCATTTATTCAGTCACCTTATTAGAAGACTAAAAACAACCAGCTGGATGTGAACACTGAGGAGAGGAAAACACTTAATGGAGAAGTACTTTTAAATCTCAGATTACTTGCAGTACTTCTCTTTTGTTCATGTTTTGCTTCCAGTGAGTCAAACCTTGTGAAGATTTAAAATGGTCTTGATCAATATTTTTTAAGCTTTCTCAAGGTTTTTCTCGGCACTTTGGTTGCTTTTTCACTTACTTCCAGTCCATGTACCTGACCATGGCAGCATATTGTGCAATAAGTGATTGAAACAGTATCAGAAAAAAATCAGAAAACCAAATATGTTTCAGTTTATCCACAATTTTCAGCTAACATCTCTCTGTTGATGCAAAAATGTGTCAAACTGCCTTATTTAGGCTATTTTTTAAAGATTTAACTAAAAAAAGTAAACGACAACAACATACCCTAAAAACACCTTTAAAAGGGATTTTTTGCTAAGTGGTTGGTTATATGATAAAAACAATGTTTTTTCAAGTTTCTGGATATTTGTTGTCCAGAAGATTTTCAAAAAAGTTGCCAAAATAAGCAATATTAATCTAAAAATTGACTTATTTTGGTCAGAAATTGCAAACTACAGAATACGTTTGATAGAAATTTTGATCAAGACCATTTATAAATATTGGAAACATAAAGGCTTTACTTCAGACATTTACAGTTTCATGCTTCTTGTAGCCGCTCCAAGTTTCGACTTGATTTATCACCTCTGAATGAGGGAAAATGAGAAGGAGACGGTATTCACGCACACACACGGCACACACACAAGCTGCTGACGCTCAGACCACCATAAATTCTGACTATCATTTATTTCTCATTATTCAGTCCAACAGTTTGCACTCACCAGTATGTTGTGGTTTAATATCAATTGTAGCGTTTTGGTCATCTGTCACAGGACATTTTTGTTCCTGAACAAACACATTTTATCCAGTAATTAAAGTAAACATCAACAACAACAAACATAATTTTCTTATTTCAGGAAATGTTAAAATAAAATAAAGTGAACAGAGGTCGAGGAAAGCAATCAGCAAAATGCTCGCAACGAAGGCTTAATTCACCTAATATTCGATAACCTGATAGTGTTTAAGTAGACTACTGTGAGTGCGCTAATCTGTTCAGTAATATTTTTCTGTATGCGTTTTAATTCATTTTTGTGGACTACAGCAAAATCTAATATCCAAACAAAAGAAAACCCTCAAAAATATGTTGGATCCAAAAATATCTAACTGGATAAGGACTGAATCTCATACACCTAATAATTAAAACAAGTGATATAAACATGGAGATCCAAAGAATCAACATGTTTTAGGGTTTCCCCCAGCACTTTATAAGCCTGGAGGCCCGCCAGGCTTTGCTTGGCCACCCGCCAGGCTAAGCGTCATGCCCCCCCCCCCCCCCCCCCCCAACCCTACCGTGTCCGCTGACACGAACGGCGCAACAAAACTAGAGCCCTCCATCAGCTGAAACCGGTGAGAAACTGCAGCGGAACGTGTTTAACCAGCAAGAGCTGGAGATCAGAGCTTGATGAATGTAGGACCACCAAATCATCCGCAAACAGCAGAGACGAGATTCTCCTGCCACCAAACCATCCCCACACCACGGCTGTGCCTAGAAATTCTGTCCTTAAAAGTAATGAACAGAACTTGCATCCGAGTAAACTGAAAGCAGGGAAGGAACCAACAGAGATGCCAACAATTTTAGAATAAAACAGGAAATTAAACTAATCAAAACACAGAACATGAGAATATTTTGGATGAGGCACCATGAACATGAGACCCATGCCAAAACATTTACTGCTGTTATGATGGAAAACAGGCCTCAGAAATTTCAGGTATAGTATAAAACAACTCTCTTAATTGTTCTCGTCTCCATGGGACCAACAGCACTCAGGTTCACCCTGGACACCAAATAAAACACCATGTTACCTAATTTAGACACAGCTTTTCTCTAAAATTCTCAATAATAACACAAGATTTCACGGGATGTAAATGTTTCTGCACAGAGAAAACGAGCTCAGGGAGCTCCAAGTGTTGTCGATCGTCCAGGAGGTTCGAGCCTCGGAAGGCAGAGGAGCTGCAGCAGCCAGAACCAGAATAAAGCCAGAGCACGGAGTGATTGCAGATTATTAATGTTTACCTGGCAGGCGGGAAGAGTTTGGACTAGACGAGACTAAATGGCTTCAGGACAACAGCTAACTAGCTCCATCTGTTTATTAAATGTTGCTCCTAAAAGTCAGATTCTGTCGTCTCCCAACCTTTATGGTGTCGGTTTATTTGATGTTGTATTTTTATCTCTACTTTCCGTTTGAGCTGATTGGTGTGCTTTTGATTCCTTTCTGTGAATGTTAGTTTGACAAGCACACCAACATGTTTGCTTCAGTTTAATTATCAACTTATAAAACTACAAGGACGATGTTAAAATACAAACAGTTGTATGTTATTTATTGTGATATTTATCAAATATGGTTATATATTGAGAAAAATATATATTTAATTATAAAAGAGAATTAAAAATATTAAACACTCAAAAGTATCGAAAATTGGTACCGTTAAGTACTGGTATCGATTCGTAGGTACCTGGAATTAGTACCGGATCGATTCAAATGTCAAAGGTACCCATCCCTATATAGTATCCCTTTAATTTTTCACAAAATCATAAATAAACAATGAAAAACCAAATTAAACTTTGGGGGTGACGAACCTTTTGTTCCACCAAAAGGAAATTTAATTTAAACACAAAACTTAATTCCAGAATAAGTTTCCTGATTTCTGAGGATTACATAAAAAACCAGTTTGGAAAAAGGTCCAAAAGCAAATTCCTCAATAACATCAGAAAGCTGAAATGATCTGCTCTAGGATCACTACGCCGCTCATCCTGTGAAACATCTAACCCACTTTTTACAATGTAAGCCTTTGGAGATTAAATATCAAACTGCCAGATGTTATCGATCCTGCAATGTGTCAGCAGTCCAGAAAGGAATACACAGAAGTTTGAAATGTGCTCAAAATGAAAAGTATGAACAATGTTTTGCTACACACACAAGGGAAAACCCATCTCAGGGAAAATAATGGACTCATGTTTGTTATTTTTATTCCGAAGATCAAAACTATGTGAGGCATGTCCTTTTGGTGTAAACTGATCCATCTCTGCTGAATTTAACAAACATTCAGAAAATACACTGCACCGGGAAACAATTTCATTATGTTAATTAGGGCTGGGTATTGTGGCCAATTTCCTAAATCAATCCGATTTCGATTTATACGGCCCTGTATCGATTAATCACGATTCAATTCGATTCAGTCTGGTCCTAAATAATTAAAAAGGCTCAACTGCGTTTCAAAACACAAATGTAGTTTATTTTTACTTCACCAGAAACAGGTTTTTAACAAAAACAAATGTAGGCATTCACAAAGCTTCGATCCAAAATAGAGGCTAGGGAGTGGCAGAGAACCAGTGGAAGATGGTATTCTGAGGCAAGATGATGAAGGTAAAAACAAGATCCCAAAAAAACTAGGTCAGAAACAAAAACTGGGACTCATAACAGGAAGTATTTTAGAAAATAACTATAATACACTGTTCTGGTCACAAGTTTACATACTGTGTTCTTGTCATTAGCCTATTTGCCATTTTGATTTACAGGTTTTACATTTTTAGTTAATCCTATTTTTTATATTTTTATGTACACTGCTGCTTGTCCCAGAGATACGAGAGGAAGTCAATTACAATTTTGTGCATATTATCAGAATTGCATTTTCAAAAGAAAATGCATGCAATGAAAGAATTGCTTTACTGTCACAGACCAAGCTTTTAAGCAAAGGCATCATCCTTTAATTTCACACATTCTCGTGTCTCTTTGGACACAGCAGTCTTGTAACTTCAACAATTAAGTGCAAAACTTGTAAATTGTGCAGTTTAAACATGAACTGTAAACAAAATTCTTAATTCTCAGTCACTTCTCACGAACTTTGAACTTCTTATGCAGGAAAAGGACCTCATTATCCTCCTATATTTTGACACATCCTGTTGTCTTTAGTCCCTTTTTGGACACAGTGTTCTTCAAAATTCAACAAGTGCAATGGATAAATTGTGCAGTTTGAACTTAAACTGTAAACAAAACTGTCCTACGTCTCAGTCACTTCTCACAAACTTAAGAGATTCTTGTGCAGGAAAAGAAGCTCATTAACATGATCTGGGGTTAGGCAGCTTCTTTTAGCAGTGACTATATCGCCCGCAGTTGAAAACACCCTCTCCGACGCAATACTGGTCCCTGGGACACAAAGGTATTGCTTCGCAAGGCGAGCCAAAAGTGGATACTCCCTGTCATTTCACCTCCACCAGGTCAGAGGATTGTCATTCAGTCCAGCTGGATCCTCCACCCTGTATCTTCTGATTTCATCTTCAGCCCTCATTGCTGGAGTTTTCTGG